TATTAAGCTTTATATAGATAGTGTAATTACTACACTTAAAAAACTATTTAAGAAATTAAACTATATAAAGATAAACACTTTAATTACTAATAGCACTTTTAAAGTTATAGTGTATAACTTAATAAAGCATAAAAGTTAGATTTTTAACTTTTACCTTATATAAAAAGTAAAAGGCAAAATAACTTAACTATATAAAAAATTCTGCCTAGTGTTTACTAGCTACTTAGATAAAAAAAAAAGAGAAATCCTTACTTAGTTACTAACTATTTAAAGAATAAGCTAAAAACTACTTTTAGCTATAAAAGTAAGCCTAAAAGCTATGTACAGAATGCATTTTAAACTATATAATATTACATAAGTATACATCTAATTAATAGATAAGCTTATACGCACACTATACATAAAGCTACTAAAGAAGATGCGCTAGAGCTTTCTACTAAATATAATACTCTAGGTTGTACAACTTTTATATAAAGCTGCTAAATTAGGACTATATTAGTTTAAAACATACTATAACTACTATAAAAAAAAGCTACACATGCACATCTTTTTATATAACCCCTACTTCTTAATTACTAATAAAAGAAAGCACACTTTTAGTATTACTAGCTTATAAACAGACAACATTTTAAGCATTATAATAAAAGATTTTATGTAAAAAGAAAAAAAAAACTATAAAAAGTAAAGTTTTACATAAAAAGTAAAACTATTTTAGTAAAAAAGTAGCTTATTAAGTTTAATAGTAAAAGAATTAAACTTACACATAACATAGTAGTTCTTACTTAAAAGAGATAAGTAAGCTACCTTTATATAATTAACTTAAAAAATAAAAATGCTACATAATAATATGTTAAGTAATGTGTAAAAGAGGTATATATTATATTTATATATTAACTAAAGGCAGCATTTAACCTGTTTATTACTGCATAAACTATAAACCTTTTGTATAATAATATTAACACACTTAACACATAAATCTAATAGCAGATAAATAATAGTAAGTGTAGTCTTACTTTTCTACTATTATAGCTTAATTATGTAAAGCTATTTATTTTTATAAATAAATTATTTACTAATAATAAAAACTTTAGCTTATAGCTAAGATTTTTAATTATATTAAATAATAAAAACTATATAAAGTAAAGTAACTACTTTAAAATACTAGGCAACATTATACACTAGAATTCTACTAAGTGTAAAAGAGTAACTAGGAGTGTCTTTACTAGTAAACTATATAGAATAGTTAAAAGGTTTAATAATGTAATTACTTTTAGTATAACTTTATAGTAAATTATATAAACACTTAAACTACTACTAATTTTAGTAGTAATCTATATAGATTTAAGGTTTTTATATAATTACCTTATTAAGCTAAGCACTACTAGTAAAAAGTAACTTATAATTAACATTATGTTACTTTATAAATTATATAAGAAAAGAGAAATTGCTAAAATAAAGTAAATTAATAGTAAAAATAATTTAGTAAATGTATGTATAAAGAAAACACTAAACTAGGCTTTTTAATTATTAGTCCTAACTAACTACTTCTCTGTCTAGATAGAAGCATCTATAGACTAGCTAGATCCTGTGCGCAAAGATGCTTTAGACTAACTAGACTAACAACGCCTTTATATAAGGCCTATTTTTCTTTGTTTTATTTTTTTTGTTATATATATTTATCTTTTTTATTATAAGGATCTGTTACTGTTAGCACTATATAAAAAGAGAAAAGAGCTAGGGGATTATATAGCAAGGCTTAGAAAGTAAAGAATAAAGAAAAGAAAAGCTATTTATATAGCACAACTAGCCTATTCTAACGCACAGCATTACTAAGGCAAGTCCTAACAAATAGGGTAAAGTAAAGGCAAAATATAATTAGATAGACCTACATAAATAGAAAAAAGGTAACATGTATAGAAGGTAACTTTTTAGATAAAAAGAAAAGTTACTAGTGTCTGTACACAGCAGCAGCGTCGCGGCCTAGATACAAGCGATTACGCACAAGCAGGATCACGTATCTATGTCACATAATGCTTGTGCGCGAACCTCTGTGCGCAAACATCTAGATATCCCCCTTTTCCTCTGTATAGAGGAAAAAATAAGAAGTAATTAACACTAGTTACCTAACACCCCTGTGCGATGTTTACACCGTGCAAACCTCTCCGTCTCGTACGCATTTGCTGACACCAAGTGCTAGCTAGCAGAGGGTCCATTCAACATAAAGCTACATTATACTGTAAAGCATAAAAAAAAATGTTAGATTTAAAATAAAAAAACTTTTATAGTAATAGATAAAGTAGATTTCAGTTAACTCCTTGGACTGTCAAATGCTGAATCTTTCACTAAATCATTCATATTACATAAGATACTATCCGGCGTTTACTCGTAACATCCCAAGGGAGACTGGTACGCCGTCATCATTCAAAGGCAGATATTTTCAGGAAATAGTCGACCTTTATTCAACTATTTATCCCTCAAGGTCGTTCCCAGGCGGGGCGTTCTAAGTCTTCTTCGTCCAGCGACTAAAGAGCGACTGGCTCATTTTCCATTTTCCGAATTCTCCTCCAGGATTCATTCCCTCGAGGAGATCCGGCTTATCGAGCCACATGCCCCTCAGCGAAATGAATTCTCTCAGTCCCTCCCACTCCTCGCCCTCCTCGTCACCTCGTCGCCAGGTCTCTTTAAAGCCCCACGCACCCGCTATCCTATCTAGCGCAGCCCTCTCCTCCTCTCTGAGCCATCGGTCACGAAGAGGCATACCGGGCCGCCAAACCACGCGATCGAAGTGGTCGTTTGCCGTTGTGAATGCTACGAACCCAAGGGTGCCCGTACATGACACATATGTGAGAAGGCCTGCCCAGGAGTACATTTTGAAGGACCAGGGATCGATGTATCCGGAGTAGAAGCTCATCTCCTGCGCCACCACCCACAGAACAAGGGGTAGGAATGCGGCAAGTGCCGTTGGCGGTATGGCCTTGGTTACAATCTTATGTCGCGTCCATGCTGGCGCGCAGAATGTTGTGTCTACTACGTCAAGTGCGAGGACGAGGTCTTTTGACGCGATGGCGGCGGATAATGCGCGCTCAGCTATTTCTTTCGGAACGGCTTGTTTTGCGGCGTTGGGCGAGGGTTTAGAGAATCTAGGCGGACATGTTCCGGCGATGGGGATGGGTTTGTTGGCGTAGAGACGGAAGATTGCGGGGAGGGAGCGCGGGCGCTGGAGAATTCGCACAAGGTCGACGTACTCGGAGAGCAGAGCGGGGCTGACGAAGACTTTCTCATTTCTAAGGAGGGTTTCGGCGAGTTGTTGGAGGTGTGTTGGGGAGGGAAGGTCGTTTGGTAAGGGTGAGGTGGAGATTTTGACGCTCTTGCCGTTGAGGTTGCCGGTGCTGTTTCCGTTTTCAAGGGAGAGGAGCGCGGCGGCGGAGCTTGCTTTTGAATTCAGCTTTCTCCCCTTCTGCAACTGGCGAAGGCGGATATCGATGGCTATTTCGGCGATGGATTGAAGCTCTCCAAGGGCGAAGACAGCCTTTTGGTCTCCTTCCTCGATTTTGGGGGACTCGAGGATCGAGCTGATGAATCTCTCCACTTTTTGCAGTCGGGCGCTCAACGACTTGGACTCTGCCTTTGTGATTTCTGGCCGCTCAGGCTCCAGTTCTTGCGCCTGCAGTGTCGCCCGAGACGCTGTCGTACTTCTCCTCGCGGATATGGTAGGGAACACGCCATGATGTCTTGGAAGTTGACGCCGCAACGAGGGTGCCTTGAAGGTTGACGTCGCGAGGAACCGCCGCTGGTATGTAGGCTGCTGCAATATGTAATCGCACAATTGGCACATGGGCCGCGATCGGGACCGGATGGATATGTTCCCGGGTTTCATTGTGTGCGGAGTGAAGGGCGCGGGTTGGGTGGTGAGGGATTCGTGACGAGGCCCTGTGGCTGAGGTTGTGAATGCCAAGGGGGGACTCTGACGGAATCCCAAAGAAGCATCAAACATCCACGACACTCCACACTCCACACACTTACCACGCCGCGTTGCAGGCAGCAGTACACGCCAAATTGAGAGAGAATTCTGTGGGAAAGAGCAAGGGCATTCTCCAAGCTTCCAACTACCCCTCACACGACATCATGTCCGCTCCACCTCCCCCTCCACCTATGCCGCCTGGTATGGGTAGAGGCGCTGGAGGCCCGCCACCCCCCCCTCCTATGCCCGGCATGAAGGCTCCCGGCGGGAAACCGAAAGCGGGTGCTGGAAGAGTATGTTGCAGCTGTTCCTTGGGAAAATATCGACGGTGCCGAGCGGGCTCGGAGCTCGGTCATGGCATTGCGAGGAGCTAACACGCCCTGTAGGGAGCACTTCTCTCAGACATTAGCAAGGGAGCACGGCTGAAGAAAGTCACGCAAATCAACGACCGATCCGCCCCGATAGTTGGAAAAGTATCTAATGGGCCCAGTGGACCGCCAATTGGGGGAGCTCCGCCAATTCCTGGCATGGCCAAAGCACCTGCGCCGCCCTCGGGTCTTGCGCCACCTGTACCCGGAGGACGCGCGAGGAGTAATAGCGATACAGGCGGCGACGGATCACGAGACAGTACATCATTATCAAGCGCAGCACCGCAGCTGGGCGGCCTGTTTGCAGGCGGGATGCCGAAGCTGAGGAAAGCAGGGGGAGTGAATACAGGAAGAGTGAATACAGGCGCCGAGAGCAACTCCCCATACCTATCAGACCCAGAGACATCACGAAGCACAGCACCGAGACCGCCTCGAGCAGCAGCGCCGAAGCCACCAGGAGCAGCCCCCCCTATCCCTGGAGGTCGCCCTCCGCCTGCGATTCGATCGCTCGCCAATTTGAGGAACAACCTGCGTCCATCGTCCATGGTCTCGACAATGTCAGCCCCCGATATTGGGTCAAAACCAAAACCTCCGCCTCCAATTGGCAAGAAACCGCCCATTCCTCCGCCTACCTCTCGAAAGCCATCTGGCCTTGCACCACCCCCTCCAGCCTCACCTGCCCGACCTCCACCTCTACCTAGCTCAGTACCTTCAGCTCCCCCGCCACCACCGCCTCCTCCTTCAGGTATACCATCAGCTCCTCCCCCACCCCCTCCAGCTTCCGCTCCTCGGCCACCCCCGTCCCGCTCAACACCTCCACCTCCACCTCCCCCAGGCCCGAAATCACAACCGGACGACGAAGAATATGATCCATACCGCTACCAGAACACCCCCATTCGACCTCCACCCGCACCCGCTCCGAAAGCTCCCACAAATGGTCACGGCCCCTCCCTCGCTGAACAAGCCGCCCGCAACGCATTCGGCCGCTCCTCACCCGCCGCACCCCCGCCCCCGCCTCCTGCGTCCCCTCCTCCATCCGCACCCAGCGCGCCCGCTCCACCACCTCCCCACTCCTCACCACCAAATCGACCAGTAACCCAACCACCGATTCGCTCCATGCTCGACCCGTCGTCGTACACGCTCACGAATGGCGGAGGTTCTGGTCTGAAGAGCGGCCCGACAAGTCCAGGAATCAGTCCGGGCCATGGTGCGGGTCAGCGGGGGAAAATCGTGCCTATCCATGACTTGAGATGGCGGTTTCAGGACGAAAGCCAGTTTCCAAAGCCCAGGGAATTTGGGGGTGGGCCAAAGAGGTATAGAGCTGGGAGGGGGAGTAGTGTGCCGTTGGATTTGAGCGCTTATGAGTAAGGTGGGGTTTGGAGGGATGAGGTGGAAATGGTTTGTTGGGGCTTTTTTTTTTTTTTTTGGTTTGGCTTGGGGATAGGATGGGTAGGGTAGATTAGTGTTGAATTTGGTTCGGCGTAAAGGAGCTTTGTCTGTCTGTCATGGAGTGAGAAATAGGAGGGACGGTGGGCAGGCCTTCTTCAATTGCGAAGGTGGATTCTTGTGTATTGTTCAAAGACTTATTCTAATTGGACTCGACATACATGCTAAATTGTACATTTTGATAAGTCCATTACACTGCTTTGTCCCAACGTTTTCGCTGAGCGTTAGTAGCTTGGGCGGAATGCCTAAGATTTCAACCACACCGCCTTCATGGCTTCGATCTTCGCGTTCTTCCGCAACTATATAGGCTGGCTATATGTTATCGTGGGTGGTGAGTGGGTGTGGATGTGGATGTGGATGTGGATGTAGATGTTGCGGTCAGCACATGTATTCGGTTCCCGAACCACCCACATGGACACAAGGTGGGAAGGACCAGAACGAGAACCCCACCACAACTAGTTTCCTAGGGAATGTTAGGTGCTATCTATGTATATATATATATATATATATATATATATATATATGATTCGGAGACTTCGGAATACTTACTTACTACATGAGTTGAGACGCGACCGTTTTGGCTTTCCGAGGGCTACTTTGTTAGGTTCGGTGGTCGAGTTTTGCAGGTATCTAGAGCTGTTGGTGTTGCGAGCTTGATGATATGAAGGTTCGAGGGGCATTCTTTTGTTCAGAGGAAAACACCTTGCTCTCCTTCTGCTGTTGTATCGCCGTTGCTCTGCGCCTGCACCTGCGCCTGCGGTTGTCTATTGCCCGCCTGCTGCTCCGCAGATCCTCTCTCAGCCGTACCGTTCTGAGAGGCATCCACACCCACATCCCTCTCCTCCACCTTCGCCTTCTCCGGCTCAAACGGCAACCCCCTAACCTCCACAATCTCCCTCCTCACCAACTCAACCCTCTCCTCCATCCTCCGCACAACATCCCGATTCTCGAGCAACGCTTCGTAGCACTCTTTATCGCCCTCCCTTGCCCATTCCTCCAACTCCAAATTACTCTTCTCCAGGTGCGCGATGGAGTTTCGGAGTTCAAAGACCTTGGCATGGAGAGAGGAGACCGGGAGGTCGGCTAGCGCAGCGGTGAATCGCGAGGGGGTAATTGGCAGGGTGTCGGCGGACATGGTGGCTGTGAAGAGGGCGAAGGTTAAGGAGATTGAGGTGGGTAGTGGTAGGGAGACGAGGGAGGATGGGTGGATGAAGGATGCGGTTTGGTGGCGGTATGATTGCTTGGAGAGTTCGGGCGCAGAGTATGGATTTAGTGGGTCCGGGTATGGGATTAGGAAGTGCGTTGGGAAGGTGGGGGATTGGATGAGGAAGGTTGCGGGAGATAATAGGGTGGCAAAGGGGGTTTTTGGGGGTGTGGTTGTTTGAAGAGGGGTATGTATTCACTAGTGTTCGGTTCTGGTCGGGCTGGGTGTCAGGGCGTTTGGACAAACAGTGGGAGTATTTGGCTCTCTTAGACTAAGGGTTGGTCTGAAAATACGAGACCTATATCGACCTGAGTGTGGTGCGCCAGTACCTGAGGGAAGACTGAGAATAGGGCGTTATGGCGTTGGGGTTGTCGCGAGTGAATCTGTTCAGAACTTTTGTTTGGCGGGGGCTTGAGTGAATGAATGCTCATGGTGACTGAACGAGAGGTCTGTGCTCTCTGCTGATGCCGAACTTTTTGAAGACAACTTCACCATGGACCTCAAGGTCTTCTCTACTTTCTACCATGTATATATAGAATTGGCCCCGAGATCCCCATTTAAGCGACAGCAGCAATGAGCAATGCCTTGCCGGCGGCTCTCTTGCGGCCCTCGTGCGCCGCCCTCCGATCCTCCCCACCCATATCCTATCAATGGAACACAGTGACGCAGGCGTTTGCGCGACAATTCTGCATTCCTCATCAATCTCGATGTCTCCAATCGGCTTCATCTGCTAGTGCACTATATGCATTGCATTCTCAACGAACCCTCCTCTCATTCAGACAGTCCCGCTCCTTCTCTTCAACCCTTCACTCCACCGCGTCCGTCTCAAATACCCCTCTTAACCCCCCAACACCTCCTCCTACTGCTCCGAAAAAGCGAGTTGTTAAGATTGGCCCGCTGCCTTCTGGAGATGTCAGCACTGCGACCCTCAACACAATCTTCGGACCCAACGTTTCCCGCCTCGACGGAAACCATGCCCTCCGCATTCTTCACCACCGCCGCGTTTCCGGCTCCCTTGCTGACTATGGCGTCGACAACATAAAAACACAGAGCGGCGTCTTTAGCCGCAATCTCGCTCTGAAGGGTTTGGAATGGCTGCGTGAGGAATTCCCCGTGGACGAGGCCCGCGCCGCCCAGGAGTGGGCCGAGAAGGAGGCAAATCGCATTGCGTATGAATTGTGGTTGGCGCACCCAGATAACGCTGACTCGAAATATAATGATCCTGCACGCGTGTTTAGAGACCAGCAAAAAGAGATTGAGGAATTGAATAAGAAGAGTGAAGAAGAAGAAGGCTCCAGGATCGGCATCCTCCACCATGGACCCTCGCAATTCGAACGTAACATTGAGAGGAAGAGGCAGGAGAGGCTAGAAGCCATCACGAAAAAGGCAGAGGAGAAGGAAAAGAAAGAGAGAGAGGATATGGTGAAGCTGGAAAGTGGGGAGTGGGTGAGGACACCTGGAGGCACGGGTTTAATGAAACCGGGCCAGACAACCTATGTGGATCTTTTCGGGAAGGAAATGGTTGATACGGGTAGAGAGTATCGGGAGAGACAGGAAAAGAAGTCGCAATCAGGATTCGCGAGCGAGGAGGAGATGCGAAATGCGACAACCCTGGTACATTCCTCCAATCCCAATAAATCTTCAAGAGAGCACTAAGGCCGGAAGGCTAATCATTGCTACAGAGCCAACGTCTCATCCCCATGACCGCCCTAGTCTTATTCACCGTCGCCGCATGCTATGTTTTCGCCACTACCTACATTCCACCAAATTCTTCCCACCGTCTCTGGCCAGACCTCTCACCCACCACCGCCACCCTCGCCGGCATCGTCGCAATCAACAGCCTGCTTGTTATAGCCTGGCGTCTTCCCTTTCTCTGGCCTCTTCTAACAAAACACTTCATGCATGTCCCCGGTACCCCGCGCGCACACCAAGCCGTCACAAACGTCTTTACGCATGTCCAAATCGACCACTTCCTGATGAACATGCTATGGATGGTCATAGTCGGATCCGCCTGCCACGACCTCGTAGGTCGAGGCATCTTCTTGGGAACCTATATCTCCGCCGGCGCCGTCGGCTCCCTCCTCTCCCTCTACTGGGCGAATCTCGGTCGAGGAAGCCTCTCTGCCCACTCTGTCGGAGCATCTGCCGCTGTCTGGGGCATCGCATCGCTTCTCGCTCTCCTAACTGAGAAGAACACTATCAAAGTTCCAATAGTCAAAGATATGGAAACCCCATTTTATCCGAAATTGCTCTGGGCTGCGTTCGTCTTGTCGGAGATTGCTGGGTTTGTGAGAGGAAGGAACGTGAAGGTCGATTACATGAGCCATTTTGGAGGTATATTGACCGGTGCTGCTGTGGCGGGCTGGATGAGATACAGGGGGTGGGACGGGAATGATGCGTTGGATGGTGTGCAGGAGAGGGCGGGGAGTGGTGATAAGGTGGTTGATATTGGGGCGATGGTGAAAGAGGAGGTTAAGGAGATCAAGCAGGCTGTTACTAAGGGGGGAAAGTAAGGGGTTAGATGTGGGATAGATATACCTGGGTTCTGTAGAATCTTTGTGTGAGTATTGTATGTAGATGATAGATGAATATCTCATGACCCTGTACTATGGTCCTTCTTATGATTATCAGCAGTTTAGCAGTATAGTGCTACGTAAGAGGGAATCTGAAGAACTGCCCTTTCGTGGACTATGTCTTGTAATAAATACGGAAAATTAAATGGATAACTTCACATTGCATATGTAGGATCCTAGCATGTTTTTCGTACCATAGCTGTGCATGGGAATCGAGTGGGAAGTGCGGTGGTCGACAAGGTCCCAAGTGAGAATGAAATCAGAAATAGGCAGAATGTGTAAAAAAAAAAAAGGCAGAGGAATTATAGGCGGCGACGGAAAACTTTCAACTCCATGCAGTGCTAAATACAGAGAAATAAGAGCATCCAAAAGAGACCTTGGGTTCTAAAGAAGAGTTTGAAAGAGAAGAGAAGAATAGAAAGTGATCTAGCAACCATTGAGAACATGCCTTCCCTCAATTCCATTGACGCCATTGACAGCCAGTTTCTTACCACCATGCACGCCATTGACAACCTTCTTCGCTTCCCCGTTCGTAACACCGTTAGTCAGTTGCTTCTGGACTCCAACCGCAACGCCATTAGGAACAGGCTTTGGGACAGCAGTCGCAGGCTTCTGCTTCTCCCAGTTCGTAAGCACCTTGTTCCCGCCCACATTCGCAAAGATGCTTTCCACCCACTCTAAAATGAACTTCCTGGCATGCGGCTCACCCATATGCTTCGAGTCCTCGAAGAACCTAACTTCCTTCGGGCTCCCGTACCGGAGTGGCAACAAGCAGTCTTCAATCGGGAACAGCTCATCTAACATGCCGTTAACAAGCAGCATTCTGCAGCTAGCCATATCGAGAATTCCGTTCTCAAGCAAGGAGAACCGAGACCGGGAATCAATTTTCATCTTCTCGACATCATCGTAGCCAAATTTAAGAGCTAGGACTTGCGTCAAGTCGAAGGGGTATTCCATATGCGAAGCGATTTCCAACCACTCCGGGTCGAACATGGAGTGGCAGCCGCCGCCTTGGGCAACGACGCCGGCGAAGCGTTCAGCGTGTGTGTGGGCGATGCGCATGGCGTAGTAGCCACCGCAAGACACGCCCCAGGCTACGAGTTTGCCTTGCTGCACCCATGGTTGCTGCTCAATCCAGTCCAGAACTGAGCTCCAGAGACGATCGGGGGAGGTAGCGTCGTTGGGGTCAGCTGGGCAGTCGCCAGTACCAGGGATTTCGACGGCGATGGAAGCCCAGCCGCGGGCGATATGGTGAGAAGATGGCATGGTGTGCTCGGTGCGGTAGCCATCGAGACCATAGATTTGAAGAACGGTAGGGAAGGTTTGGCCGGGTTTAGCGCCCTCAGGAAGACGTACAGTAACGGGAATGGAGGTGTATTGTTCTTTGGTTCCGGGCTTGGCGTGGGTATGTGGGATCAGATGTTCGATGAGCGGAGCAGCAAGGTACGAAGCTCCCTTAAAGAAAGCCTGCTTCTGTTTCTGGAAAGCGAATTTTTGACGAGGGGAGATGGGGCAAGGCTGGCGGGCAGTACGATAGACGCAAGCAGCACGAAGGTAAAGTTCAGAAGCCAGTTCAAAGTCTCCAGAGGCTTCGGCAATGGCGGCGCGTTCTTCCAGTCTCTCGGCGGCGGGGAAGAAGGGTTGCGAGTAGACTTCAAAGTCGTAGGGTGGGTATATGTTGTTCTAAAAACACTCACCGTTAGCCTTGTGAAGATGGACGGGTCGCGGCCATGATGAGTTGGTGCAAATACGCACCTCAGCAAAGTGAGCAAAAACTTCTTCGAAATCCTCGAGTTTGCCTTCCATGAAGGGGTAGATGCCGAGGGTTGCCTACCGGATAAAAGAAAGGGGTTAGCGGCCAAAGAATCTCTGTGGGAGAGCGTAAATTTGATAGACTTCTTGAATGAGGATTGGGAGTTTTTGGTAGGGGTGGAAGACTCGGTGGACGCAGTGGATCGAGTTGTCTTGGTGCTGCTTTCAGTGCTAGTGGTATATACCCTCTTCTTCCACTTCAGATTCCAGAGCGCAGAAATAGACTCGTGGTGAGCGCCTTGTTTACCCTCTCCACTCCCGACGAAGTACGGTGGAGGCATCTTGAAGCGAGAAACAAGTCTTTATTCGGAAGATAGTAATGTTCGACTAAAATAATGATGCGAATTGGAGAGAGGAGCCTGGTTGATGACAGCGAGAGGGTGTGGAGAATGTTGGATACAATACCAAGCTTGATGCTCCATTCACACTTATAACTATCTTTGTCTAAACCCCCTCCTCCTCCTTTCGGTGCTCGAGTTCTCACAACATCACGGACGAAGCATCTCGTTCAGCGAGCTGCGTCTTAGAGATGTGGCTGGTGTGAGCTTGCATCTTCCAGCCCCATCCAGGTCAATGTCTCGGACTCCGAAACAAGACTATCATCGACAGAGTGCAGAATCGTGTCCTGAAAGCTGGTAACAATAAGCAATTCCATGGAACCCGAGAGCCCGGTTCAACAGGTCGGGGTGCATGGCTCAGGGGAACAAACGATGGTAGTCTTGTCTTACTCTCACCGCGAGAGGCAGGAGCCACCGGCCGCGTCCGAAATGGGCTCCATGGCAAAGAGTGCATGCGACTTCTTTGAGCAATCCTAACATGAATACAGGGTTGTGAACTCTAAGGCATTTTACAATTAGGCTGGTTGTAGTTCGAGGGATGGAAGGAAAAAAGGTCGGGGGTTGACGATGCGTCCGGCTGTGCCACAATCTGCACCGCCACCATATATCGTCTTCATGCCATTTCTCACAAAACAAGTGCAGTGGGAGAATTTTTGAGATTATTGAATTCAATAGTCTTTTACGAAGTCCAAGATCTAGCCATCTCGGGGAGAAACGAAACCCCTTAGTTTTCCAAACGCCAGCCCATCCCATCCCATCCCATCATTCGATACTCCCCCAAATCCTATAAAAATCGTCTAAAACACCTACGGGGTACGTTCATTTCTTTGCCCCAGACTTTTGCCACGCGAATTCCTGAAAGTTGTTAGATTTTGGAATGCAAAATGTGGCAGATTTTGACTTACCAGCTTCTTACTAGACCCACTCTCAATTATGACATTTACCACCACTGGGACCCTCGCATGGAACCCCTCCTCTGTCGCTTTCTCCAATTCCTCGGAAGTTCTCACCAAGAACCCTTTCCCACCACACATCTCAGCCATCTTCTCGTACTTCACTTCCCATCCCAGGCTTGTGCTCCTCAATCCTCCTAACTGGCCCTTGCCAGTCTTCTCTTGTAGCTTTAGCCACTGTTCTTCTTCTTCGCTGTCGCCATGGTAGATACCTCCATTATTAACAACAAAGATTAGTACGTCCATATTGTATCTCGCCATGGTCTCAACTTCGGGCATTGAAAAACCAAACGCAGAGTCTCCCTCTAGACAAACAATCTTCTTAGACGATGTTGATGGGCCGGTACGACCTTCCGGTTCAGGGTAATTGTATGCAGCGTGCGCAGCAATAGCATACCCGAGACCCACCCCCATGGTCGCATGAGTTCCAGCATCCATACGTAGGCGTGGGTGTTCGACCGGGAAGACACTTCGCGAGATGTCCATGGTGTTTGCACCTTCAGACACATACACGATGTTGCCATCCTCAGCTGGTGAGAGCCTATTCAGCGTCCTCCTGATGGTATCGAAAACTTGGTGGTAACCCATTGGCGACTTAATAATCTTCGCTACCTTCGCGGCGTTGGCCTCATTCTTAGCTTTACTAGCTTGAAGAGTTTGCATGTATGGTGAGAAGCTATCGTATTTGAACCCATCTAGCGCCTTGGTGAGCTGAGGGACAACGACATTAATGTCGCCAGCTATGCCAAGTTCGGCGTCCCCGTTGTTCTTTCCGATTTCCTCAGCGCTGATGTCGACTTGGATTAGCCTAACCTTGGAAGCCCATTTAGGTTCACCCCCGAAGTGTAGGATCCAGTTGAGACGAGCTCCAAGAATCAGAACAACATCTGCGCCTTTCAAGGCCGCTGATCTCGCAGAGGAGGTATTGAGAGGGTGTGCGTCTGGCAGCACACCTTTGCCCATTGGAGTTGGAAGGAAAGGAATCCCGGTTTCGTCAACGAGGCAGCGGATGATGCCCTCGGACTGAGCGTATGCTGCCCCTTTGCCAACTACGACTAGTGGAGCCTTTGCAGATCGAAGGAGCGCGGCAATCTGACCAATTCTCTCAGGAGAAGCACCAGCCTGTGGAGCCGCTGGCACGACCCTGCCCTCTGAAGATCCCTCTGGTTTGCCCTGGATGACATCTGCAGGAAGATCTACAAATCCCGTTCCAGGCCGCCCATACCAAGCGTTCCGATACGCATGGGTGATAGACTGTGTAATGGAATCGAGACTGGGTCGGTTCGCAACCTTAACATGAGGTGTAAGGAGTGAGATGGCATCAAGTTCCTGGAAAGCGCCTTTAGTGACGAGATGAGTTTCGCATGAGCCTGCGAGGAGAAGCATGGGAAAAGCATTGATCGATGAGTTGCCAATCCCAGCCATTGCGTGAAGAACACCAGGTCCGCCAACAACCAAGCATACTCCCGGCCGTCCCGTAAGGTAGCCATATGCGGTTGCAGCATAGCTACATGCTTGCTCGTTTCTGAATGCAATGAAGCGAATCCCTAGGGCAATGGCTTCTTCTGCGATTTGCACGACTGGGATGCCGACGAGGCCGAAAATAACCTTTACGCCTAGTTGTTGGAGTGCTTGAGCGATAACCTTTGCACCTGTTGGGCGTATGATTTCTTCTGCCGTCATGTTGAAACGAACTCAGTGAAGAATGAAAAGTGATATAGCGGGAACAAAATGGAAATGTGAAGGAAAGGAGAGTGAAGTTGTTCGTGGATTAGAAGGTGAGAATGACATAGAGATATTTGCGATCGCCCTTGATACATGTATGCTTACCAGTCTACATGTTTCAAACGACCTAGGTCCGTAGTCTTTGGGGCATCGGAAACCGTAGCCTTGATGCTGGAGCTAGTGCACAGCCACAAGTTCTTACCAAATCGGCTTCCGAGTGACCTCGCCAGAACGAACTGCCAACTAGAAATGCCAGTAAATAGAAATAGACTTTATAATAACGGAAGTCTTCCTCAAACGCAAAAGACAGTCTTCATTTTGTTGTTCACATCCCTATCCGATTCTCTCACAACACTCTCTCGATATTCATACATTCAAGCTCCAATCATGTCAACCCTCATTTCTTGCTTGTCTGCAAAGACAGATAGGCCTGCTATCATAATTCCTGGAGAGTCAAATCCCGTCATTCTTTCTCACCAGCAATTGCTCGATCAAGTTCTGTTGTTTCAGAAGAAGCTTGCAGCCGTCGGGATCTCACCCAAGGAAGCAGTAGGAATTGCCCTACCCAACAGCCTAGAATTCGTGATCGCTTTCTTAGCAACGGCACTCCAGCGAGCAATCTGCGCTCCGCTAAATCCTGCATACAAGCAAGACGAATTTGAATTTTATTTCGATGACCTGAAGGCTCCCCTGGTCCTCGTACCCAGCGGAGCAATTAGAGGTCATGGTGAAGTGATCAAGGCTGCACGAAAGTGCAATGTCGCCATAGCCGAAGTTTTCTGGAACGGATCAGAGGTGGCCTTAGAAGTTGGAGGAAACGATGGAATGCGGATAAAGAAGAGAGCTGGGGTTCACGAACCTCAGCCGAAAGATGTCGCTTTGATTCTTCACACCAGCGGAACAACTGGCCGACCGAAAGCTGTAAGTAAATCCGAACACCGTATTTGAAGCTTCGATGCAGTGCTAAAGCCATTAGGTACCCCTAAGCCATCAGAACCTGTGCCAGACCATGAAGAATATTCAAACAACGTATGACCTATTGTCGGCCGATCGCACAATGCTGGTCATGCCACTGTTCCACGTTCACGGCCTTCTCGCTGGATTTCTTTCTCCTCTGATGAGTGGCGGTTCCGTCATCGTTCCAGTACGCTTCTCAGCCTCTGAATTCTGGCGCGATTTTGTCAAACACGAGGCAAACTGGGTACACTAACAACCTCAATCCCTTAAACTTCGAAAACTAACAGTGACCTCTAGTACACCGCTGTCCCTACCATGCATCAAATCTTGCTGAAAAACGAGATGCCATCTCCGATGCCGAAGATTCGATTCATCCGATCTTGCTCCTCGCCATTGTCTCCAACTGTGCACAAACAGCTCGAGACGGTGATGAATGCGCCTGTAGTAGAAGCATATGCGATGACAGAGGCTGCTCACCAAATGACTTCAAACCCCCTTCCTCCAGCTAGCCGAAAGCCCGGATCGGTCGGTAAAGCGCAGGGCGTCGAGCTCGTGATCATGGACGACGATGGGAATTGTCTCCCTCAAGGAAAGATCGGCGAGGTCTGTATCAAGGGACCGAACGTAACCTCCGGTTACATCGGCAAGGGCATTGCCTCTCCTTTTTTCCAGACGGGACATTTCCGCACTGGTGATCAAGGATATCTGGACGCAGAAGGGTACCTGTTCTTGACTGGTCGCATTAAGGAACTCATTAATAAGGGTGGCGAGAAAATCAGCCCGATAGAGATTGACAACACATTTGCTCAGCACCCTTGTGTTGCTGAGGCTGTTAGCTTTGCCATCGATGACGAGCTCTATGGTCAGAATGTTGCGGTTGCTCTTTGTCTCAAGCCAGGAAAATCACTCACCACGGAAGAATTGATCTCGTGGTATAGCGAACGCGCTGCGAAATTCAAGATCCCGAAGAAGGTAAGGGTGAAACCTTGCCCCAAGGAAAATAACAACTGACTGTTTTAGGTGTTCTTCACTGATATCATGCCGAAGACTGCCACCGGAAAGGTCCAACGGCGCCATGTTGCAACAGCAATGATCGCAACCGAGAAGAAGGGCGATTTTGAAGAGAAGCAAGTGGTGCAAACTCCATTGCCACCAGCTCCAGTATCACAAGCTCTAGGAGCGGCCGGGACGCAAGCTGCTCAAATCTCAACTTCCGATCGTTTCTTGAACCTGGGTCGGTCTCTAGTATCACGAGTTAGCTCATTTTGCCGAGGTAGTTTTTCGTTCGTCCAAGGAGCGAAGAAGTCGAAGGCATTGCATTGATTCCTTTCCTACTCTCCTTCTTGTATTCACTGTATGTTATTAGTATCCTGGATTGCAAGCGTGTGCACCTTCTAGAATGAAATTCCCATGAATAAGACGCCCATTAGAGCCTTATCTTCCTAGAGAATATATGACATTGGGCCAGAATATTCTTCTAGTGTTTACGCATGGTAGTTGTGAGAATGAGAGCAGATCCGCGCTTCTTCCTCAATCATAACCACGGTAGCTAGGCGGCGATAAAAGTGACTAGTATTCTCTAGTGTGGCCTTCTCTTTCCTCCCGTGGTCTTCTTCTTTTTAGCAGTAAGGTGCTAGAACCTACCGAGTAAGTTTTCCGCTGTGACAAAGGAGCTCACTCGGCCTACGGGATATTCGTACCTAACATAAAACATTCGCCGTGAAGATTTAACCCACTACGGTACTGGTTAGAATTAAGAAAGAACATTAAAATAATGCAAATTTAAGTCCTAGAATGCCCTTGTCATGTTATACGTTAGGTGACAAGATGTGGTAGTGTTTTCGTAAGGGAATGCTCGTGACACCAGTGCGCTTCTTCCGCATCAAAAATTCAAAGGTCACACTCAATTTTTCGGTTCCTAGAAGGGCTGGTTGAAGGCTGATGATGGGAAGCCTGATGGGACGTCACGATCAAAAAGTGGAGGTGATTACTGATTGCTTGGCACTCTATTTATCCCCCAAAGCTAATTTCGAATGACATATCAACTCCACAAATCCAAGATTCATATCACCAATCCAGTGTGGCTAGCATCATCAATTTTCAACTCGGGTTTATCCTGGAAACCTTCAATGATCATATACCCTGTATTCTTAAGGGATGAGTCGACGTTGTGGCTAAGCTTTCGTGACATCTCGGCATTGCTTCACCACAGTCTAGATGTCCCACTCTGCATCCCGAATGCTGCACCTTGACCACCTTTCGTCTCTCGCACACTCTCTTTTCAGCAATACTATGTTCAAATTTAGACGATCTCTCTCTTTTTGAGCCTTCTAAGAACTCCTAAGATCCCCAATCTTCGGGTTCCGATCACAACGTGGAAGGTAACAACTTCGCATTCATCGCATTCCGAAGATCTCTTCCCTTCCAGAAGGATGGTGTTTACGTGAAGAAGGTCGCCTGCGATTGGCTCTTAGAATCAGCCGTTTATTAGATTGGGAAGTATCTCAGGAGACATCACATTGCTGCGCCTGCGGTGTGTCTTTGGGGAAACGCGGACGGAGTGCTCATTCTAGGCTCTGGGCCTCCGCTCAGCGAAAACCTGGAATGTCTCGCATTTGGCTTGCGTTTTACATGCACGGCAGAATCGATGAACAGGAAGGCCAAGAATCGCTGCCCGATGTCTCGCATGGCTTCAGTCATGGGTTCCCTCGTCCATCCAGACATTCGGAAAGCGCAGTGGCTGACTGAATTCACGACTCCCAAAGGAAAAGTTAAGAGCTTCATTATCAGATGCACAGATACTTAACGCTGTGATTTGCTCGCCAAGGGAGAGCATCAACACAGCACTTTTCTTTTCTTTCTTTTCATCACGCTCGTCCTCTTCTTTTAGATTTCATTGAGTCCTCATTTATCTGCTAACTAGCATACTAAATCATTTTTATTTTCCACTATGGTTATGATGCAATCTCCTACAGACGTCCCTCAGCCAACCATGACTTCTTACCTCCCCTCTACCTGGCGGCCACTGCCTCTTGGTCTTCCTAACGCAAAGCCCACCAAGTCAAGCACTCTAAAGGAGGAGGTGCTAGGGCCCGGTAGCATATCAACTCCTCGAGACACCTCCTCGACAGAGGGTTCTGTGTGTGGTGACGACTCCAGCTCAAATGACTCTTCCTCAACTGCTCCAAGCGAGCATGGAGACGAACCCGCTCCTATCATCGAAATGAAGCCTGACGCACTCGTGCCCGAGATCTGTGTCCAGCACGAGACACCCGCCATTCCCCTGGTCGATATCCGTGCTCCAGATGTTTACGATCCTCTCGCTCCCGCAGCAACCAGACTCAGATACATGGTTAAGAACAGCGACCACATTATTAAGTGCCCTGGCGTGTACGATGGTCTATCAGCCCGGATTGCCATCGACGTCGGCTTCGAGGGAATGTATATGACTGGAGCCGGAACTACTGCATCTCGTCTTGGACAAGCTGATCTTGGTATTGCTCAGCTTCACGATATGCGCACCAACGCCGAGATGATCGCCAACCTCAGGCCTGACGGCCCACCTTTGATTGCAGACATGGATACTGGCTACGGCGGCCCCCTCGTTATCGCCAAGTCCCTTCAACAATACCATCTCGCTGGCGTTGCAGGCTTTCACATTGAAGACCAGATTATGAACAAGCGGTGCGGCCATCTTGCTGGAAAGGAGGTTGTGGACGTTGAGACATATATTCAACGTATCAAAGCATGTATCGTAGTGCGCAGGCAGCTCCGCTCCGACATTGTCATCATTGCGCGTACTGATGCCCTCCAATCTAAAGGCTTCGATGACTGCATCGAGCGTCTGAAACGGGCCCGAGCTGAAGGGGCTGACATGGGTATCCTCGAAGGTGTCAAGACGAAAGAGCAAGCTGCGCTTGCGGCCAAGCTTCTTGCTCCTTGGCCACTGTGCTACAACAGTGTTGAGAATGGCCACTCGCCATTGATTACAGCGCAAGAGGCACACAATATGGGATATAGGGTCATCATCTACAGCTTCGCTAGCATCAGCCCCGCGTACGTCGCTATCAAGAGTACGTTTGAGTGGTTACGGGAGACGGGTATGACGGGGAGTTCTGTCACGCCTAAGACAATTTTCAATGTTTGCGGGTTGGCAGAAAGCATTGTTATCGATGAGGCGAGCGGTGGAACGGCATTTGCAAAGGGTGTGTAGGATGTTGGAAGCCGAGAGAAGAAATATTCGGGGGTTGGAAAGAGAGATAGGTAAGGATGAAGAATACATGCTTCTTATAGTCAGTCTTGTTGGGTGTCTTTTGAAAGCAATTCTTCTTCCATGGCGTTGAACATTAGGAGCTCTGCATATTTGTGCTGTACTTTAGAACTTGCGCATAGAGGGTTGCAAATTGAATATGCACTCCCTTGCTATTTGTATGCATTGCTATCTTATCGAGAGACACACCTTTAAGAAAGAAAAAATTATGGTCTCCTTGTATGACGAGAAATATACAGAGTGCTATCGCCTAATTTGGGACATGCCTACGGGAAGGTCTATCTATTAATCATCCTGTTAGGATTAGGAGAACCTGAGTAGGATGTCAATTTCTATCCTAAATCACCCCTTACCATGACCTACGTTAGGTGTTAAGCCATATAGTCAATGACCAGGGCTTAAATAAGAACGGAAGACGCTCTCCCAATATCTTTCTATGCCGCTGTTGCAAAACCCAGGAATATGCATATCCTGTCAAATAAGAAACCCTCAGAAGCGAGCGAGATTTATTAGCACTAGCCATATGAGAATTTCTTTTTTTCACAATTTAGATTAGAATTCCCTCTAAAGGCTATGGTGTAGGGAGAGTGACTCTCTAATATCAGTCGTGAGGAGCTCGAGATAAAGAACTAGGAAAGGGAATGTACCTAGGGAGTGCTGGGAGACATTGTAAACTAAGGATCCGTTCATAATGAAAGTAGGTTGAGTTCATATCTAATACGCGCAAGCAATGATTGAGTAAAAATTTACTCCACAGGGTTTTCAGGGGTTTCGTTTGAAGAATTCTTCGCCTCCATTTCTTCTACTTAGGACGAAATTATCTCTCGCCCACCAGCTGTAACTTACCAAAGGCTGCGACTTCCTCTATGTCCCTTATCCAACATGGAACAACAGATTGAGTAGCCAGGTCTCTCTTGGGAGACTAGCGACTTCGGCTCTCTAGGCACAAAATGGACTATGGAACCCTTGATCAAAGTAATGGAACGGCCGTTTCGCAAAAATCTTCGTCTCAGTGCTGCAGTGGACATATGCGTGTCTTGATTTGCTGCCGGCGCACTGAATAGGCGTTTCGAAATTCACCGGCCACTGCATACGTGCTAAACATATATTGGGGTCATTGATTAGGAGGATAGTCACAAAGATGCGGGTCCTCATGTGACGAGAGCCGGGACGAACACGTGAGCATCGGCGGTGAGTCTAAGGAGGAGATGCCGGGGTTTGCGGGCCGAGCTGATGTAGAGGAAAGGAGGAAGGGCGGTGGATAGAAGGCATTCACACTCGATCGTGTGCCTGCGATCTGGCACTACTTCCAAAGGAAAGAACACGGCGACGTGGAGTATCGATACGATAAAGTGCGGTCGAGCTGACCAGTTGTGGCTGCCTTTGCCTTCCTCACCCTGACGGCCCCGCTCAACACAGTGAGGGTGATGTGGAATATCAGACAGCCCCCTTCATGAATCCAGACAGCATCTACGTCGACATTCAGCTGGAGTCAACTCGGTGGATCGGGGTCAGCTCGTTCATATGCCTTGGAACCAGACTGCCTCAAGCCTGGAAACCCAAAACATCGATAGAAGGAGGCTTGCAGGTGGAAACCTAGCCTTCGGTATTACGCTGAACGCCACACCACTGATACCTACACGGCCTGATCTTTCAGGGAGCTGTACCTGGGATATGTGGCTTACACACACGTGGTCGCCACCGGCCTCAGTCAACCCGTTGACCGGGAACTCACTCGCATGTCCCGATTCTTACCTGATGTTTCTTTACTGGAATCTTTCCACGGGAATTTCGTGTTCGGTATCGGCAACCCACGTGCAGTGTAAAGGAGAAGCGAGCCTGACCCAGCGTACATCAATCTATATTGCTTGCAGCACCCCGCAACCCTGAAGAGCTGAGTGCGGACTTTTCATTTAGAATCTTCCGTCTCAAGCATTTCCAAGAGCGTATCTGCAGCTGGATATACTGCTTCTCTAGGGTTTCTCGTGAATGAAGTCCGTTAGAAAGCGGAAGCCAACAGATCCGCTCTAGGCTTGCATCTGCCGATGGACACTGAAAGACCAGTGCGAAGAGCTGACGTGTGAAACCCGAGATGAGGTAGCCAAGGGCCCACCTCCAAATTGTTCGTCCTGGGGTCTGATGGCGGTTATCCACGTGGCCAGGCTTCCAGAAGCGACTCCATCCGGATTGATTACATGCATGTCAATATGAAGTGAAGGATGCGAGGACGAGGGAGTTGACGAGAACAAGCAGAGGCGAGATGTAACCTTGGGGTCAGCCATTAAATGGGATAAGAAGAAGTGTGCGGTCATTGGAGTGACAGACACTGGGGTCTTGACCATGGATGGGTGAATCTGACGTCTGACAGAATAGGTGGGCGCTGTCCCAAAGACTAAAAGAAATGGACGTTGCGATAGGATACCGTTGGATATGAACTGAAAGACGGTATCTGACGTCGCTTCGCTCTGGCAAGCTACTGGCTGAAATCCTGGAAGCTTACTTTCGTCTCCGCTTTCCTTTGGGTTTCGGTTCCAAAGGTCGCTGGTGTCACCCACGTCAGTTCACCTTTATGCAGTCACCGATTCTTCCGGTCGGAACAAAGTCTCGCGGATTTCGGACGCATCATACTATGAAACTTCTTTGCGAAGAGTGGTGGTGGAGACCTTTGGGCTTCCTAAGTTAGAATCCGGCGGAGAGGAGAATCTCGCACTCAACAACGATAAAAGATGCATCGTATCCACCACCGCCACCGCGTTCCTCGCGTTCGAATTCTGCACACGTGAAAAAAATATAAATTTGGAAAAGACAAGAAGGCAGAGTGTTCCAGGCAAATACGGACCGGATGCATCTGTGTGTCGCGCCACGCATCACAAGCTCTGACACGCAGAGATACGAAAGCATCTCAGCTGCACTAGAAAGGGATAGCATCCGGCCCGCAGTTAATGCGGCTGTTTCACGAATTCTGTGACCGTTGGCATGGATCTGAGATTCCAACGGGCTGGCTGTGCCGTTCCGAAGTGCAGGCTAGATGCTGAACGAAGAATGCACAAGTGGTAGCTTCAAGAAGGTACAGCACCTTCGAGGGCTGCTGGGTTCTTCAAACATAACCATAACCATGGCCATGGCCATGGCCCACGCAACCGTCTCAAATACTCGCTACCAACCGTGGCAGGAAGGTACCCAGCTTCATCCTCAGGCTGCTTTTGATGGTAACGCTTTCCGGGGCATCTAATGGTGATCCGCAACAAAAGACGAGTGACTCCAGCCCGTCATATCACCACAGACGCACTCAACCACCCAAGCCAGGAAAAGCAATCTATTTTGGCCAATAATAGCCTGGGACTGCCTTTCATGTGCCTGTAAGCGGAAAAGAAAGCACAGCCTAGATGCCGGATTTGGCGAAGGAGATCAGCCTTCCGCTTCTGGTTGCTTACAGACCCACGACCAAAGCTTGATTGACGGGGACACCCTGTCGTAGTAGTGGGGTTCCGACATGGGTTAAGTGGAGCATTTGGGGTGGGGGCTAAGTTCGACGTTGTTGTGAGGTTAAGTCCTCATGGTCTTTCTTCGGCGTCGTTGAAGTCGTTCAGGGCCTTGGAAGCTGGCATTCGATAAATTCACACCATCCGATGAGAAAGCTGCTTGTCTTGTCAGCCGTTTTGATCCAATTACGGCCTAGGGCGTGCATGTGCCACCTGAGAAGGGTTGAGAGGCGACCAAGTGTTACCGGGAACTTCGGGTTCGCAAACACTCCACCATGGTGATGGCCGACAATGAGGCATGGTGACTTCCAAAAAGTAGACATCGAGGAAATTGATCGCGCGAGGGATGCTTCCGCCATGCACTTACTGTGCAGTACACAGGGCAACTGTGGCTGCTGAGTTAGCACTACTTTGGTGTGTCAGAATCGCCACCACAGAAATTCCACGATTGAAGCCACCCGCGCGGCCCCATCCAGATCTGCCAAATGGAGGGTCAAACGCCATTCCCGCCCTCCAGCCTAACGCGAACGAGCCAGTGCGCAAGCTCCAGACGGCCACTACCAAGGGTCAACGATTTCTGCGACTCCGACTTTGGCTTGCGAAAAGCACCGGCTCTGAGCCATTTCACCCAAGCCGGGCGCTAACAAACGCCCAGCAAGATACGGAATACTCGCACGCCATTATTCGCATCGCATTCTCCCTGTTTGTTCCAAGCGCCGTCAACATCAGAACCCGTGGCATCTTTGAACCCAATAATCCCCTCCTCGAGGCTGCAGCTGCCAGCAGCGACAGGCGAATCATCCGTGCCATCCTTCCTTTCACTTGTGCACCGAAATCACACCTCCCGGAGCAACCAGGACTTGGTACCAGGCAAGCACCACCCACACGAGAGCCTCATCCCATCCAATCTATCTCCTGTGTCAGTGATCGAGGCTCTTCAGGAATCAGCCTGACGCTAGCTGGGAGGAGGCTGTTTAGTCAAAATCTCGCGACCAAAGGGTTGGGAAGGCTTCTCAAATTTTAGAATTTTAAATAAAATTTGCGTGGAAGCAAGCGAGTGCTAAGTACGCTGAGCCTTTTTAGGGTCCATTATGCCTGTTAATATGTGATGGAATGTTCGATAGATGAAAAGGATTCACCAAAATCACCAACGCGAAACTGTTTGCTGCAAGAGGTGAAGTGTGAACTGCCGCTGGTTGGTCTGTAGTCAATCCATGGATCAAACCATGCGACAGATAGTACGAAGTTCTGTGCGCGCCGTTTAATATAGGTGAAATTTGATGCGAATTTGCGATTTATCGCAGGGCTAGGGCACAGGCATGTTGATTCAGATCCGTGATGTGATGACAATGGTCATTTCATTTACTGAGCGTGAGTGTGTGCAAGCGCACTTATTATGCCACAAGCCTACCAACTACGGTATGTGATAAACCCCCAAGGTGGGTTGCGCGAAGACACCTGCTTCACCGGCGAGGTGGTGATGTATCGTCCTCCCCTGCATAGCTGGAAATTGCTGCTGCGTCACTGCCCCCTTTCCGCTTCCAAAAATATATACAAAAACTGACGATAGACTTTCAATATTCCCGCCAACAGTAAAGCGGAAGTGGACAAGAAGGCGCAGTGGAGAAAACTAACCAATTCCAATTGCGAGCCGTCTGATCGCGAAACCGACGTGCGACTCTCGTGCGCAATCCTTTTACGCCTCGATAATTTCCAATTGACAGTAGAAGTAATTGTGAAGGGTAACCTTGTAAGCCGAGAGGCCTGAAATCCAAAATCTATAATGCGTGACGGTGAAGGGGCGCCACCATGATATCGAAGGGTCGAATAATAGTGTGCAAGAAGTACAATCGCTAATAGTGCAGCAGAATAATTTTTTATAGAGTGTGTGTGCGAGCGCGCAACTGAGTCCGTGAAGCGACCTGCCTCTTGACTTCCTCGGGTGCGCTTTTCATGGTGATTTTGAAGGTGTCGCGGACTCGAGTACGGAGCAAAGACTCCAAGGCACCATAGACGCCTCCGTCAATGCCCATCTCTGCAGCGTTTGCGCCCTTGCAGTACCGTTCCGAGAACTTGTCAATGAGCTTTTCAACTTTGCGGAGCTCGCTAAGAATGAGCTGAGTCCTAAAAGCCTCTTCATCTTCACCCTCGAGTCTGAAGTCGCCAAGGGAGATGGGAGTATGCGTGAAGGCTTCCAATTGTGTGTTCACCGGGGATTCGGCTGTTGACTGGTTCATGCCAGCAACAGCTTGATACCATGAGAGGATTTTGACGATGGTGAAGGCAATGGTCGTCGAGAAATGGGGGTTTGCCGAGCAGGGGCATCCGAGGAGGACGAATAGCTTGTCGACCGCAGCTTTGTTGGTTGACAGGACCGAGTCAAGAGTTGGGAGGCTATTGGATCCGCCAGTGAAGTCGCAAGCAGCAGGCTGAGAAGCTGGCGGAGAGTAGAGACTGTTCAGTGTCGCAAATGCGAATTGTGTGCAGTCCATGGGATCATGGTGCTTAATTGTGGCTGAACTAGGAGGAGTTGGGAGAGGTGCTGGGACAATCGGTGTAGGAGACGCCACCTTCTCTGGAGCAAACATTGGTAGGCCTTGTTGTTCTGGCATGCCGAAATATTGCGGGCTTGACATCGGTGGTGAGTTTGTCAGACCATCCATTGGTGCGAACATCTCCGGTTGGCTCTGCACACTGGAGGACCGCACGTGCCCCGCATACGAAGATGGTGGTGGGGGGAAATGCGGTATGCTTGCGAACAACGGTTCCGAGGGGCTTTGGAACATCAAATGGTCGTCGTTCGACCACCCGCTCACAAAGGAGCCAGTGTCCGAATAGGGTGACTGACTTCCGTCGAAGCCGCCCATAAATGTATCTGGGTAATGGTACTCTGGTGTCGCTGGACCAAAGAAGAACGGATCCATTGGCTCTGGTGAGCTTTCTGTAGTGGATGATGGGGTCCTCGGAATCATCTCTGGTCGAATCCCCAATGGCCCACACGAGCTCGCGGGAGAAACATCTCTCATAATGGAACCATCGGGGTTCCTGTTTTTTCTAGGTTTACCAAGCCTAGGAAGCGTTAGATAGATTCAGCGCGTGCAACACGAAACTTATATACCTCATAGAAGGAGAATAGTTGCAGCATATTCCCATATTGGAACATCGATGGCAGTTTGGGCGGACCTTGTCGCACTTGACTTTGGCTCTGGAACAGGCGTCACATGAAGCTCGGAGCTTGCGAGGCTTCTGTTCACCAGCAGGCATACTGGTGGGTGGCTGGAGGATTGACATGTTGCTCGGTGATGGGGGAGTTTGCTGAGCTGGGAATGGCTGAGGTACAGCTTGAAACATTGTATAGCTGGGGAGTATAGCCTTGCGGATAGGGAAATGCAGGCTGGAGGGGCAGAATAAGAATTATATACGGCGACGAGGGGAGGGAAACTCTCCAGAGGCTTTAGCCCTCTTGAGGAAGTGATATGGAATTCCTAGGGTGGGCCCCGGCGTCAGCTTTCCACCCTTGATCCTGGCAGAATGTCTGCACGACAGCCAGCGAGCGGTTGTTGGACTGGGGAGATGCGGGCTGAGCACTTGGACCAATCTTACCAGAAGCGCTTGCGCTAGCGTGCGTTGATGCAGCGTCCGCATTCCTCACTGTCCACTCCGGGATCATCTCTATCTCTGCCTTGATAATGAGTTGGCGGAGACATGTCTCTGTGCCGATCCTAGCGGCCTCGAGAGGGGACGGTTCCCGTTGTTGTACACCACGAGCCAAAACGGACCAGCTGGTTGGGTCTCGGTCAACTTTCAGCCGGGCAACAGCAGCTCGCAGGCGGGAAAAATGCGCTGCGTGGAGTAAATTAACCACGAGGGTGAGGGATGTGACTGCAAAAGCACCATTGGGGCGGGTCCTGCCAGAGTGCTCGAGTGCCAGAGTGCCAGAGCTCATCAACGGCTGGCTGCTCTGTGCTCACGAAGTGTGCGCGCAGAGACGATGTGTCGTTAGTCAGAAAGCAATAAATGATGATGATTCGATGAGGTCTAGCGTCTCTTCTGCTTACGCTCTATAATTACCTCCGCTTGGAGAAGCTCAATTGACATCATGGAATTTACTGTCGCCGCACCAGGCATGCATGTGCGCGACAGCCAGAGAAAGCCAGAGAAAGCCTGAGCTGGCGCCTCTGAACCCTGTGTACCACAGGAGTGAATCATGGAGGTCTAGATGACACGCTGAGAGCAGCCAGCTCTTCGTAGAGCATTGCGGCGTCTCAGCACACCGGCGAGCTGTAAAATGGAGGGCCTTGTCCCTGGTGGGGAATGGTTGCACACATCTGCATGGAAGCCCTCGAAGAAGACGAGGCCCCTGACTGCTGCTACACCACGAATGCGAACTTGGTGATACCATGGCCGAGGTGTGTAGAAACAGCTGACCAACACCCACGGCGGCGGAAGTCGCAGGCATGCGAGAGCGCCATGTCGCGGCCGTGGCTTGAGGGCTGAAATCGCCCCGACGCAAGGTTTCCCCCATTTTTTCCAGAGCAGAAACAGGAAATCTTCGTTTCAAAATGTGCTGTTGGGTGCCTGAAAACGTACGTGGAGGTGTACGGAGGACAAGCATCGATCTCGAGATCAGAAATCACCGATTTAGCAGAAGACACAGGTGTAGGCCTCAATAATTCATTGCAGGACTGCTCAGCCTCGCTGGCATCTTCCGCGAATAGTGTCAAGCCTGACTTGCTTCTGTAAATAGGTTGCAGGTCGAAACTGTCGACGTCCAAGCCTCCTCTCAGAGCCAACTCCACTACCATGGAAAAAATCAAATAGATCGAGAGAGGATCCTGTTCCTCCAACGTCGCACTCGTGGCGGCCAAACCTCCGGACAATTACATGAGGTAAGTATTGCCTTGTCAGGACGGAGCCACACCCGGATCAGGCACGCGGTGGACCAACTTACCCGCTTATCTAATAATTCATCAATCAAGCTCCGCAATGACGGGTCCTGGCCCGTGATGAAGTCTTGGGAGGAGATCATCCTCGATGGTGTCCTGCCTTGCAACCAAGCTGTGCGAATCTTTCGTTGATCACGGAATTCGTTGCGAAGCAACCCACAGACAAGGATTGATCAGCTTTAATTGATCGATGATCAAGTCTGCCCTTTTGAATCCTTGCCAACTGCCGCGAGTCTCTCTCTGAAGTCCGTTGACATGTTCATCAAAATCCTGGTGGTCGCGCGTGTTCCTGACTGCAAGGCCAGGGGATCCCCATCTTGAACAAACTGCCTATGCGCTGCAACATGCTCGGATTTTCAATTAACCGCAAGTGATCTGGAATCTTTATCTCTGAAACAGTGCTTCGCCGCAAGTGTGTAGCGTGTCGGAGAAGGCCCGAGGCCGCCCAGCTGAGGCTGTCGCTGTTTGCTGCACTTTGGTATGCAGTTACGGCATGCCTACGACAAGCTGCACACAACAACGACTAGGGTGTAGTCCGCGTGCGAGGATGGATGGATTCGCTCAATAACTTGAAAAGTAGGTGGTCTGATAAAGTCCCATACAAGCGAATGTAGCTCATCGCTCCATGCCCCCGCGAGAAGTTGCCAAAGTGGCCTCCACATCGAAGATCAGTGGGGGATTGCCTTCTACCTGTGTTGATCGGTGAGGTCACTCGGCGTACTGGGAACGTTAATCTGAGCATTCTGGGCTCAACGATAATTGCGGGACGATTCTTTCTCCTTCAGACCTCAACGGGTGACCTGTCGAAGGATTCATCGATACCATGATGGCGACTCCAAGCGATATGTGGGAGTGGAGCCTAGCAAGCTTGGGAAACCAATCAATATCCTCGTGAGGAACGAAAAGGATGTTTTGGAACCAGCTTCCCGAAAGGCTCAATGAACTTTGTGTCGCAGAACACGGGAACTTGCCATTTCGATAATCCAGAATCGCAACGAAGGGAAGAATCCCCGCATCGTCGAGGAGGTCGACTATTGTGATGAGGTCAACGTCCAAGTCGGACAAAGTGAGATGGACTCTGAGCCGAGCATCGGCTATAGGGAGCTCACTCTAGCCCAACCCGCAATCTGATAGTTGCTCCTGGATGCTCATCTGTGCTGTGGGTGCCACTGGAGCCGCGGCAGGCGGTCCCTACCTAGATGATTGCTCGTATATCCCATGCGGGAACGGATGCTCCATCGATATGTTGCGATTGTGGGGTCCAGTCAGGTCGCGAGGCTCGAGCATGCTGCTTGATCGAGTCGCATCGCGCAGTTAGATAGCGAAAGCAAAAGGCAAGTGATTATCTTCTTGCGAGGCGCCCATGGCGTGTCACTGAGCATCAGGTAGTCAGGGAATGGTGTTGGTCATTGATAGCCCCGCATCCAAGTCCTTGAAAGTCCGCAATTCCCCTGCAGAGATTCGACATCACTCCCACTCGAAGTCTTGGGTACACAGCGCCATCCTGTCATCGAATTGTGGACATCTGATGATACTCTTGAGCATGTTAGATTGCTCGTGCGGCCATTTCGACGTCGAGTCGAGGCCGGGCTTTGCAGTTGAACTTCGCAACCTCTGGGAAACTTCGGCTTGCCGTGGGAAGGCACCCTTGTGCGTCGGACCCGTACCTTTCTGTTCGGAAACCGAAGCGTGCATGAAACGGGGCCAGTGGGAGCGTCTACGGTCTACCGGCAAAACGCATCTTGCCGTGCCGTAGCTGTCGGAACCCAACCACCCCATTGTTGCGCCTTCTGCATTCGGCCTGCACAATGGCCCTGTATTGCTCCATAATCCGTTTCATGTCGGAGAGCACAGCATCGGAATTTCACGGTCGCTTCTTCGACAATGAAATGCGCCCGCTTCTGCAATCTTTGTCCGATCGTCTCCGCCATCGTGCTTCCATGAATGGAGGGTACCGTTCCGTCTGCTCCTGTTCCCACTCGCTCAGTTGTAAACCAGGCTCAAAGCAAAGTAGCGCAGTCGCAGTGCTCGTGTTATCTCATCACCATGTCTGTGCCTCGAAGTGGTTCCCGAGTGGCTGAGTTTGCTTGTAAATCTCCGATCGATCCGTTTCGTTTCACCTTTGGTTGCAGATCTTCGTTGTTGGGCGTTTTTGCTGGATGCAGTTTGCTCACTAGTGGGCACATTCTGGTAGCCAGTTGTCTGGTCTGTGTCTCCAGAAGCTTCCACAACGTCATCGCAGAAAATAGAAAATGAATGGACCAGTTACTATTTTCTGTTACTTTCTTCTAGATCAGATCTAGCCTTAACTGGCATCATGCTCGTAGCATAGCAGGAGCCTTACCCGTTTTATACACGGAAGAGTCGTCCTCAAGTGGAAAGAACGTGCACAGGTACCAACACCCGAATGCTAAGTCCAAGTCAGCACTATGAGAAGCATCTCTTCGACAAATCCTAACAGCACAAGTCTTGTAGTCTTTCAATTTAGCTCTCCGAATGCAGAAGACAAATGACTGACGTCGGCCAGGGCCGAAGAGCCGCAGGAACCTCAGGAGCAACCGTGTAGTGAGCCGAGAACAATCGGACAGCAATACTAGCACAGATCCAGCGAACCATGGTCACCCTTCTCTTAGTGAAGACGATACCAGGAATAAAAATTAACCAAAGGCGGATTGGTATTAGTCGTGGTGAAGCAGGAGGTATCCAGAAATTGGGAACTGACGCTGGTTGGTCTCCTCATGTCAGGTATCAATTGATCGCTGGTAAGCCATAGGACCAGGCAAGGAAGCTCATCTATGCAGGTAATATTGAGCAGCGAGCAAACGGGGAATTGCGCTCGCGAATCCGAAGGTCGACGTGGGTAGATTGTGGTGACAATGACAGTGCTGAAGTGATGCCATCAATGATTTACTGAGTTGTATTGAAGTGAGAGAAATGGACGCCAAATTCTGAGTCGCGATGAGGGTGGAGGACGAGAGGGGGTTGTATTGATGCTTTCTTGGTTCGTGCAGCGTTGTTGGAGAGGGAGTGGGAATGTGGGCGTGTATTGGACATGTGCCACTGCATCATATTCAAGAGAGGAAGTAAGGCCTTCATATATCTGCTCCACTCTACATTTTGTCCCGCGCGTCATCAGGCCTGGAACTTGACCTACGGATCACGGATCTTACCATGTCATCATGCATCGGTCACGATCTCCGATCCAGCGAGGGGCTGGACACCACAACTACCATGTCAGTACCATGCTTCAAACGCAAAATCAATATATCGAAAATCTTCTGTACTTGGTACCATTTGCTATTTCAGGCTGTTTGGTGGCGAAATACTGTTTCGCACCCCGAAAACGAACGGTCCGAGAACCGGAATTCAAGCTGAGGCTGAATCAGTGGGCGATTATAGAGTAGCCTTTTCACGTGCCTGGGCATATTGAAACACCTCTCAAGAAGCTGGAGGCGTAGTTGTATGGAACAGAGTGGAGATCTCCAGGGATTCAGAGTAATTCAAGGGTTTGCAATGTGATGCTTAGGTGATGAGCACTACCGCTAAGGACTTCATCTGACATCAGATCCCCTGTCTGCTTCATAGTATGATCAAATTGACCAATCGTACATCTTAGCTGCATCTTAGTCACCCGACCCGCTTTTGTATTCTCTGGCAAGAGATCGTGAAGTCATTTTGAACCGTTTCACTTAAAGGGCTCTCCCAATGGCAATGATCTATCATGAATAACGTACTGCAGGAAGAGCAATATTAAGTAAGCCTCCACTTTGCATCCGGTTGCCCAGATCTTGCGGAGGATGATCAAACAGATGGATAAGGACATGCTGGCATATCTGCCACAGATATAGTTGCCATTATTGTGGACCAGCAAACAGGATCAACTTGTACTACATCGTATCACCCAACGCAGAGCACGACAAGGGCAAATTGAGGATAAATGCTATTCTAGAAAGAAGTTTAGCGGGTACACTGCATCCTGGTAATGTTCTACGTTATATAGCGATATGCTATACTAGCCCTTAGAGATAGATGAGGAAGAACGCTGTTAGCTCATTTTAGCTACGACCGAGAACCTGTGGTTATCGAAATTGTCAAGATATCCTCGAGTATTCTTCGCGGATTCTGGTTGATATCGGCCTCGAGGAAGTCCCTTGCAATTTGCTCAGCCTCTTCCAGCTCCGCAACTTCAGAGTCCGGCATCACGGAACATGCGGCTACTAGATCCTCTCCCTTGGCTGATAGGAGAATAAGCTCCTCGGCGCGTTGGACGACCTCCGGTGGGATTCCGTTCATAGCAGCGCAGCTGTTTTGAGCTTCAGAGTCTCTCCTTGGGCTTTCTAGAAGAGCTTCGAGGTTCTTACCATGTCCCAAAGCTGGAGGTACTGCGGCCGTTGCAGAGACTTTCAAGATGTCGGCGACAATTACACAACGAACCCAAGCTAAACTTACTTATATAGATAAGTGATCTGATCTTCAGCCTCGGCGGCTCCTGTGTCCACCCGGACTTCCATGTGGCCAAAGGCGAGGGCTGGTCCTGGTTTCAATAGTCCAGTCTCAAAGATTTCTGTTGTGATTAGATTCTGAGACGGTTTACTATTTTATTTGCTCACCATGAAAGTGCGTAGCCCCAACTACCTTTGGACATTCTTTTCCGAGACTTAGGAGATACTGAAGGACCGCGCAAGCCAAGCCCGCCCCATCGCTCGAGTCGGTACCTTTCCCAAATTCATCAATGATCAGCAAGCTCCTCCGTGTCGCCAAGCTCAAAGCTAAGGAGATTTGCTGCAGATCAATCATGAAAGCGCTCTGATTACGAGACACTGTCTCGCGCGTAGTCACTCTGGAGAGTATTTTATCAGTCAGCCCGACCTTAGCACTCTCCGCTGGAACGAAACTTCCAACATGTGCCATGAACACGATCAGGGCCACCTGCTTCAAATACACACTCTTGCCGGAATAGTTCGGTCCTGTCATTATGAGCATATTTGGGCCCTGGTGGTGGGATCTAGAACAAGCCGAAGTACTAGCTTGCGGTCGAGTCTGAGTGGCACACTGAGTATTACTGTCGTCAGATCCGTCATTGGAGGCGCTATATCCTATACCGCCAACAAGGTTTGTATCATTCGCAACAAAGGACGGCACTGTGAGCTCCTGAAGCATGTGCCTAGACATCGTCTCAGCAAAGCGTCTTAGTGTAAAAGCTCCCCGAGACATACCGGCCATGTTTAATACGAAGAATGTTATCGCTTGTAATTCGAGGCCGACACAGCCTATGCAGTCGTGCTCCTTGAGCTAAAGCTAGAAGACTACAGTCCATCGTTGTTAGCTGTGACCCAATCTCTCGATAGAAATCTTACCTATCTAGCTCGCCACATATGTCTGATGCGGCGGTCAGTAAGTTCTCGTATTCAAGAACATATTGAGCAAGCTCATGGCTGATCTCGATCTCACGGTCCGAGATGATACCGTACAGATCTCCGAAATGATCGTCCATCTCTCGCATCTCGATGTTCTTGAAGTATACCTGCTCCCTTTCGTCTGTAAGCGAGAATGCGTCTTTTAAAGGGGAAAAGGCGGATATACTCAGTAGAAAACATTCGTTCCCATGGATTCTCAAAACTTCCTTCGTAAACGCCACCGCCCGTAGCTAGATCAATAGGGACTGTTGTTAGGAATCCGATCTGGGGAAAATATATCACGTTGAGAGACTCTTGAAGATCAGACGGTATTCTCTCAGACAGTTTGCGGGCAACTTGACTGAGCAGGACGTCCAATCCAGCAAATGTAGCTTTCATTTGATCCAATTCATCATCTATCCCAGGGAGGATGACGGTCCGGGATTCCTCCGCAGATTTCTCGAAATCGACCTAACGGTGTGAATGTAATACCATCAGGGTCAAACGGACGCATTACCATCTCACTAATACGCCGGCCCACTTGGGCGAGGTGATAGCCTTCGAATTTCTCAAAGACCTGATCTTATCAGAGGCGTCTCGGCCAATGATCAAACGGGGCCAGCATACCTTGTTCCGAATCGCAAGATGTTCAGCACCAACCACTCCTTGGAGGGCATCTTTTATCTTCAAGGCATGAAAAGCGAACTTTCCCCAAGGAGTTAGTAGGCGATTGGTAAATGTAGGGATATTATCGTGGGCTCTGGGCCTGGGTAAGTAGATTACCCACCTGCCGAATACCAGCCCAGACGCTCTTTGAGACACCCCGGCCCTTCCCAATACCACCACCCACGCCTTTCCTCAGATAGATCATAATTACTCGCATATTTTTCACCGATTGTAGATCCTGCACCAAACTGTCCAAATAATTTGCATTCTCTGGGTGCAGGAAGACACCAATCGTTTCGAGTCGCTCATTGATGACGTCGAGGTTGAGACTAGGGCGGAGGAAGTATTGTTTGAGCAAGAACTTTCCTTGTGGGGTTCGTGCAAGGTGGCGGAACAAGCCATATACTGAAAGACCTTCTTTGGATCCGGAATTTGCTTTGGTCGGGCCTTGGTTATGAGAATGTGGATGGGACTCGGATTCTAATACTTGCAGTGAGTGTAAAGTGTTTGCATCGATGAACCTGAGTCGCGGGTCAGAAGCAAAATAATATGGTTCGTAGTGGTCTCACATAGTGTCCCGGAGGCTGAACATTTCCAATGTCGATATCCGAAACATCAAGTATGCGGCATTGTCCCCAGGAAGATAAGCAGCGGTACGCCTTCGTTGCAAATAAGAGAGAAGCGCCCCAGCACAGCCGACCTAGATCTAAGGTATCAGAGCTAACGTGTAGAGATAGTGGCAGGACTGTATACCGTCAATCTGCTCTCCATGTCAACCCATCCAGACAACCTCAGTAATTGACCCTGGTGGCGAGTAACATCATCTTCGTCGAAGCCATCGGCCGCAACAACATCCCCGGGTACGACAAATGTGACTTGAGGCCCGTCACCTTCCCCGATTCGAAGGTGTACAAGTTTTGACTTGGCGGTTTCGTAGGCGAACTCGGAAGGAGGACGCACTTCAAGCAAGAAGGGGAGCCTGAATTGGTCAATGCTGCCATCCTCCGATACCCTGCTCTTGGCTTCTGGATCAAGCCTGTCCATCGCAGCATCATCAATTTTGGTAGAGACCAGTACAACAGTCGGCTCAATATACAGCTTCACTGAAGGTCTGTCAGCACCACAAGTTCACATCAAGTTCTGACTTCGAAGCATACAAGCGTCAACCACATCAACGCCACCAAGCTTCATGTCCTCCATGAAGTACAGTTTCTCGTCTCTCGCCACATAATAACAACATCCTACGGTTCCACGTTCTCTAACGTCTACGGCCATAATAACCTCATTGAGCGAGTCGAGGTTTTCATCACCATCTCCTTCTTCTGCTTGGCGGTGACGCGGAAGGGAGATTGAAGATGACTCGAATGCGGGTCTACTTCTCTGACAACGAGTAGGAACACTTACTTTTATTCGCGTGGGCTTCGGCGTTTGGGTCGATGTTGAGCCAACTGAGGAGCGACGGGAAGGACGAGCCGTAGAGGTGTGGTAACTACCATCGCTCTGCATTGAGGAGGCCGATCGGCGACCACCCTTTTTGCGGAATGCGAATCTCAGGGCCATTTCGGATAGAAATTTAGAGGGGAAAACTGAAGTTGAGGTTGGGTGGCAAATGATAGTAGAGAAGAAGGAAGTGACGACTGCTTCAATGCTACCGCCGCTAAATGCCCGACCACCTGCCTAGGTCCGTGGAGCATTTGAGTCAATCTTTACGCGCACAATATTGCATATTAAAGCTTAAATGGGTATACATAAAGTATGGCCTCATTAACATATCTAAGTAGACTAAAAATTATGAAAAGTTAGAGGAAAGCAAAAACCTATATGCTACACAGATCTAAAGGGGAGAGCGCATCAACCAATCCACATGCCTACCGTGCAGAATTATGATGTGCACAGTTGAAAGGACAGGGAATAAATACGTTATCCAGCAAGAGCGGAGGCTGCAGAGGCGGTCTGAAGTTTTTGTGCGGCGGCTCCGGAGCTCATGGGTTCTTAGTTACGTTACAGTGGACACGCGGAGACCATTCTGCTCATCTTTGATAGACACTTTCACCACATCGCCACTCTTAATCTCGCCTTTAATGATTTGGTCAGCGAGTCCATTCCCGATCTCCTTTGCGATGAGTCTGTTGAGAGGCCGAGCACCAAAGCGCGGGTCGTAGCCCCGGTCGCAAAGCCATTGCTTGACGTTATCTGAGACCTCTAGAGTTATGCGGCGGTCGTCTAGTCGTTCCTGGAGCTCTCTTAATCGGATGTCTACGATATCCCGAAGTGCATCACGAGAGAGTCGATGGAAGATAATGAACTCGTCAATACGATTGAGAAATTCGGGGGGATAAGAAGAAGCGACGACGTCCATTACAGCGCTGCGGATCTCTGGAGATATTTCGCTTGAGTCCTTGCCAACCTGGTGCAAAATGTCGTCTCCAACAATGATGTTCGCGCCAAGATTCGACGTTAGGACGATGATGGTGTTTCTAAAATCGACTTTGTGACCCTGGGCATCGGTTAAGAAGCCCTCATCGAGCACTTGCAGAAGTAGGGCAGATATGTCTTTGTGAGCCTTCTCCCATTCGTCGAGGAGAAGAACTGCATACGGCTTCCGCCGTACCGCCTCTGTCAGCTGCCCAGCATCATCGTACCCAACGTACCCAGCCGGTGAACCAATAAGCCTTGATATGGTATGCTTCTCTGAAAATTCGGACATATCGAATCTAATCACTGCCTGAGGGGTTGAAAAGAGGAACTCGGCGAGGCGCTTGCAAACCTCCGTCTTACCAACGCCAGTGGGTCCTAACATCATGAAGCTCGCAATCGGGCGATTGTCACCTGACAAGCCCGCTCGCTGCATCCTGATGGCGTTCGCGACGGCAGTGAGTGCTTCATCTTGACCTCGAACATGTTGCCGGAGAGAGTCTTCCATATTGATCAGTTTTTCGCTCTCTCCGCGCATCAATTTTGATACCGGAATGCCTGTTGTTCGGGATACAACATTTGCAATATCATCCGCGTTGACAGAGTCATGGAGTAGGGAATCGGAAGCCCTTCCAGACATGGCTTCGTCGCCGCCATCGTGAGGTAGCCTTTGCTCAAGCCTCGGTATCGTAGAGTATCTTAACTCTCCTGCTTTAGCAAAGTTACCTTCTCGTTGGGCTGTTTCCAGCTCCAGCCTCGCTCTCTCCAGGTTCTCTTTGATGTTCTTGATCTCTTGGATCTCGGCACGCTCTTGTTCCCATTTTTCCATTAGCTTCGCAACAGCCTCCTGTTTCTCTTTCAAGCTCATCTCGAGGCGTTCCCTCCGCTCCTTACTGGCGACATCTGTCTCCTTCCGAAGAGACTCAAGTTCGATTTGGATTGTCATAATTTGACGGTCAAGTTCTTGGATGGCATCAGGCTTGCTTTCCTGCTGCAATCTCAGGGCGCTGGCTGCTTCGTCGACCAAATCAATGGCCTTATCTGGTAAGAATCGATCAGTGATATAACGATTGCTGTAAGTTGCAGCGGCAACAAGAGCTCCATCGGTAATTCTCACTCCATGGTGAACTTCGTAACGCTCCTTGATGCCTCGAAGGATAGAGATGGTATCTTGAACACTCGGTTCCCCGACCAGGATGGGCTGAAATCTCCTCGCCAGCGCAACGTCCTTCTCTATCTGCCGATACTCATTCAGAGTAGTGGCACCGCAACACTGGAGCTCTCCTCGCGACAAGGCTGGTTTCAGAAGGTTGCTTGCATCAATGCTGCCCTCTGCCTTGCCCAGCCCTAGCAGAGTATGCAGTTCATCGACGAAAAGTATAACGCCACCTTTGGCCTCCTCAACCTCTTTCAAGACCTTCTTCAAACGCTCCTCGAAGTCCCCACGAAACTTTGCTCCAGCAATGAGTTGACCGAGGTCCAGTGATATGACCCTCTTCTCCTTGATTGATTCCGGGACATCGCCTTTGACTATTCGCTGCGCAAGTCCCTCGAGAATGGCAGTCTTTCCAGTTCCCGCAGCGCCGATCAGCACGGGATTGTTTTTGGTTCTTCTTGACAATATCTGGATAGTCCTGTGTATCTCGGAGTCTCGTCCGATAACAGGATCGAGCTTCCCATCCCTCGCTCGCGCCGTCAAGTCTACACCATATTGTTCCAATGCGGGCTTCTCCGGCTCACCGCCACCCAAGTTCATGCGATGCGTTCCGCCAGGAGGGTGGGGTCGTCCATTAGCGTAATGACGAGCCACCGAGGTGGGGCGCAGGATGTTAGAAGAGAAACAGGGCTGAAATGCTGGTGGAAGAGAAGGGGCTGCTCGAATTGGCAAAGGTCGAGGTCGCTGGGTGGATATGCGCCTCGCGGCGAGACGAGCTCTTCCGGTTAGCATTGTGAGAGGATGTCGGGCGTGGTCAAACGAGGGCGTGAAGTAACCGTCATTGTCTCTTGCACCCCTCAATATGATTATATATCTCGACCGAGTGGCAAGCCGGTCCCCGGATGTGGTGTCGAATTCTCGTGATGATTCGAGCTCTTTCTGAAGCTGCCCTCGGGTACGTGAAACCCTGCACCGCGATTGGGTGGTCGGCGCCAAGCGGCATATTTTTCCGTGTCCGAGCGCAGAGCCCAAAATCTCGTCTCGTAGACTCAAACCACATCCTCTTTAAAACGCCTGCCTCCTGTTCACAACACCTCACCCGCTCTAGCCCACCCCCACACTCCCACACTCCCACACAGTCTACCAAAATGGGCTTCTCCGACTTGGTTTCCGATGCGGGCCTCACCATTCTGAACAACTGGGTGAAGACCCGCAGCTACATCGTTGGGTAAGTTTACTACCCCACCAATGTGACTCTTCCAACATCTGCATGTCCCCAACACAACTTCTGGCCTTCTGATGAAAACTTTTGGTCCGTGTTAATGAGGCGGCTTAAGACCCCGCTATCTGAATACAAACCCAAGCGCTTGTCGCACCTCTGAATCTTCTCCTTCATACTGCTGCGATTCTTCGAGTTGTCTCACAAGCTTGCTATGCTAACACCACCCTAGCTACTCCCCCTCACAGGCCGATGTGAAGGTTTTCCAGCAGCTCAAGACTCCTCCCGCTCCCGAGACGTACCCATTCGCCTGGCGCTGGTACAACCATATCCTCACCTTCGAGTCCGAGTTCTCTACCCTGCCTGGCGACCCGACCAAGGATCACACCGCATATGGCCCTGAGTCTGCTGAACTTACCGTCAACCCGGCCAAGGCTCCCGCCGCTGAGGAGGAAGATGACGACGACGTCGATCTTTTCGGTAGCGATGACGAGGTGGATGAGGAGGCCGAGAAACTCAAGGCAGAACGGTTAGCCGAGTACAATAAGAAGAAGGCCGGAAAGGTAAAGCCTGCTGCCAAGTCCATCGTCACAATGGATGTCAAGCCCTGGGGTACGCTCTTCTTCCCAATAGTCTTAGCTTGTTATGTTAATGCTGCTTGTAGATGATGAGACAGACATGAAGGAGCTTGAGTCGAGTGTGCGCAGCATTGAGAAGGATGGTTTGGTTTGGGGAGCGTCCAAGTTGGTCGCTGTTGGTTTCGGTATCAAGAAGCTTCAGATCAACTTGGTTGTAGAGGACGACAAGATCTCTCTTGATGATTTGCAGGCGGATATCGAAGGGTTCGAGGACTACGTCCAGTCCACCGATATCGTAAGAATATACTACACACAATTGATTTTCGATGTTGCTAACCAAGGATCAGGCTGCTATGCAAAAGTTGTAGGCCAAGAGCCTATGTAATCCCTTCTCTCCTCCACTTTGGTGCATGCATTCCCCGACGGCAGGTCCAGCTTCGTCACGAATTCTCACGGTTTTGGGCATGGGATATGGATGTGACGTCTCATGAGCTACTGCAATCGTATAGATGAAAATAAATGACCTGGCAAAAGCACCATACCTTTGATTCTTGCTCCACCCCTGAATCTCTGAGTTGGAAATTGTGGTCTGCCAATTTCCCCTCTAGATACTTCTGATTCGTTGGCGCTAGGCGATGGCTTCTGCTTGGTGCTAAGTCAAAAGATTCGGCCGTAACGATTCGGACCCATTTAGGAAGCATTCGGGGCTATGGTCCTCATATATAGCGTGCTGTATCTTGCTCACGTTCTCCTAATTGTAGCAAGTAACCAGATATATCGAATTTGTCTGGGCTGTGTTTTGCGTTCTTTGATAACATGTTGCAGTTGTGTCTCCAAACGACACGGAATCGCAAAATGGATTCAATCCTTGGTCAACTTAGCGACAGGGTAAGATGCCCGAAGGAGTGCCGTCCTTAGGAACTGTCAGCAATATTGTCGCTGACAAAGCCAACAGCCCTAGTTAACTAGTTAACTATGAGCCCTGATCGCTGATTTGGGAGGAGCAAAGCCTCGTGAAGGAGCAATGATTAGCGCTGGCCGATTTGGAGCAAGGAGCGACAAATGACCGGGGCTGTTGGTTGTTTGGTTTGGTAGATAACAGACTATGAACCGCACCAGCTACTCTAATTCTCAGGGACGTCGTATATAAACTTCTTTTATTCTTTCAACTTCAGGACTCGTGAGTGTGGAGGACGTGATCTCGTTTTGCTGGAAGCGAGGCGCTAACTACCACCTACGTCACGGTCGGGTGTTCGCAGTTTACGACAAAACACCGAGCATTCACTGCCAGCTGCAAAACGCCTTTTATTTCGGGCCAATGTCGTCACGCGATTTATTCCTTTAGCTTTATCTTCACTGGGGCCCCGAAATCAGCGCCGTTGCCACATGGTTACGCCCGAATTGCCTCGGTCGGTCTTCTCTAACGTCCGATATTACCATTTGCCGCCCCAAGGCGCGCTGTGCCCTAGCAGGAATTTCAGAGTGGAGTTGGAAATTTTATTCTTATAAAGCCAGTCGCATATCCCCGAAAGACCTAAGTCGCTCCGACACATGCCGTATCTCATCGAATTGCGCGTCGAATTGCACATTACACACCCGTCATGGACCCGTCCGACAAGATGATCGAGAAGGCGGAAGAAGACGCTGTCAGTCCAGCACGATTTCCAGAGTCCAGGACAGAACACCCCGAGGCGAAAGAACAGCATGAACCGCTTGCGCGAACCGCCACATCGTCCACCACCTCGACTTCGAGCTCGTCTTCCTCAGATGCCTCGGCCGAAGAACGCGGTACAGGCATGTCACGAATGCCGACCGAGCGCGACGAATTAGTAGATCTAGAACGAAACCAAACGGCAATAACTCGGATTCAAACAATCAGGAGCCAGCATAGTGCGACAGTTGGAGCGACGTTGAAGAGCAGGCAGTCAAGGAAACCTCTGCCGTCCTTTGGGGCTGGAAAGCCGTTTCCCCCACCACTGCCTGAGAGAGAAGAGTATGTGGTCGAGTTTGACGGTGTTGATGACCCGTTGCATGCCCAAAATTGGACTTTAAGGAAGAAGATTTTGACGGCAGCCATGTTGGGCTTCACGACTCTCACGTCCGCATTTGGAAGCTCAATCTTCAGCGCAGCGACACGTGTGGTAGCCCACCAATACGGTGTCGGGACAACCGTGGGCGTCCTGGGAACTTCTTTCTACGTCTTGGGGTTTGCAACAGGCCCTATACTTTGGGCTCCTTTTTCCGAACTAAGGGGACGGCGGTTACCTCTTGTTCTAGCATCATTCGGGTTCTCTATCTTCAATGTGGCGGTGGCAACTGGGAAAGATCTGCAAACAATTTTGATCTGTCGATTCTGGAGTGGTTTCTTTGGAGCTTGTCCATTAACTGTAAGTTTCGCGCGATTTTTAGGATTCTTGTTCTAATGTCTCGCAGTGCGTCGCCGCCGTATTTTCAGACATGTTCAACAATCGTACTCGAGGGATGGCAGTCACAATATTTTCCATGACCGTCTTCACCGGACCTCTTCTCGCTCCCTTCATTGGAGGCTTCATTGTCATGTCCGATCTAGGCTGGCGCTGGACCGAATATATTGTTACCATTATGGGCTTTGTGGCCTTTGGCTTGAATCTTTTCTTCCTTAGTGAATCTTATCCCCCGGTAATTCTAGTCGCCAAAGCTGCGGAGCTGCGGCGGAGGACTAAGAATTGGGGAATCCACGCCAAGCAGGAGGAAATCGAAATCGACTTCCGCGAGTTGCTAGAAAAGAATTTCAGTCGCCCGCTCAGAATGTTAGTTAGTGAGCCAATTGTGCTCCTCTTATCGATATATATGGCCTTCATTTATGGGTTACTGTATCTATTCCTGACGGCATATCCCCTGGTATTCCAAGGTGTTCACCATATGAACCTAGGAGTTGGTGGCCTGCCATTCTTTGGTATGATTACTGGACAACTTCTTGCCGGGACGATGATCTTCATAAGGCAGCCTTCATATCAGAAGAAGCTTGCGGCGAACAACGATGTGCCTATTCCAGAGTGGCGGTTGCCGGAGGTCATTCTAGGAGGGGCATGTTTCGCGGTTGGAATCTTCTGGTTTGGATGGACTGGATATAAGGAATCCATCCATTGGATTGTACCCACATTGTCTGGTATTCTGATTGGCTTCGGTCTGCTGAGTATCTTCCTACAAGCATTGAACTACCTCGTCGATGCGTATCTGATGGTGAGCCACATCTCCCCTATCTCCATTTCTATCAGCGGTAATAGACACTGAAATCTCACCCTAGTTCGCCGCCTCGGCCATAGCAGCAAACACCTTCCTACGGAGTCTGTGCGGTGCTGCATTCCCTCTTTTCGCACAACAAATGTTCCAAGGAATGGGCATCCAATGGGCCGCCACTTTGCTGGGATGCATCGCTATTGCTCTAGTACCAGTACCCGTCTGGTTCTATCTTAGAGGTGCGAAGATCAGAGAGAGGAGTCAGTTTGCGCCGACGCCGAAGCCGATGGGTGCGCAGCAGTAGATCACGTGCAGTGGTAAGGGTGGAGATGGAAAAAAATTAAAATAATAACGGCTTATTCACATTTATTGTGGGACTTTAGCAGGGAGGGTTCGACCAATTAAACGGTTTGCTAGATGTTAGGAGGATATTAACAGAATTTAAATTTCTGTCCAATATTCACCATGTCATTTTTTGTAGTACGTTGGGTTAAGATGCGGTGTAGACTTTTATAGGGCAAATGGGTCTGGGCTTGGGCTGGGGAATTGAAACCGCTAGAGCGTGCTTTTTGTAGTACTAATTCAAGCGACCTCGCATTGACGGGGCATAACCACACAATACCAATTGTAATGCAGCATCTTTAGGTTTCAATTCAGGTCTATGTTCAGCCCAGAAAAAAGCAATTAACCTTCATCGTCAAGCCCACCACTCATAATCGCCTATTTCAGCCACGGTGGCAGGAGGTGTCAATCCATGAGTTCTGGCCCTCACCCAGCTGAGAGACGAGAGTCTCAGTCTTGCTTGACCCCGCAGCTCTGCAATGAGTGATATCCCTGATGATGTCTTTGATATAGTCCTTGTCGTTTTTCCCATTCATTGTGTCCACTCGTGAATCTCACGGAGTACCATAGGACGAGAAGCCAGATATTTCTAAAATCGTATCCCAAAGTCAGCCCGGAAAGTCGAGTTGTTTCTTCCTTGCCTGGTCAAACGGCTTCGCTGCCAAGATACACGGCAAAGAGTCTGAAGATGAGACGACCTCTTCTTCAAAGACTAGACCGGGTCCTCTATTGCTGCCTTGGGAATCGAGATTGAATCCTAGCGCATTGGGAGCTAGCACAGCGTCTGAGAGGGAACTTCCTGAAATGAGTGCCGCAAATTATGATGGTACAATACTCCTTGCTATAGATAAGAATCCGGAAAGCAACTTAGAAGAGCGGGAAACTCCACCAGCCATTACCACCAGCCGAAAACCGGAACTTGATCCAGTAACTGGGGACCACAAGTCCGAAATCAACAAAGATGTTGGCGGTTCAAATACTAATGTGGAGAGTGATGTTCCAGGTTTACCTACCCAGATGAGTTCGCCTGGCTCTCCAAACCGAACTTACATTTCTGAAAAGTGGGCAGAACAGCAACAGAACCTCCAGAATTACGTTCTCGGTTCTCTCAACTCCGTGGTGGGTCTGACCACCTACAAGCGCTTCCACCGACAGCTCCTGTCACCGAAGTCCCCACTTCTCCGTATAAGCCAAATGAGTGTCTATCAACGGACTCCCAAGGTCCATACCAAAGCTACAGAACAGGTAACCCTCCACTTCACGCATCATACAGTCCATATTTTTCTCTTCAGGAGAATCAGTATGGGGCAACCACTCCTCTAACCCCTCCGCAACAATCCAAGTATGGCTCATCACTATTCCCGAATGTCTCGACCCGAGGACGGCTTCCTACTCTCAGTGCTTCGCCTGCCGCTCCGTACGGATACCAGTTGGCAATTCACGGTATTAGTGGTGTGGCACACCTCCCAAACCCTAGCATCTCACCCGCGTATTCTACTTATGAGTGTAAACCACAACAAGTCTCACACCCATTTACATCTCCGGTTCTCCGGCTCAAGGGCTAAGATCACTAAATGTTGGACCCTAGAAATTCGTCCAAGCCGTCGACAACGACGAAATGGGTAAGCTTACGGTTGGGCACTGCGCTTGTGCATGCGGACTAGGCGCTATTCCATCCCAACACCGTAGAGAATATGGTTCGAATAGTTGACGAAGGTGTGGACGGGTCCTTGAACTTTGTGGAGTTTGCCGGACTATGGAGCTTCCTGACACTGTGGAGGGATGTGTTTGAGAGACTCAACGTAGGAACGTATGGATATCTATCACTCAAAAACTTCCGGAGCGATATCGGCTCACTCTTCAGTTCACAGAGAGTTTCTTTAGGATATGTAATCCGAGTGGGGTTGGAAAGATGAGCTTTGGCCTGTTTGTGGGTGCGTGCGTTGGTCTGGGGGAACTGGCGAATCGGTTCAAGAAGTGGGGTGAAGACAGAGATGGTATATTACATTCTCTTTCAAGGATTACCTCTCGGGTGAGGCGACCCTTGCCGTCGAAAGTAGCGAGACCGTTACTAACAGCTAGAAGATGTACTCCAAAATCTGCGCTTAGAAATGGATCAGAACATAAAACATCACACTAAATCCAAATTCGAATAAGGTCCTAGAATTGTCGAAGATAAAAAAGTGCCGACTGCTGTAGATTCCACGGATAATATGCCTCCTCCCACTGGAACCCTCAGTGCAGGTCCTGAAGAGGCCCAACCATCCGAATCCACTCCGCGGAGCAAAGATCTTGTCGAAGGCCCCAAAATCAACCCTTCTGGCATGCATTTGTTGCGTGATCGGCAGCACGGTCTTAGTCTCATAGAGGATATTCTGCGTCAACTTCCTGAGGATCTTCGTGATATCCTGGAAGGAAAAAGGATAATTGGAACTGGTTTTGTCTGGATATGTATCCCGAGGGAAAGTGCTGCAGTCGAAAAGATCCCCTTGGCAATAGCGGGGATTCCAGTGGTAGTTCCCGTCGAATATCGCTATCCGTTGATCTCATTGACGATCCCTCCTCCCTATCCACATACTCATTTCATCGATTGTTCCAAACCAGTAGACGAAGATATTGTAGATGGAATTTTTGAAACCTATGAGGATGCGCTAGGATTCTATCTCATAAACGGTATGCTGCAGATAATTGTACCAAATGACTTCGATTACGAATACGCAGTACCTCACAAACCAAACACGAACGGAAACCTCAAGGCAAGGTACATCCCTCAGGGTGTGATCTCAACCGAGGAGAAATCAGACCGCAACCCCGATATGATAGGACTTGCGCAATCGACGGCTACCATCTAAAGAGGCGAATACAACTCACCATGAAGCCCAGCGAACCGCACATATTCTGATAGCACGCCTAATAGCATGAAGTCGAGTCTTGTGCAGGGACCAAGGCTGGGACCCAGTAGTCGGTAGCATGATCCAGACCCCTTTCGAGAAATCAGAAGCGACAGAGAGCTTCCAAGGGAAAGTTAGGGTCATGATGACATGGGAATACCAGTACTGTCTAGTAGTGTCTTTACATATGCTAATTCCTAGTGATGATGGCTGCGAAATCAGATGTTTTTCCTGGGTCCGCATGGACAAAAGAAGTTTCAGTGATATCGAGTAATGACTTGCGTGAGTATATTACGCGACATCTTTTGCTATGTTTTTAAGCCTTACCTACGAAATGGATCAATCCAGAAGAGTGGGGTACGATGAAGTTGATCTATCAAACGTTGCACTTGCTGGATAGTCTAGATATCGAGGCAAAGACTATTGGGATATTGGGAAGCTAGCGCTAGGTAAGCAGCGAATGAAGTTCGTCCGAGGTCGTCCCGCTAATGCGACATTCTGATAGATGGTAGGCCAATAGAGCTTCAAAGTAAAGGAACAAACAGGAAAGAAAACCAGGTTCAAATTCTCCTTCGCCTACAAGAGGTCGGAATCTAATGGGAGTGTAGAGACGTGGACAAGCCTGGTATCGCGACCGGTCTTGTATCGAGTCAATCCGGATTTACGAACGCCGGGTGCCCAAAGCAGCACTGCATTTTGTGTACATGAGGAAATTGGAGATGAGATTTCATGAGCTAAGGTGGCTGGATTTTCGTCCTACCCTGAATAGGTATCTGATGTCCAGAGGGTTGGGTATGGAGGGGAACCAGTTCTACGACCGGCTGGGAGAAGGTAGAGTGGCGTTCTATAGCGCCCTGCAAACACCGACGAAACTTAGGGAGCATAGCGTTATTTTAGGAGTCGTCTTCTTCATCGCAAGTGATTTCTGTAACTTCTTTTGTGACGTTATGGAGCTTGGGGGTACACTAACCTCTATATTAGCAAGCGCATTGTCGGGGACCTACTATTTTGTTAGTTCAGTCTAATGGATGCTGGTATGTTGAGAATATTAGGAGTATCTTATGTGGCTGTGACCTGGAGCCCAATGCGCCGACAGTGTGGACCGAAGATCAGTCAACTTTCTGGGCATGCTTGACCATCTTCTCAACCAAAGCGCCTTACTCTCCCTTGCCCTGCAACCTTTTGAGAACTGCCGGGGATTTGGTATAAATTACGACAGATAAATCAGATGCGGTCGTAAGTGCCTTCATGTCAACGACGCATTCCAGGTCTATAGTATTGATATGTTGGCCATCGTGCTTAAAAAGACTTTAGGGCGGCAATAGGCAATGTCTATGCCACCAGTCAGCTTTCCCCCGAAGGCATCAGATCAGAGTACTAGGCGCGATTTATCCCGGATTGCCGAAAGATGCTCAAAGCAGGGCCTCCATACTCGGAAGGATCTTAAAGTCAATTGGAAAATCTGGGGTAGTCTGATTTGCAATACCATACCGATTGCTTGCCTAAGTCTAAATGATCTAGAATGCGTTGAAGATGACAGCACAATGCTGTCCCTTTCACCTCTCTAAACCAGCACCCTGAATTGAAACGCCATGAGGCTAAGTACCTACCTGAGGGCCCCACCACATCCAACAACCAAGGATGGCTTATCTTGATCGCTGGGCGCGGCGGCAAGGCGTACTGCGACGGGTGAGGGAGAGGGGAACAGGGCGGTGCTCCTGCGCGAATAAACTTGTCCCGAATGGGTTTCTTGGGAATGAGTTCGTTAGGAATGGTCTCGACGGAAACGAGAATGGACTCGGCAACAATGAACTTGTTGGCCATAGTGATGCAACGCCCTCAGAAACGGGGTCATTTGAGCTTGCTCGTCGATATAGGAGCAGAGTGAGTTGTATTCAGAGGTTACTTCCGGCACAGCAGAGTGTGGTGGGTCAAGATGGAAGCTAACTGACCTGGGATGAAAGACCATGGCGGTGAAACACAGCACGTGAGATTTGGGCAGCAAGAGCAGGTCTCTATATCTATCTACACCGCACCTTCGAAGGGGGTTTGACTGCCTCGAGTTCGCGAAAATGACAGAGCAAAGTTTCCGCCCAGATCTATTTGGCCATCCTGTGTAATACGTAGTTCATACCCGGGAGATCAAGATAGGTATTGTAGAAGAGGCTTGGCAGGTGTGATCTTCGAGAAATTCCCTCAGATTTCTAATAGTTAGCTAGGCGGTAACTTCAGGGCATGTCCGGCATGAACGGCGTATGCCCATGAAATTGAGCCTGGCACTATATTCTTTATCAAGTTCTGATTGATTAAGCTATGGAACCACAGCGAATCTTGGAGGTAGTTTTAAACCATCACCACTGCTAGAAAATGATGGAACCAGATTGGATTATCTAAGATTGCAGACATTACATTTAATGCTCAGTAGGTGCCAATAGGATGCCTCTACAAGTAGCAACCGACCTTTAAGACTCTTCTTAATTTCCATGAGCGAACCAAAACCCAGATATTTTTGCTCTTGCACACATTGTGTCAAAGAGTTGGTTGGAATACTGGTTTAGGACTTCCTCACGTCGTAGACCGGGAGTGGAAAGGCAACGCCTTCCATCTGGTTACAGGCAGAAAAACCCGATGCCGCATGAGTGCAGTGGAGGATGTTGAGATCCACGTGACCCTTGGCGAGCTTCGTCGTTCTCTCATGGTGCCCCTTACTGTGCAAGATTAGCCATGCTATGGTTTCCCGGAACGTAATCACTCACGTGGTATGCTTGACATCGAGGGTAAAATTGTAGTACGACTGCCAGTCTACGAATTTAAATGCGTACGAATCATCGGTGCAGTTGCTCAGCTTTTCTTCCATTAGAACCTGAGAAGGCCTCTACTAGGGGAATATGTCTTACATAGCGCTTTGGGTATCCAGTATCCCTATCGGCATAAGACCACTGGGCTTCACAAAATGCTGCTGAGGAATCGCCAGGGTCGGTCACGTTGAACCCAACGCGGTAGGGACTCGTATTACCAGGTCGGCCAGACGGTTCAAGAGTAATAAGGTTAGTGACCTGAAAGGCCGGTGGCCCACTGGGACGAGACACTACAAGCTGCGCAAATGCTAGAATAACGAGGGACTTGAGTGAAACCATTCTTTTAATTACCTGTCAATTAGACGGGGATGATGGAGCGGGCGGTCGATGGTGGGCTTAGACTGGAAATGGCAGAACTTATAAAGGATGATGAGGAAAGAGCTGTCAGGTGATTTACGGGTTCTATTCTGGTAACCTCAGGTACGAAGGAGACGATGAGCAAATGTTCCGAGAACCTGGAGAGTATCAGTTCATCTAAGCGACATAGTTCGTATTCGTGTCGACTTCCTTTTCAGCTCGTTAAGAACTAGTAGAAAAGAGCCTGATACGAGCGCTTATTCCTGCACTGTCAACAAAATCTCATACATGAGAGCATACCAAAGGAGGGAACAGAATTGAGGCCTCTGGGTAAATTTAGCAAATGTCATAGAATAAGAATGTTGTTTGAACTATCCCGTGGTGGTTTTTCCTTTCGAACTTGATCCCTGTACGCCAAGCAATCGATGATCAAAGGACATGCAACCTCACCCGATCAGGCAATCCCAGGGGGAGCCAAGGAAGCCACACGAGAACTTCATGTGGATTTCAATGCCCACTGCAGCACGTCTTGTTCCAAAAGAGAAGGTTTTGCGACTACCGCAAGGGAGATTTTGTAGGTAGGAAATGCTTGAGTCAGAATGTTGAAAATTGTTTCTGTGCAGTATACGCTAATACAAGGGTAGCAATTTGCATGTGGCTAAATAAGGCGATAATTCATCGGTCCTCCACCAAAGGAGACAGAATATCCCTATTTATACATTGGCTAGTATTCAAAGTACCATACCGGACAATTCGTACGTTTAGGGTAGCTTGAATAATTTAACAAGTCATTGCCAAGAAACAGTAGAAACAATATGTACACTGAAGTGCGGTTTGCGGATATTTGAGGAATGGAGATGGCCTCGCAGTACAGGTTGTAGAGCCTTTAGCAGCTCAAACCGCTGAATCAGCCCTTCTATTAAGAAATGGGTTCCAAATGAGATTTCAGAAGTTTGGAGAGCAAGACAAAAGCGCAAAGTGGATGGAGAATATGGGAGTGAGGATGCTGGCTACCGCAGTAGCTGATGAGACTCGCATTGGAACGGTCAAATATTGCGGCTGAAGAAATCGAGCACCATAAAAATGGACTCTCGGAAGCCGAGATACCCTACAAAAACCGTGTGAATGGTTGATGGCGTTGCAACAACTTTCCGCCTCCCAAAATCTTGATGCTGAACGTACCATTACTCTAGAAGTGACCCCGGTCTTACAATGTAGCAAGTAAGGAACATGTTCAGGCGTGAGAGATTCAGAGAGCCTCTTAACGACACCCAAAAGATTTAGTCGATGAGGGGGCCCAACCTATGGAATTGTCATTTAATAATATCGCCCATCTTGTACTCCTCCCAGACGTAGATCTACAACAGAACATTTAAGGTCAATGAGCCTCTAGCGTGGGAACTGTTGACAATTCCCAATCCTCTTGGTATTAGTGCGAGTGCAGTAGATTGTCTTGGGAAGCGAGGAGCCCCGGCTCGACTTCCCAGGGCGATACCTCAAAGAAAGAATTGCACAGGTAGAGAAATACTGAGGAGAGGAGATAAGCTTTCCGATCCGATAGCGGAACGTGAGTTAGGTGAGTTAGGAATCAACTTAACCGGAAGGGCTGACTCAATAAACCCAACGCTGCTGCATCGTGTCACCATACGGGTGTCATGACAGGAGGTAATTTAAGGCAATTCTCCATGTGGTTGATCTTCTCCCTGGTTCTAGCAAGAGGTTTAGCTCCGCAAAACCTTCGTATTATACATGCCAAATAAGAGCAATATCACGCTTGTTTAAAATGGAAGTGGATGGCTGGTGCTGGAAGAGCATATTATGCCGATAATACGGAGAGAGAACTTCACTAGTGATACTAATATTAGTTTTTTTTCTCTAGTGTGTTTGAGAATATATTTTGTCAAATAGTCTAACTCATCAACAAACCAGAAACAATCAATCAAGGTGCTCTGGTGTGGAGTATCGATCCCTTCTGTCTTCTAAATTTAGAGGCGATTAGTAGCTTAGTAGTTTAGTGGGTGACTGTAAGCGAAGACTCATGACCATTATAGAGCCTAGCTTACATAGTCAGCCCAAATTGTCGACAAACTAAGGCGTATCCTCCTACCTGGTTCAATAGAAGACCAATAGCGATCGTCTGGAGATTTATCAAAATCTACGTAATTGTAGTTTTAGTGTCACCTTTCTTGCCAAATATTTAGGCTAGTGAGGTCCTGAAGTCAATTTTTGTCCTTAAAACGGCCGTGTTGCAATAGGTAGAGTTGATGATTTGTTCCCTTCAGAATAGTTGCGCCGAGGGCACGTGGGTACTCCCGGAGGTGTCTGGACGCTTTGCAGTTGCATGCAGGTTCCGCTCGAGGACGTAGCGGTTAGCTAACAGAGGTTGCGGTAAAGGCCCCCTACAAAAAATTTAATTTCAAGCCCCGAGACCATAACGCATCACAGGTTTCAACTAGAGAAGATTTAAGGGGAGATACTCACAAACATCGATCAATCCAGTGTGTGACGTTTCAAAGTTATCTGCATACTTGCTCCTTCGATTCGTCGATACTCGAGAGGACCTTTGCCTTTGATTCTAGCAAGGATTAACAGTGCGAAGCAATGAAATAGACAATTTTGGAAAGGGGTTGGGTGTTGACAAAGATTGAAATGAGATTTGACGGTTGCATTAAGCTTCGGGGCTACACTTTTAGTTCGGCTGCTGGTCCAATCCCAGGCCAGCCTAATCTTCCAGCATAGATCCAACCTCTACCACATCCAACAATAGAGCACAATCATGTATGGAACAATCTAGGTTCTAAGGCTGGATGGCAGTGAATGGCATGGCTCAACATGTGATGAGGTTGGTCTTTAGTTTTAGGAGCCACAAGCCGAGATCGTCAGTGTTAGATGGGGATGCCAGCTCAGCCTTCAGCCGTAACTCCATCACATTCAGACATACTCCTTTCCGACGATATGCTGTAAGTTTCCGGATCGCCTCTACTCGGACAATATGCAACAGCAAATCCCTCGTTTACAGCTACGGAAATGAGGCGCATTGGGTTCACTTTACCGTAGCTTGCTCTGATCGGTGCTTATGGCCCCAAACTTCCGCGACCGTCTCGTCGTATCGCCAGCCATCTCTGGACATGCTCCACGACCTCTCTGTTGTAATCGGATATGCGCAAGAAGCAACGGGTAAGGATCCCTATATCAAATACATTCTCAGCCAGTTTCCAGGGAAGGGGACGTTAGATGACTATGTTCAACTTTTCGTCGAAGCCGTGGAGCATTTTACAGGTACGTTCATGCGACAGCAATTAAATTCCTGAAGCACACCTGCTAAGCTTTTTCAAAGCTCAGGCAGTGGCAGCCAAAATATGAGGGGCTTGGCCTTGCGATGGCAGAAAACTGAGGCTAGCAACATTAAGCAATACATCAAACGCCTCGTGGCGAACTCCGCTCAGTCGAGCTTCCAAGATACCCCTCCCTTGAGCGATATGCGGGAGGTTGAAGTCGTGGATACGTCCTGCTCATCTTAGGCTTGTGGACTTTGATTCAGAGCTATTTTATACCGCGGAGGGGTGACGCGAGACACATACAGTTGGTACACTACTTGGATACTGGTAGAGGCTTCTCGGAACCATTGGCGCTTGGGGGGCCATTACCAGATTTCCTTACCCAAAACGGGCTTCTTCCAGGTCCTCACAAGACGGGGTACCTTGGAGAAGGTGTGAAGACAGCAAACGCTTGGAAAGATGAGGATAAGAGTGGGTATTTGAGTTCTCAATTTTCCCTATACCACTCCCTGGACTCCCTTGAATCCCTTAAACTGGCGGTCGTAATTCTGAACGCGTTCGACCTCGCTAACCTTGGTGCCGTTCCAATTCTCTGGACAAACAATTTATCTCAGCACCTGCTTCTTTCATATCACGCCAAGAAGCATTACTTGGAATTCTTCAAGATTCTCAGCGCCCTCTCAGGGAGTCCAGAGAAGTTCCTGAGGGATGTAAGAATCTCAAGCGACCTAATGGAGGAGATCCGGTTATCGTATGCAAACCTCTTCAATTCAACAAAGCCTTCACCCCTACACAGATATCTAGGGCTTACTATCGGGCTTAGATTTTGGTGTCGGTGTCTCTCTTGTTCATCGAGAAAGGTAACGGATCGCCAATTGAGAATTTTGAAGATAGGGTCGGCTACACTTGGTGATATCAAACACCCAGACTCAACACGGCCGGGATATGATCCAGCCTTAAAAATCCGAATATACGCCAAATCCAATCGCTGGGACCAGACCGAGTTCGAAAACCTTTGGCCTCACACAATTGCATCGAATGCGCATCTATCTGGATCGAAACCATGGAGCTTCTGCGTGATATTCCGACATCGCCGTGATTCAGTACACTTTTGGACTTTCTTGTAAGGCTTACTTCACCCATGAGTCCTGCTAAGATCTTACTACGAATCAAATTGGGGACTATCATTTTGTTTTGACCTTCATACAAGTCGCCCTCGGTATCGCTCAAGTCCTTCGATCTTTCGAATGATTTGTCAATACCATTTGAAGGCAAAAGGCGCAATGAAGGCTACTTTGCATACAGATTAATTGTTATCGAGATTTTCTGCATCCAATATAACTTCGAGGGCATATTCGCGTAATATATTAATGCTCCATGATGTTCTCTTGAACCCTAGTAAGCAGAAGAAGAGATTATGTCTTCTTGCAGAGTTTCGTTCCGTAGTCGATGACGTCCCAATCCTCCGTGCCTGGTGTCGTCTGTGTATAAAAGACGCCCTCTGGATCCCATTTCTTCCGGATCTGAAGCAGCTTTGGATAATTTGAACCCCAGTATGACTCCTGCCAGTTCGGTTCATTCAAGTCGCCCTAGATTTATGTTTAGCAATCATCAACTCTGTCCATGCGACGCCAAAAGCTCACCTCATTCACATAAGTAGCACCATCTGGGCCAGCCTTCCTCAACGCCGCACCCACAACATTTGTTTGCTGATCGGCCCTGATTTGCTTTAACTCCCAGCTTTCAGTCCCGCTCATCAAGATGTTCGTAATGACAAAGCTACTTGCGTTTCGCCATTTTGGATGGATTGCGTTGTCTACAACGGGGTTGCCATGTCCAGGGTTGACGATGTGTCCGACGGAGAACCCGAGAGTATCGTTAGTGGGCTGGTTGGCGAACAAGAGCGCCTTCGCAATCTCATCGCCATTTTTGGCGATATCCTTCTGGGTGAAGAGACGTCCACCGACAACAGAATTCTGATTGGGAATTTCATCTTCGAACATATCCATGTAGAATTCGAAGAAGGTGGGGAATTCCTTGGTCACAGTGTCATAGGGGATCTTCTTCGCGTCCAACTGCGTAAAGAGCGGCTTCAATACTTCCTTAACCTGCTTGGCATTTAACCTTGGTCCAACGAAAGGCTGGATATGCAGACGGCCAGACTGTAGCTCAAAGTACACAAACATGCCGTTTTCAACGTAGTGATTCGATAGATTATGGAAAATTCGGAAGCCCTCGTCAAACACCTTTGTGTCGTTGGTATGAGTACTGTTTATGTTGAGAATAGTGCCAGCAACTGGAACCTCGGGGAATGTTTTGACGGTTACGGAGGTAAGAACTGCGAAGGTGGATGGACCGCCGCCTTTAAGCGCCCAGAAGAGATCTGGGTTCTTCTCTGCATTGGCAGTAACATATTCACCTTTTGCTGTGATAGCGTCGAAAGAAAGGACATTGTCCGCGCCCATTCCGTAAATGGTCGACAAAGGTCCATGGCCACCTCCTTGGACATAGCCTCCAGCCCAGCCAACAGTCTATTATCGATATCAGCTTGTGGATTTCGCAGAGTCGGCGAACTACTCACAGGACATTCTCCCCCTACGATTACCACCTTAGGATCTTGCGCAAATGCTTGGCGGTACAACTCTCTCCCTTGAACGCCGACGCCGACGGTCGCTGCGCTACCAGTCCAGTCTCCTGGCCCAGTGTACTTCTTGATAAAAGTGGCATCCTTGAAGCTGTGAGTGTTGATAATGAGAGACCCGTACCCTGTAATGATGTCCCATTAGTATCGCAAGAGGCCCCATCTTCTTCGCCACTTACCTGTCGATCGGCCCATGAAGTCATGGCCCGTATTACGAATGATGAGTCGCAGATTGTGGTCTCTCGCGAAATCGACGCCGATTTTGATGTGCTCCTTCTTCGTTGCTATTATCACATACTGACACTTGTAAGTATGTGGATTTTATAAAAGCCCTACTAATCTCATTACCTCGCCATAGAAACCCTGTGTGCAAGGATCGCTTGGATTCGTTGTCGGCAAACAAGTGTTGTTGGTATAGAAGGGCCACAGGTTCGCGATTGGGTCATCCGTCCTGTTTCCAAGTCAGCATCTTCGAGGGCAACCACGTCGAGAAATGGTAGCCCTTACATGGTTTGTTCGTCCGTCCATTTAGCAGTGATTTCAGAACACTTCGACGCGTCGTACGTAGACATGTTTCCGATGTTGTTGTGGCATACAGCCCCCGGTGGTCGAGCAATCCTCAAAGCACCACTAACCGTCGTATTTAAAGCAGCCCACTGGGCCCCAGTTGGCCAACATTTGTTGTCGGAATAGCACTTGCACTTATAAGTGACACCATGTTCCTTTTTGATTTCTCCTTTCCAGGGAGCAGCGGCGACACAGTTGGCCACTGCAAGCAGCGAAACAAAGAATGAAGTTCGACCCATAGTAGCAAATTGTAGGATCAGTAAGGAGCAAAGCTGGAGACGCCGCTGAGGAGCTTCCCACAAGATCAGCAGCTCGAACTCTATTTATTACTCTAGGGCTATCGGCACACCAACAACGCTCATGCCCATACTCCATAGTTAGGTCAGAGCGGGAACTGTCCCTGGCAGGGCCAAGCTCATCAATAATTAGTACCACGCAGCTCAACCCTAAGATGCCTGTCGGACTAATGTCACCGTGTCGCCGCAAATAAATTCCATGGACTAGGGCCCCGAATCTTCAAGTGCCGAGTTCTCGGGCGGGTGAATAAGGCCTGAAAGGGTAGGATCTGCGCTAGAATCGTGTTTCGGCTCCGACCCACTGGATACTTTGCCCCGGAGTGTTTGCTCAAGATTTCGCGGATAAATTCAACGTGGCTTATGGCGTCTGAATCCAGCAATAAGACCGCGCATAGTGTACTCCAATTGCAACAAGTTACCAAGGCAGACTTCTCGAGAACGACAGTCGCAAGGACGGGGCGTACCTGCATTCGAGATCAATATCCGACGCTTCTTGGAACGAATCCTGCGAATTTACAGACTGAGATTGAGGAAGGGCGCTTGGGAATTAATCAATAAGTCTTGAGCGGTGAAACAATTTGTGGATCTCGGTACTGATATTTCCCGGTAAGCAAATCTAATCTCCAATGCAATCTGAGCGATCTGGAGTTCATAACTATGCTTCTGTCCCGCAATCTCTGAGGCATATGTTGTCCTTTGCACCGAGGATCTTTCGATGTCGAGATAACCGTCGCATGTTCATGGAATGACAGTAGTCGTTCGGTTAGCTTGGTGCCATTTGGAAGAAGACATGGGGGTTGATGGAGGCTGGGATGCGGATTGCTTCCTCAGCCCTGTATGTATGCAGGCCAGCACTCAAGCTTAGGCGAGTTCGTGGCTCCGATAACGCAATGCAAGAATTATTGATGGCTGGAAGGTGAAGTCTTTACGAGGTCTGAAGCACAAAGATGACGAACACATTGCATTCTGAATCCGAAATGAGTTAGTGCGGGAGTTTCAGCGGGAGCGCCGGGGAGGAGTTTCGAACGGCACTGTAAGAACAACAGTCGAACAGCTGGATTTTCCACTACTCCTCCTCGAGATACCTTGTTTCATCGCTAGCGTTAACGAGGAGTTGAAGTAAATGTCTCCTGTAGATCGATCACTCATTGAGATGATCGGTCGGCTGATGAGACAGCAACGAGCGGACTGCAAGGATGACCGAGCCGAACTCTAATCTGGCCTGGTATATCTCCGTCTTCCTATTGCGCGACGGAAATGCTCTCGACTGCCTCCTCGAAGCCTACACCTACGCAAGTAAAACAAGGGTCAAACTCAACCTATTACAAGCTACAGCGTGGTTGGGGATCACTCTGTCCGTAAATTTTCTTAGTCTTTTTTGAGTGCTCTAATCCTCTCACACGGCATTCAGGAGAACAACACAATAAAACACAGCAATTGATGGCAATTTGAAGCGTGTATTCGCTTCGGTGTATTCCTCTGCGCTCTGTCAATTGGTCAAAGATGTCAATTACGTCGTATTCAATGTTCCGAATTCGCATTCCAGCAACGTCCACTCTCCTCTCGACCGTCAGATATCCAACTTATCACAAAGCATCAATCGCCAATCCTCCAGCGCTGCCAGCCAATGTGGCATCGCAGTCTTCTTATACTCCGCGGACTCTACCATCTTCTGAAAATCCCCCAAGGATTCATACCTCACAATGACCAGCTTCGTGTAATCGATGAGTGTGGTTGTCATTGTTGGAGGGAACTTCGAAGCCACTCAATCGTAGATATTACAAGGTAGAATACGGGTGCATAGATGCAGCGCTCTGAGAGCGATAGAGAAGGAGGCAGTCATTCTACTTCACGGAGGGCTCTGTGCCTCTTATACACCCGTGACATCTGATTGCCGTGCCTAGACAGACAACTTACGGAACTCCGCCGAGAGGAGCAGACGAGGTGAGCCATTCTAGGCCAGGCCAGGCAAGCGCCACGCACTGCGCACCCTTCCCGGCTCTAGGATACTGGGCTTTCCGCAAGGAATTGCTCTCCTAGCCTGTTCAAACTGGTCCGATGTGTGGAAGGTTGAATGATGATGTTTGGGGCATGATGTAAGCGGAGGCAGGGATCACGGGTCTCGGCGTGCGCTAGGACGCTCGATATTCACAAGCCGATAGCTCTCACACCAGCTTTCTGTGCTCATCCCAACCCCGACACTTTTTGCCCGTGAAATCTTGCTGCGCTCGCTACGCTATCTCACTCACTTCGCTACCGCTCTCGCAAGCTCTTGATGCTAGCTCTCTCCGCACAGAAGCTTGTTCCGCGCCCACAACCACAACCCCCGTCCCCAAGCCATCGCAGCAGGCATCCGTTTGCGATAGGAGCCGGAGTCTGCGCCAGCGCCGGCTTGCCCGGTGCAACTTGCAAGGACGCATGATCCTTGCGCATCAAGACACCCGCGCGATTCCATCGATGTCGATTGAATGCCGCCCGTCCTCAACCCTTTCTTGCGGGCCTTCTTCCGTAGCACTCTTCCCAGCCAGTGCTCGCCAGTGCACCACCACGTGCTCCTAGTCCCGACTACCGAAGTCCTCCTCAGCTCCCGCGACCGCGACACGAATGCCTCGTACGCCGATCTGAGCGGCTCCGAGGAGTTTCTCGCCAGCCATGTCCTCCGAGTGCCCGGCGGCGTAGGCCCCAACAACCAGATCAAGGACGGATCGAGCTTCAGGGAGACCCGGGGGAAGGCCAAGCAGTATTCGACAGCAAACGGCCGCACCGTCATCATCAAGGACGCTTTTGTCTACAGTAATAAAGGTACGAGGGCGCTGTGCGCGAGTCGAGTGTGGGGCTGACAAGTGCTGAAGGCTTCAAAACGCTGAACCAAGCTCAGCTGCTGAGCGACACCATCTTCTATCCGGACGCCTTTGATGCTCCGCCCTGGCTGGTCTATTTCATTTCGCGGCCTTTGATCGGGACATACGAGGCCACTCCGATCATACCTGCTACATTGCCAGGCACCAAGGATGCTGATCCCTCAGATCTGGCGGGCCCGGGCTTGGCCGGAGGGGCAAGCGCATCCATGCCGCGAAAGAAGGAGGTCAAGTCTTTCGGAGACCTGCTAAATCACTTCCCGATGATTGCCCGCCAGATGCAGCCAGGTCTGGAGCGACTTTTCAAAGAGTTCGCAAGAGAGCTGGAGAGACCGCTGCCGCCCACCCCATCACGATCCTCACGGCGGTCCTCGATGACTTCGCGGAGGAGGGGCTCCATCTCTTCTTCTGAGAGTCTACCTGTCTCATTGCATAGCAGCGCGCCTCACGGAGCAAATGGATTCATCTCGGCCCTGGAGATTGACGACGAGGAGGATGTGATGAGAACATCTCTTGAGACTGCCGTCACTGCGGGGATCGACCTGTTCCAAATGGTGGACAAGCAACAGCTATCTCTTCTTGGGGCGACGACAGATTTGACTGGACCGATTGTTGAGCGGATGATTGAGCGGTACATCACCGAGCAGGTTCACCACACCATTCTCTTCCCCAGGCTGTGCTCTATTCGAAGGTTCGATGACGTTGAGCTCGAAGGCCGAATCCGGCAAATGATGGACGTGGATATTTCACAAGTGGGGATCGATATCGGAAATGGTTCTAAAGGGAAGCGTGAGCTCGCGATACGATTGTCTAAAGGAGTGGATATCTTCAAGAAAATGGGTGTTGCTGGGAGTCCTCAAGAGATGGTCGAGATACTTCTGGCAGTTCAGAAACACATCACCATGCCTGACGTTTCTTCAGATACAAGTAGTCTCCGATCGAAGGCCACGGCGAATGGAGATAGTTATTCTGAGAAGCAGGACAATATGCTCACCATCAACGCCGATACGCTCGTTTCGTTGCTTCTCATCGTTGTCATTCGATCTCCTGTGCGACATCTGCAGGCCCGGTTATCTTACATGCGACATTTCATCTTCATTGACGACGTCGAGAGCGGAGAAATGGGATACGCCTTGAGTACATTTGAGGCAGTCCTTTCTTACCTCGCGAGGGATTCAGGGGGACTGCGCAAATCGAGTCGGCGGAACAAGAAATTGTGGCAAGCGACGAAGGCTGGGGATATTGCGACGATGCAGAGTGTCCTTGAACCTGAGAGATCATTCCATGAAGATATGATAGATCACGAAGATATAGGGGAGGATCGTTGTGAAAACCTACGCCCTGTCCGCTTTGCCAGTCTCGCAGACTTGTCTTCCTTAGGCGGAACTACCATCAATGGCGTTTATGAACCTCGTCGCAGACGAAATAGCTCATCGCACAGTCATCGACGAGGCGAAGATGGCCCTCTAGCACACATCTTTCCCTTTCAACGAGCTCCAACTCCCCCACCATCGAACCGTCCGAAGGCGAAGAAGGTCTCCATGGATACGCGAAGCCTTTCCAGCTCGTCTGCGTATTCTTTCAGGTCACGCACAAACACCCTTGATTCTCGTGGAAGTGTATTTGAAGGGGATACATCGATCGAGAGGCTTTCTCGAACGCAAGGCCAGGAAGGAGAATCAGTCTTGATGATGGCGGTCGAGAGCAAACAAGACAAGGCCCTTCAGTATTTACTGAGTCTTACTGAGTACTACACCGTTGATGTCGTACTCGAAGACTGCAATAATGAGGGAACAACGTTGCTGAGTGCCGCAGTTCAGCTCGCCCATACAAAGACGACGGATGTGCTTCTCACATACATCCTTGATAATGCTCCTGACGAGGTAGCCATCAGTTACTTCGCAAAGCAGGACTCTAAAGGTCGATGCTTCGCGCATTATCTCTTCAACCAGCCTCAGCTCATTGATCGAATTGGTCATCTTGTGCCCTGGCGGCTAAAAGACAAAAACGGGCAAACTCCAGTGTTCGCTCTCTGCAGGTCCTATGACCACGACCAGTACAGAGACATGGTTGACAAAGCGCTTCTAGCTGCGACAAGGGCCCAGGGCGATGGACAGCCTCTCCATCTTGACGAGCATATTGACGGCAAGGGAAACAGCCTGCTTCACATTATCAATGATCCTCAGATTGCGGTGAAGCTGTTGTACCGCTGCGATTCGGATGTCAATGCACCAAACGACAAGCAGTTCACGCCGCTCATGGTCGCCAGTAAGTACGGTCGTACCGATCTCGTACGAGTTTTGTTCCAGGATCCGAGAGTCGATCTATCTGTCAAGGATGTGCGAGGACTCACTGCCGTCGAACTTGCCAAAGATGACGAGGTTAGAAATCGCATAGACGATCTTGTGCTCCTGTCCACTGAACCTGGACCCGATGGTCGAACAACTACGGTAGTAAGGTCTTTCTTCGTGGAAGATGGGACCATCAGACTAGTCTTGAAGTCTGGAGCACCGAATGGAAATTCGACCATCACCGTCACAACCTGCCGTCGCTCTCTTCTCGACTTCGAGAATCTTGCGAAATGGCTTAGCCAAGAGCATCCTGCGTCATGGCTACCGTCTCTCAACAATCTTACTTCACCCTTCCTAATACCGTCAAGGCCTTCTCGCTCAATACTGCGCGATATCCAACTCCGTCTAGATGCATTCCTGAAGATTCTCCTCATACACCCCACCTTCTCTACCCATGAGATGGTGTGGGAATTTTTCCTTGTCCCGGATATTGATCCGTCAATGCTTGAGGAAAGGTCAAGAAGAAAAGCCGAAGCTCGCGTGGAACGCGTCCGGGAGGAATTCACTCCTATATACGACGTGCGTGAAGTCGAGCTCTTCATACAACATGCCCGCGAATCAGTGCGCTCCTTGCATCATGCTTCAAAGTCAGTTCTTCGAAGGACCAACAAATTGCGCTCCGCATCCTCCGATCTCACCGATGCCGCTAAGCTTTCCAACACTGCAATCCATTCTCTCACTTTCCTGCCAGAGGGACATCAGAGGGCGTTAGAAAGATATACGAAGACTATGGTACAGAGCGAGGCAAGCCCTCTAGCAGGCTTTTACTACAGCATGTACGCGATATCTAGTACAACTACCGCCATCCTCGCTGCACTCAATCGGCCCTCTACCCTGATCAGTTCCATGTCAGCAACCCAGAAAGCCGTTGATCGCCACCATCTCTCAATTCGCCGGTCGGATCGTTGGCCACTGGGTCTCCTTGATGATGCACGTAATCGAGTACAAAGAGACGCACAAGAGAAAATGGACAGAGCTGCAGAGGATTTGGCAGGTCTTGGGAGAGAACTTCGATACACGCAGCAAGTTGTTGCGGGCGAGCTTGCTAGCTGGCAGGAAGGCAGAGTAAATATGGGACGCAAATCTCTCAAAGCCCTGGCTAAAAAGATGGTTGTCACTGAGAGGGCAAGGCTAGAGAGTATGAGAAGAGCTGTTCGAGAATTAGGGATTGGGATGCCAAGGAAACCCAGTAGCCAAGCCAGCTCAAGCCAATCAGCCAATTCCAGGGACATTTGCGAGACTGAGGCGGAAGCTGAGTGTGGCCGAATTGAGCATGTCATCGATGAGGAAGATCTAGGAGAAGGTGTCTATAGCGACTAGGATGTCACTAAAGATGTGCGCCTACTGCCGCCGAATGGGGAAGGCCAGTAATGATTTTCTTCGATTTTTGTTCATATATTTGGAGTTGTTTGAATAGACTAGGTACAAAGGAACCAGGGGTTTGAAAGCCTTCTGAAGCACGCATCAGCGGTGGCGCGCAGGCGCAATATGTTCCATCTGGTCTCAAGCTACGAATATAGCGGGAAGAGATATTGTAATATACCAATCTTCATATCTGGTCTTTAGAATCCAATTACCCATTTTCAATCACTCCTGCAGTGGGTCAGATCAGGTTTACAGCTTCCACAACCCCGAAACAGCAAGCATTTCTTGTTCCGACCGTAAAGGTGTTGGTAACGGCCTCTAGAATCAACTTGAACTTTACCTTATGGTGCAGAGGCCATTCTTCAGACCAATCGTAAGGCTGAACAAGGTACCGTGAAAGTCGACATGGGCCTGGCCTATTATTACTATCAAATAATTACCTAGCCGAAATTCTCGTCTAGTATGAAAATGAAATGGGCGATATGGAATTCTACATAAGGTATTAACGGGACATTTAGATCGAGTTTCTACGTTTCGAGTAGCTTTAATCGCCGTTGGGTGGAAGTTCTAACATTCAACTTTCCTTCTCCTCTTTTGCTTCCGTTCGTTTCCTTTAATTATCTCAATCGGTTTTCAAAATTGCTCGTTTTCGATTCTTCTAGCCGGCACTAGTACAATGGCTTCTTCGCGACATTGGCGCTGTGTCTGGGTTTGATCAAGTAGGCATGAAACCGAATTTTTGGTATACGAAGCTAATATAAGATCCAGATAACAGCATTATAAAATCTATTATGGACACCGGGCTGAACCAACTTTGCGATTTGGTTACATGATCGCTCAATGATAGCCACAGTTGGTTGAGTTTATAAGCATGCAGAGCTGCAGGCTCGGACACCCCTCACGCTACCGTCTGGCTGCCAATTGGCCTCCCGCGGCTACAAACTTCACATGCGGTCTTTGGGAAGTCAGTTGTCAAGTCGGTATATCGGGAGCTCTTTCTCACCCTAGTAGGTCCTACTACATTACGAAGACACAAGCGCAAGAAACAACAATAATTGATTTCATGAAGAAGACGTCCTTTAACCAATCAGTAGAAGACATAATAATAAATCCTGGATGTCCCAGAAACTCAGGAGTCGATTTCGTTCTCAAAGGCGCACCGCTCTCCGAACAAGTCTTCGGCTCCCAATACAATGTCATCGGTTTCGACCCACGAGGCGTGAACAACGGTGGATTAGCCTTAACATGTTTCCCCGAAAGTGAAGCCGCGCAGACCGTCTTCGGTTCCATACTCGGTCTGCCTATTGATTCCCACTTTTCTACCGGCATTGCAGAAGTATATGAGCTTGCTGGTAGGTAGGGACATTGGTACATACGAGCCAGCTAGAATATCGAAGCTTAATACGGGAATACGCCTGCTGTTGTAGCAGACCTTCTCCACTTCATTGAATACCGTGCTGCATGCCGTGGCAAGAAAGTCGAGAATGCTAAGTTCTGGTATTACGGGTTATCATATGGCTCCCTAGTTGAGACTACACTTGCAAGTATTTACTCATCACTGTTAAAAGATGAGATTCAAGTATAGTTAGGGTAGATATCGTGCGGAATCCCAATCTTCATGGCAAATCGGCAGGCTACTGGCGCCCTGCACGGCTAGCAAATGTTACGAGCGACAAAACGGCGGTACTATCGATGGAACAAGAAACAGTTCCTTACATGAGGATCCCCATCAACTATTTCTACTTTTTAACACCCCAAACGCCGACAAAGACAGTTAAGGAAAGAGAGAGCGAGGAAGAGAAGGAACTATCGCACGGTTAGAGCTGATAGAGAGAGGTTCCCAGTATAGAGGAAAGGGGTCAATTAGGTGATGAGCCAAGCTAGGTTGATTGAGCTATAGTGTAGGGTTGAGGTGCTCGGGAGAGCTCTAAGATAGATATAGCGTACAAAGATGCGTTAGCCCTAAATAGGTTACTAGCACAACTCAAAATCCCACATTAACCGACCCCAGGGTAACGTGCAAGAAGAACCTCAACAAAACCAACAACATTAGCCAAACGAGTATGACTATGACTATAATTGCCCAGAGCGGCAAGAGCAAGGCACGAATTACATCCCTGACGAAGGCCAGCGGATGCCATTTCCACCCTGCTCTCTTCATGAATTCGCTACCTCTACTTTTGTACAGATTGTACTGGTCCATCGGAAACTGTAGCTCCGGGACCAAGTAGCAAAACGCGATTGTTTCCGGGATCTCGCAAAATATCCATTTAATAAGGTAGAAAAAACTGTCGAGTTTGGGAAAGCGAGTTTTGAAGTCATTAAGTGAGTGACGCGGAGGAAGACACATATTGCTATGAGGTTTTAAGGCTTGGAGATACCGAACGAGCCGTGGCTTTTTTTTCCTTGGCCCAGAAGGAGGTGTGACTTTTAATGGATCGATTAAGGCTTCCGGAATGATATCTTCAGACGAAGCCGAGGCTTCTGGCGATATTGGGGGCTCGATTGGAGCAGTAGCTTTCCGAGTAGAAGCCCTGAAAGCAGCTGTACGAATTGACTGGAGTCTACACAGTATTACGCGATAAATGTTGGGAGATAGTGTAAGGATCAGCAGCACAGCGAGGACGACAAAGAAGGATGCGAATGAGGCCGAATTGGGTAAAACACTCATACTGTAAATTGACTAGCGAAAGGTCAGAAAGAAAACTGAATAGAAAGGCAGTTTGATGTACGAACAGAAGCTGCTGTCAGAGGTAGATAAAGCGTTGCTAGGTACGCTAACACTTTTAGTCGTTGGCCTTGTTGCAAGGCAGTGCGCCCTTCTAGAACAGCAGTCGCGCTATGCAACTACACAGTGTCAGCTTAATATGCTTTCGGGATGAGTGGTTGTCTCCTACAGCAGCACGCTGCACACACGTTAGCTGACCGGAATCTCATTATTAAGTGGAGATGCTTACGCTTTCTTGCGCTCTTTTGTTCAATCCTTCGATCTGAGCTCGCAGTTCTCTCAAGGAAAAGATCTCCTCGTGCATTTCGCGTGTCCAGTGTTCTACACCTGATTCCTCCTGTGGGTGTACAATACTTCTTAAATCCTTCATCTGGCCACTATTGAGCTTCTTCATGAATCGAAAAGTAGAATCGAGTGAGTCTTTAAGCTCACTGCATCCTTGGATCGTGCGATGATACGTATTGGATTTGGTAAAATGTTGGTCATCAAAAAGCCCATCTATATCACACGACTGCAGCTCATGTCTGAGAAAGTCGCATATTGATTCGGCATTATCCCGTTGCGTGATAAGTGCGGCGGTTATGCCACGAATGAATTGGGAGATTGGAGTGAGATGCCTGTCCAGCTCTCGGTCAAAATGTTGTCGAGGGTAGTTGACCATGAGTACTGTCCAAAGGCCCTGTGGTGATTTTAGTAACTGAGTCTCCTCTTCTCGGCTAGTGGACTCTTCAGGGATCACAAGAGTCATTAAGGTGGACGAAGAGGCCTTATAGAGAAAATAGTTCTTAGTATTATCGCCGGGCTTCTCATGATTCAACGATAAAAGCGGAGTTCGATCAATGTCGATTTGCCGTTCAGCTGGATTATCCACAGCAGACATGGTTAGATATGTGAGGTGGAACGACATGGACACTCTTCGATAGTGCTTTTGGTGCTGCTCCTATTTTCTATGTAAGTGCTAGGAGAAATGGACATAGATAAGGGATCCGACTTACTACGCCAATTTCCGGTGCGGAAGTAGGTTGCCAATGATATGGAGTAGCCATTGTCGATTTAAGATTGAGATGTCGTTCAATGAAATTACGAATGTATGCCTTGTCTTCATTTTGCAGCCGGATGCAGAGAGCATGTACCCATAATAAGACTGCACGCTCATTATGTGATTGGCACTCTTTGACGCATCTATGATTTATTAGTCTCATTTCTTGTTCCAGTGATGCACTTACATGACACGACCTCGGGAAGGACTCACTGGATCTTTCCCTTTCGATGTAGCCATATCCGCGCCGATCTTAGACCTTGGTGAGTAAATTACGCACATTTGTTTTTAATTTAGCTCTGGTTTACCTTAGAGAAGAAAAAATGACCATTGACTTGTCCATTTTGCTGCATGGCTGGGGTACTTTGTAGTTTCCCATCTGCACACAGAACTTCCTCCACCGACGAATGGATGAGCAGGTCGTTCAGCATCTCTTGGCTACACCTTGCCAAATGGCTGCGAATGACTGTTTCCAGCTTCTTAAAAGGGGTGACAACGAGCTTATTATCCCAGTCGTGAAGGTTTTTGTGGGTAGCAATATCATCAAGAATTTCCTTTACGACATCTTTGACGCTGCGCTGTGATGCTCCGTAGTGCATTTCATAATCCATGCCCTTTTCTTCCTCAGTCGTCGTGACATTAGTTATTGTCGCATCTTGCCGTAGCTCAGCCTTGTAGCCATCCGACTGCTTCTCGTTTCCTGTGTTGATTGTGGATGTCTGGGTGATATATAATGGACCAGGATCAGATAATTCCTCCTCAGAATCATTGCTCGCGGTTTCCTCTATTTGTTTCGGTATATTTCCAGCAGTTGTAAAAGGCTGAGCTCTGTGTGCAGGACCAGGGCTATCTTGAAGGAAATTATGAAAATCGTCTCGCGCGTTCGACAATGACTGCGATGGGGGGAGAAAAGACATATTCGTACCTCTAAGTTTTGAAAAGAAGGTTCCTTTTTCCAATGTAAAAAAGAAAATCCGAAGTTGGAGCCTAGTATCGGTAAGCATGGACATGGTGAGGTGAGGCTGAGTCCTCTTCCAAGACTTTTCATTGGCAATGCAAGATTAGCCTCGCGACTCTCCATCCAGTAAATCCCCCTCAAACGCTCAGTCGCATCGAATTCGACTAAACATCATACCTAAACCTTCAGGATTCATTGGCAACTCGGCGCTGAAGTCTAGTACCTGCAGCTACTCTACCGGCTTCCGTTCAGCCCTCAACAGAGGCTTCATCCATCATCGCAATAGTCGATGCAAACAAATTACACTCAGAGAGCTCATGTAGGGCTGTAATATATAGGCATGAGAGTTGAATTCGATCATTTTAAAAGATGGACATTATCTCTGGCATAGAATCTGCTCAACATCGACTCGCGCCTCACAGATGCGATGCTCGCCAGAAACGGCAGGCTTGGGTGAAGTAACCGCGAAATGGACTGAAATAGTATTACACTCACTAATTTCTTCGCAAAACCCTTTACAGAATGGCCCAGATGAGTATAGGCTATCTCTTGCTAAGTTAAGGCTCCTGGCTGAAGGTCGATTAGATGATATCTTGTTGACCCTAGGAGCACTGCCATTGGTAGAACATTTCTCAGGAATTTTACAACATAAATGTTCCAACACTGTGGGATGCTTTACATTCAACCTTGCATATCCACGCCTTTCCTCTTCTAGTACCAATACCAGCCACCTTCTCGGATACTGTCGAACATGATGGTAGATACTCTAATGGTAGCCATAATAATTTCTCTGGACTGTATATTATCCGAACCCCATCTTTGCTTAAAGTTAGGCCTTGATTGACTGTCAGCATCCTAGATCTTGATTGTGTCGTCATTTAGCTCTGACGCCAGCCGGGTTAGGTCAGGAAAGAACGCTGCTGATTTGACGCTATTCCAGTGGCCCTCGAGTGTCTGGAGGCACGAGGCACCGTTAATATCCCAGATCTTGATTGTATAGTCATCTGGACCTGACACTAACCGGGTTGAGTCGGGAGAGAAGGCCGCGGCCCGACCGAGCTCGAATAGACCTCAACCGTGTTACGGCACGTCCCCGCTGCCGCTTCTTACGCCGTACTGCGCTGTCGCTAGATGTTGAGGTGACCAGCTGCCTGTCTGGTACGAAGGCCACGGCCCTGACCCAGCTCAAATGGTCCTTAAGCGTGCTGTGGCAGGCGTCCTAATCTGCTTCTCTCTTTAATAACATCTCTACCTAATTTAGAACCCGGCACATAACAGTCTGCCGTATCCTACTTGTCTCTGGCGCAAACACCTGTGCTAAGGAATAGATGTGTAGTGGAGCGTTCGCGAGTATAGACTGAAACCGCAACACAAGTCGCTTCGCGTCACAAAGAAAGCGTGAAATAGCGCCTTTAACGAACTACATTGTAGATAAGTATAACACTAATAAGGAATTTTATAGGGGCTCTTACTTCTGTAAGTGCTGATAGCCACTTAAGTGGGCATATTTTCTTAACTCTCGCATAAGGCGCATGGCGTTAAGGCAATTGTAGGCCTTCCTGTACCAGCCATCCTTGTTAGCCAGAATATAGGTTTGACACCCTTGTTCTTAGCCTATTCTGTGATACTATGCAGTAAATCGATGTGGGTATTTTGTAGGCATCGTTCGTTGTGTTCCTCTATATGGGAGTTGAAGGAAGCGACTTTCGCGGTAGGCAATTTGGCCAAGTCTACCTTCTGGCTCAACTCAAATATAAGACCTCTATGAGTCGGGAAGCCGCTACGTCTGTCTGCAACAGAACGCAATGGATCAAGAAGTGCTAGCGTGAACGTCTGCTTGTATCTTTTCAAGCTAGAAATGATTTTTTCCATCTGCTTGCTCGTACACGGCCACTTCAGAGCTCACATACTGAGGCGCGCTCATAGCCTTCCGAGTCTTCCTAGGTTCCGGCTCTGCCTTTAGCTTTTCTAGCTGCTGAAGACATTGCTTGAGCGACGGGAACAACTCATGAGTGGTGGAGAGTTGTGCTTTGTCCCGTAACGGTTTGTATAGTAGTTGAGGCTATTGAACGAGCAGGTTAGCCTTCCTTTCCAGGAAGAAGGTGGCTAGTCCCAATTAGGAAGGATAACGGGCCTTGCTTAGAAGGTCTTAGCAGCACTAATTAAATTTAAAGGGAAAAACCACGCAGCAGAAGTAATTTTAACACCCCTAACCGCGTCATCTTTAATCACAATAGAGAAAAAAGAAGACTAGATTAAGCATGTAGCAGAGCAAAATAATTACTTAAAGCTTAAAAACGTAGAACAACAAAGCTTTTTAGTTATTTAATTTTCTACCAATCAGATTAATAACCGGCTTATATCCAGACCAATAGGAGAGAGGGCTTGGCGGTAGAGATAGTGTAATATTTGATGATGATTGATGCTTAGAAAGTCAGCGACTGCGCCACGCCCGGCGGCACCATGAAGTGGCAAAGCTCTCACCCCTCATTGTGGCTGATTCATATAGTCAACTAGAGCGTTTTTGTGATCCTCGGGTGGTGCAAGCTGGTAATGTCTCTGCTAAGTGCGACAGGGGGCTATCGTAGAGTAAATTTCTGCTGCGTGCAAAACCTGGAAGCCGAGCGTGTACGCCACTGTATAAGGCTTTTGTTTGTGTTTCTCATCGTTGGTCCTTTGTTCAACGGGTGGCGAGGATTGAGTGGAGGACCCAGCGCGTTTCGACGTGTCGCAAGTTAAGCGCTCAGCCACAGGACGGCCTCAGACCAAGACGACAAAGATCAACGATTGGAGCAAGTTTCTTTGAGCGTAGATCCTTCCACCCCTTGTTAATTGTGCGTGCAAGGCTTTATTTAGAAGGATGATGACATACTCGCCAGTAGGTTGGGCAAGAGGCTGTGGTACTTTTCTCAACTTCACTCCTTCCTTCGGCTTCTCGGACAGCCTTTCCTACATTTCCTTCAATTTTGGCATTTAGCTCTTGAGAAGATATCTATTTTCATTAGCCTGTATCTTCAAGCGTTCTATCGCGCACCTACGGCCATGTTCGACACAGGAAATTGCTCAGTGGTCCCAAGCTCCACGCCAACAGATGCAGGCGTCGCCGGTGCTGGTGTAAGGCTCCCATTTCCCCACCCTCTCAACTTGTAATAGCTAACAAAGACCAGGTCCTCCTCTCTTTTATAATTACAAACTGTCTCTCCCTCTTCCTCTCTGCCATCATCATTCTCCTCGGCCTACGTAAATCCACATCTGCTCCAATATTTCGGAAACTACTTCTCTCCTTCTCCGACCAGCAGATCATCACCGGAATCGGCATCCAATCCGTCGGTCTTGCGAAAATGAAAACAATGGTTCCCTACCATTTCTTCATCATCTGGCTCCTATCCCTGCTCTCGACTGCCACGAATTTGTCGACGTTAATAGCACTTGTAAACGATTTTAAGCGAGACTGGGTGCTTCGCTGGTTACGGCAGTTTCTCATGTTTATCAACCTCGTACTACAGATAGTCAGCAGTATCTTCGTCCTGCAATCCGTGATGAAGAACCTCGAGCCTCGCTTACCGATCGGCTGTGTCTGGGAAGTCTCATCGCGAGGAAAGGCTTCCAACGCTGCACTCTCGCTCGTCGGAACAATCGCCGTAATCGCAGGGAACGTCATTGTCTTCTCGTTTTCGACTTGGTACCTGCACAACCGGCAGAATCCGAAATGGCTTAAGACCGTGCAAGTCGTGGGGCTCGTCACGTTGATAGCTATGGGTATTGGCGCCACAGTGCGCGTGGTTCTGGTGTCGCAGGCTTTCGGTCATCCTCCAGAATCAGTGAGATTGGTTGGAACGGGTGAGAAGGATTGGAGCTTCGGACAGCTGTTGCCACTTTTGTTGCTTTCACTGCCGCTTATCAATACCGTGGAAATCATCAGAGGGGAAACGAAGACGCCACCTTCCGCTGTGGATGACGATACTACGCCGCTCTTCGATGGGGAGTTGGGCCCACAAAAACCAACGGAGTATCAGCCGAACCCTATGTGGGGGAGTCGAAATAATTTGGTAGGAAAATGAGGCTAATGGTTCTTCCTGACTGAACCCTATGGCTTGTTCTCGTTCGCATGCCGTGATTCTCCCCCTTGCGGCGTTGTTAGAAAGTGTATGTATTGTGACGTAGACATGAACTCAGAAGTTTGCTGAATCAAAGAAGTACCTCCTGTTTTGCATCTAAGCTTAAAGACTTGTATAGGTGGCTTAGCGTTTAGTTATCGAAAGCTATAGCATGCTATATCTGCAGTGCTTGCAGTTTATCATTTTATCTCTCAGGTGTGTAGTTTTTGGAATTATTCCTGAGGTATCTTGTAGAACTTACACGTTCAGAGAAATTTAAACAATTTTTACGGGCTTTCCCAAGCTTTCACAATGTAGAAAATAGATGCCCAAGGTTAAAGTACGCAAAAAACCCACCCCTACTCTTCGCCCTTGGTCCTCCTGGAACCCTCCCGTTTTAAAGCAAAAAGACTGGGGTAGCCGAGAATCGAACTTAGGAACGTTAGCCTGATTTTGGACTCAACCTCCCAAATTACCTACCTCGGATTAACACGGCCACAACGTGTTGTGATACCATTACACTACCACCCCCATTTTATTTTGGTATACCAAAAGTTGTAACTGTTTTTATATGCTTACGCCAAATTAAAAATCTATTATTTTGCAAGAAATAGAGAAAAGGCGAGTAATGGTACATGCAGGTTTAGGAGTTGGTGTGTTGAGTTTCTGTTGTTCACAAGGTATGGTTGGATTCGGGAGTGGCCGGTGGGTCGGAGGTGATGACTTGGTCTCTTTTTATGACTCTTTGATCATGGTCCTGACTTAGCTTGGACATCTACGCGGATACATGTGACTCAAGATAACACATTGATATAAAGTTGGAATAGGGTATAGAATTCAATGTAGGACAGTAGAACAGAGTAACTACCTTACGCGGACCCGGACGACACTGTGCATGTCAAAGGCATGGTAGTGTGAACTAAACTTCTAAGATGATATCTCTCGATACCGAAACTACGAGCCCAAACCCCAGTGTGAAAGGATGAGAGAAAAGAGAATAGCCAAACTTCCCCATAATACACTCCAAACTCCTACAATGCTCCGCATTCCCAAATCCCCGCCAATGCTATGTAATGCGATGCCATGCTCACCAAATCGTAAGAGTTAGAAATAAGCAGAATATGAACCATAGATCGGAATGGTGCTAAGAAAACGACCATTACAATCTGGCAACTCCAGTCCGCGGTCCGAAGTCGCCCCGATTGTATTTGGAGAGATCACAGCCAGTCTTTTTAAACTTCTTCATCTCCCATATACGCCTCTCTTCAAATTCAGCGCCTGCCATTCGTTTGCGGGTTTCTGCTTTGGTAAGCGCATCTTTGATAGTTCCAGTATCGTGAAGAATCTCAGAATCCTGCCATGACCAGGATAATTCCTTGAAAAGAGGATGGGTTTGGTCGTCGAGTCGAATAGCCGAGAATGGATTCTTGTGAGAGAATTTGAGCAGATCTGGCGTCGCAGTAGATGCGTCTTTGGCTGTCTTGGAGCAGGAGGCATAAGGGGCCTTAAGTTTAAAAGTTTTGTGCGACAGTGGCTTTGAGGGGACTATTATGAAGGAGTCCGAGCAGTCATCGTCTTCGTCCTCCTCTTGGGCATTGATTCTTGGAGCTGTTATTGTCGCTTTCTCTGGGGGAGTGTCGAACCGCATGCCATCGTCCAAGCCCTTGATACCAAAAATGTTGTTCCTTCCCGTAGGGAAAGTTTTCGACGACTTGATCGGGCCTGGTATCCAATCACTGTCTGGGTCGCTTTCAGGATCTATTGACTCTCCCCTGCGCCTCGTATTCTCCTCGTCCTCGGCGGACAGGCTTGCGTGGATCTTCGAGGGCGCAGGAATAGCCTTCATGCTCTCATTATCCTTGTCGTTTGTCTCGCCCTTCTCTTCGCCTCTCACTTGCGCCTCCTTTACCTCGTCGACCAGATGGCTTGGAACGGCGGCATGGATGCCCGTCATTAACTTGGCCCGCCTACAAAAGCTCTCCCAATCTTCACTCGCCAGCTTTCCCGCAGCCTCATTCAGTGCACTCGCGGGATTCGGCTGAATCAGCAGGCACGAAATCGTCATCAGCACATCCCGAAGCTTGAGCGTGCTCACCCAATCACGTTTCAACGTCTCAACGCACACGGCGCCGGTGGACTCGTCAATGTTTGGGTGCCATAGCCGCGTGCGAAATGTTGCCGTCGGAGGCGCAGTAGGATACGCCGGGGGGATGTCGAGGTGCAGACGCCATACGCCCTCAGAATACGGCGTGCCGGGGGGTCCAGCAAGGAGGACGTCGAGGGTAGTTAGATCGGACGAGGGGTCGGTGGTCCCTGAAGGCGGGAAGAGGTAGTTTGGAGGGAGTCCGTCTCTGTGAAGGGAGCCATGGTCGGCAGCGAGACGGCGGAGAGATTTCGAGTTCTGCCATAGCTTCAGTCAGTGTCCATTATTCTCTGCTGAGGGTGCTGATGCGGCGCGTCAAGAAGAGGGCGCGGAGTGTGGAATTTACCATATTCAATAGAAGCCGACAGACTCTACTCCGCACGATGTGACGAAGGAGAACGGACGAAATCTGGGTGAGAGGGCATGAGGAGATAGGTGGACTGTTGGCCTGGAGATTGGAGAGAGTGATCTCTTTCACCATGAGGACGCGAAGGCGCGACGACCCCACAGACCCGCGCGCTAAGCCTATTCTGTTTCTAGCGCGCACCTTTGGTGTCAAATGGCTATATTCACCTATTGAGTCCATGTGCAAGGAAGAGCACAGGCCAATTGTTCTACTCAGCGTTATCGTGTGTCTACGATGGATGCAGCTTGCAAAACAACTACGCCTTGCCCCAAGATCCCTTTTCCATACCTGTCCAGATGGGCTACCATTAACGCCCACATCAAGCAGCCAAAAACTCCATTCAAAGGATATCCATTTCATCGCCTCCGCCAACGAAAGGGTATTGGCCGCTCTCAATAGTCGCCACCCTGTCCAATTCCACCTGATACTCCTTTCTAAGCCTATCAAGAGTAATAACCTGCCTCTTGAGCATCTTCTTCGCCTTGCCAAGGCTCCACTGGGGCGGGGCACCGTCATCGACGCGTTGTTCGGCAAGAATGTATGTCTCATCCTCACCAACGGACGAAAGGGTGTTGATGATCATTAGATAGCTTTGTATGAAAGATTCATCTGCTGGATCATGCGCTTTGCAGGAACTAGTCTTGAGCCGCTGAAGTCGCTCATAGAGTATCGATGCCGCACCTCGGAAATCGTTGCGGCATATTCGGAACGAATAGAGAATCTGGTGGTATGGCGGTCCAGAAGAGAGGTTCAAAGTCTTGTGGCAGAGAGAGGAAAGAATGGCGTCAACATCGTTGGTGAGACCCACAAAGGGGAATTTAAGAAGCGCCGGGGTTTGGAATTGCTGGATCATCACCGTGATAAGAGTCTGTAGTGCTGAGTGCTTTCTACAGAATGTTAGCACACATTTGTCCCTATGGGGAGGGAAGCAGCTTACAAAGACAGGTCCTTGTGCCTCGTCATGGCCGAGTAGGCGTCATCAAATCTCGACGTCTGTATTGACGAGCTAAACAGTCGTGAAAGAAGGTCTGACTTGAGATCTTCGTCCTCTGTGCCCATCAATGACCTGAGGCCCAACCGCGCAAAATCTGCGGCGTGCGAGAACGCCTTGACCTTCTCAAAAAGTCCGAGGATATGGTAGTAATATTTAGCAAGACCTTCGGAGAATGAATCGCGCTGTTCTAGTGGAATAAAGCTTATTGTATCGGCATCGTCGATACTAAACATTCCTAATGCTATACGAATAAGCACGTAGTCACTATCAGTCTTGTTGGGGAACTTACCAAGGTTATAGGCAGCTTTCTGGAAGCAGATTGAAGCAAGGGTGTATTCTCCAAGAGCAACGTGCATTCGGCCCTTAAGATATGTGCTCCAATTTCCTTCCTGAAGAAATTTCGAGAATTGGAGCGCAAGGCCATACTCTTTTTGCACAAGAAGTATGCCCATGATAACCTCTAGGGAGGCCTCGAAATTCTGGTCTCTGAAAACTTCGTTCAGCCAGACACGACTCCAATATGTGAGCAGTTCGTTCTTTAGTCCACGGGGTAACGGGGAATCGAAACAGCGGTGCCCAAATATGCCCTCGAGGACTGTCTGGGCAATCGGTAGTTTTCGAGAATCCCTGTATTTTTCATCCAAAGCCTTCATCAAGTCCTCCGAGCTAGGGCCGGTAGGAGTTTGATGTGACCATGTCGTGCTCGCCAACCATCTCAAAATCGCGCAGTCCTTGAGCTGATTCACAACCTCGACGAATACCTCAGAGGCATCGAAGTCCTCTGATAAATCTTCTTCAAACTGCATGAAGAGAACAAGAACCAGGAGATCTAATAATGTGTTGTAGCTAGTGTCCAGGGTCTCTTGCGATACTCTAACTAACGCATCAAGACCGAAACGTGCAATTTGTCTTTTCCTGTTAGTCCGGCGTTGTTCTTCTTGGCCTAGAGTTTGAACGGCCCGGAGAAACATATCAGTGGTCAGGTCCTTGATGTCAATGCCAAGATCCTCGATAAGCAGTGAAAGATCGTCGTCTGAGACTTGTCGACTGAGGTCGCAATTTTGTTCAAGCAGTTCCATTCGGTCAATAACGGATAGTGATTGGCTTTGTAGCAGCTCATTATTCACTTGCCACTGGAATTGACTGTTGAATGATATTGGAAGGTTCTTTCGAAACGAGGCAGCGGCGTTTAGTAGCCTCGCTACATTTCGAGAATCAGCCTTCGCTAACTCTTTCCTAAGGGGTCCCGTGAGGTGATCGGAAGCAGCAATTGTCGCAGCATTCAAGGAAATGATTTCGGGTTCGCTGCATTTCCGGATAGCAGATAGATAGTCGGACAGAACAAGCCATGGCATCTCAAGCCTGCTATCGAAAACAAGTGACAGGGACTCTCCTCGGCGCTTGTGCAGATCTCTGATAAGGCCGTAGAATGCCTGCCATTGAGCAGCAACGGCATCTTCGAACTCGTCATAGTCGAATGCGCTGTTTCGACCCTGCGCAGCGAATGTTGCAATAGTCGCACTAATGCGCTGTTTAAGTGATCCATGCTTAGCAGCCGATGCCGCTGGATTTTGACCCAGCCCTCGGCGGAACAAGCCCAACGCCGTCTCTAAGGTTGCCATAGTGAACCGCCCTGGATAGAAGAGGAAGTCTAGCCACTGCTCAGTCACGCCGAAATTGCCTGGTCCCAGGGCGTCCGGATCTTGTTCGCTGGGATTCCCAGAGTTCTGCTTCAATCCATCAACGGAAAGGGCGCCTGAGTCCGTGCATATCCAGTCATACTTCCATATGTGTGCTAGTCTTCCAGAATCTTCGTTTAGATCGAACTTCAAGGAGTACACTTTACTGCTTGGACCGGATCTCGCGCGGATCCAAAGCTCTGTGCCTCTCCACCCAGCAGGTCCAGGATTGACAAAGAACTCCTCGAGATTCCAAACCGTGGTACGCATCATGTCATCGACGGGAGGGATGAAAGCAATGCCGGACTGGATATCGTAGATGCCCAGGTCTGCATTGTCAGCGTCTCGAACACCCCAGAACTTAAATTGATGCTGCTTTGGAGAGTAGGTGACCACATGATACAATGCCCCGTCTACGCCACCGGGAATGTTTACGACAGCAAGCAGGGTGGACTGAGAAGGTCCAATGAAATATGGGGCCATCTTCTCGTTTGCCTGATCTGCTTGTCCGAGCAGATCCATCTGGACGCCAGGCCTTCCATTTTTGACATTCCATGCACGTATCCTGTGGTTGAGACACACGGTAAAGATATGCTTTTTGTCTGGAGACAATGCCAGGGCAGCAGCAGCCGAGCCATCCAAATCGGTGTTGTGGAACCGCACGGTATTCTGCCCCCTCCAGGGCAAGAGGCCTCTGAAAGACCAATCGCTCTGTTTGTACAGAGTCTCCATCCAGTCGGAGTCGTCTTTGTTCCGCTTCGTCAAATGCAGTATGCCTCCATCATCGAGTGACACCAGCAATTCGCTGGCGCTCAGCGCGACCAGTCTGTACGGCACACGAAGGCCGAGGAGATTCGGCGCAGACCTCTTGCACCAATCCTCAATGTCTGGGTCCGACGCTGCCAGCTTGATGAAAAAGTCGCGATGCAGGGTGATGGTATACAATTCGTTCGCAGTCGTGATGGCGAAAACAGTCAGGGCATCTCGGTCCTCTGGCTCCGCGAATGCAATGCCGAATGGTCGAATAGGTGAGGAGAAGTGGAGCAGCAAGGTCAGGTTTGCCTCAAGCCTATGACCGACATCTTGATCGAGGTCGGTCGACTGCACCTCTAACGTCTTCCTATGGTCCAGAAGCCGCCAGAGGAAGCTGCGCGGGTACTCATGGTGTCTTCTGAAGAACATGGAGCCATCGCTGGCAAGGTGCCGTTTCGCAAATGCATCCTCATCTTGGTCTATGTATTGGTCGGTGACGATAGTCCGTTTTGCCTGCGTGCGAAAGCCGAATGTCGATGTAGTGCTGGCGGGAAGGGTGAAGGAAACAGTGGATCCAGGATAGGCAGGCTCAATATTGAGGCGCGCCTCTTTGTAGAGGCACGTCACTCCGCTGTTGGCCATGATTAGTTCATGCAGCGGGGACGGAGAGAGGTTTGGAGATCGGGTGCGATGGGGTGTGAGAGCGCGCTGAATCGAGGTGAAGGTCCCGGGGTTTGCGCGCTGGAAACAAATCTGAACTCCAGAGCTTCCTTCGCGACAGGCGAGTGGGGCGCCCAAGCTTGCGCCACGACTGAAACTCCAGCCACCTTCACCGAGTCGGATTATCAAAAATTCAGTGCATGGTAGATGAAGATGCACATGATGGTTGATATTTCATACTGGACTTGTAGCATCACGTCGACCTCTAAAGCAAACTCTATGTCCTTACACCACCCCGCGCCCCTTGAATGCAAAATCCCATGATACAGCACCAACACCTGTCGTCGACACTGCAGCCAAATGCGCCCCCATTCTAGTGGTTCTCCAAATCCTTCTCCTTAGGATCGCCGATTCCGTCTTCATTGATTGCAAACAAGCAGTCGCTCTCCGGTAGACAAGGGCTGTCGTAGATCTTGCAGACTCGCGTCTCTCCCCTTCCTTTCCTGAGGCTCAGCCGCGTAGTGCTGGCGTGGGCAATGATGTTCCCGCCAATGGGTTTCTTGGGATCAGGGTTAAACATTGCGCTTGGACCCCCATCCACCTGAGCGACGACTTGGTTTGTGATGATGACCGCAATGCCGAATTCATCTGCAAGCCTCTGGAGCGTCCTCATGAACTTGGCCAGATGTGTTTGGCGACTGGAAAGCTCTCCACGGCCGGAGAAATCTGTACGATAGAGGGAAGTCGCCGAGTCCACAATAAGCAAGGAAAAGCGGGTCTCAGTCATCATTTGCGCCGCCTGGTTGAGAAGCTCCAGCTGGTGATCCGAATTGTAGGCACGGGCATATGCAACATTGTCGAGAACCTCCTCGCCTGAAAGTCCGTAGCGGTTAGCGACAGCTAGAAGCCGAACAGGTCTGAATGTGCCTTCTGTGTCGATGTACAAGCATTTCCCCTCCCCGCCGCCCATATCAAAGGGCAGCTGGCATGTCACAGCGAGTGTATGGCAAATCTGGCTCTTTCCCGTCCTGAACTCGCCAAAAACTTCCGTTATTGATCCAGTCTCGATTCCCCCGGCAAGGAGGGTATCTAGTTGTTTCGAACCTGTCGTGATGGATATTAGCTCGCTCCGTCGCTGATGCATCTCGGTCGCAGTTGTGAATCCCATTGGTACGAGTTTTGAGGCTATCACGGTTAGCGACAGCTTTACTAAGCGCGTGAGAGTGCAGACCTTCAGCAAGAAGCTTTGATGCTTTCTGCTCAGAGATACCCTTGATCTGTTCCAACGCCCTTCGCGGCCTGCTATCCCATTAGTCTTGCATTAAACCGTCACCGTGCTTGCTGCTTACGTATATGCGATAGATTCTACCGTGTTAAAGCCTCCATCTATCACGAGTTTTATATCGCGAGCTGTCAAGCCGTTTACACCCTGCGTGTTTTCATCAGCCCAGGGCGGATGAGGTCGTTCGGACCGAGACACGTACCTCGAGTGCGGAGATCGGGGTTGGCGCGCCGGGTGCTGCCATTGACCCATCTTCGTATTGCTCTTCTTCAGTACTCATTTTGACGGCGGAAATTTAGCACCGTAGGCTGCGTTGTTCTGGGCTATTGGGCGACGTAGATCGGGCAAAATGCTGAAGATGTGGCGAAGCCTTGCACGCGGAGGTCAACAATGAAGCTAGTGGCAGTGACGCGAGATCACGTGATATAGATCCTCCCCTTTTTTCTCCATTCAAGGTTTTATTCCAACACAAGTCAATACGACTGCATACAACATTTATTGCTCCAATATGTAGTGCACCAGATACATTCATGCCTGAATATGAGGAAGAGCAGTTTGTTGGTGTCGCTTCATCAACGAGTCCTTCCGAACGTCTCTGCACCTACCCTATTTGCGGTTGGTCTCTGTTTGCAGTGTCAAATTGCTGGGCTGTAAAAACCCTTATCCTCTAAGGTGGCATGGTGTCTTCAATATATCGTTTACTGACCCCGGAGCCTTGACATTGAGTATCTAAACCATCGAACCAAGGACAGGGATTTGAGGGTTAAGAGAAAGAAGAATTCCGTCTCTATCGGGTTCATTTAATGGGTTGTCACTGTGCTTATATGCAGAACTTGACGTACTGAGTACCTGTGGGGTGTGCTTTGCAAAGAAGCGTCTAGTACCACTACTACCCTCTGCTTCAACAAGCGTTCTTCGTGTCCTTGCGTGATCCTTCGCTGACCGTCAAATGTCAAACTGTCCGGAGCACCCCGATCTCTTCCTCATGTCTCACATCCTAGGCTGTGCCTCCCCCTCATCAAGCCGAACACCATTTCCACGTCATCAATACCCATCGCCCGAAGAGGCGTAGGTGTAAGAATCAGGCTCCAATGTAGAAATTTCTTCATGGAAGAACAAGATCGCTTACGAAATGCGGCGTATTGACAACAAATTGCAATGCGAAGCCCATCAGGCAAAGCGCGACGCCCTCTCAAATCGCCTCGCACCCGCCTCGTATCAGCCTTGGGCGAGAGTCGCGAGATTTTAGCAAGGGAAGGGTCTCCCCACGAGGTGAGGTGAGAGGTGGGGAAAGTCACTCGGCACTGCTTTCCACTGGAGCCCTTGAGCCAGCCACGGCTGCCTTTCTAGGGCTATCCTCGCGGCGATCATATCTCCCCTTTCACACACAATGATTGTGCATTGTGATTCGATACGGACTTTTCAGCTGCCCAGCCAAAACTGCGTCCTTCGATAAAACTCTATTTCTTCTACTTCAATCACATCACAGCGCGCAGCTCGTCACTACAGTGTAGCAGTATCGCACTTAGATATTCAATTAGAGGTTTGATGAATATATTCATGTTCCGCTGGTATCATTAAGCATTGTGACGCCGATCTTACCATGCCAACTTTTAGGGTGCCTTGCCTCATTTGGCCATGCAGGGGATGCCAGACCAGTTCCAATTCCAGTTCCCAAAACACTCGAAAAAGTCCACAGACATACATGCCCATTTGTTGGCCCCGAGACCAAAAAATCCCAAGTATATGTGATGAAGACGCTCCATAACTCCTCTGATGCCGAATTACAATGGAACTGATGATACCTTGCTTGGACGACCAAATAGCACTAATAAAAGCCCAAGGTTTGTGATGAGGTGGTACAAGGAAGCAAGGGGATCTAGTGCGCAGGGTGCTCCTCGTGCACGTGTGTGTCCGCAGGTTCGGCACATTGCTGGGTCGGCGTTGGTGACAACAGCACAACCAATGCAAGGTGCCTAAACTTGCTCCACAAAATGCGATGTCCTGGACCCGTCGGACGGTCTCCGCTTCTTTTGTAGACGCTTGGATTGCCGCTTCTCACTGCCAGCAGGCTTCTCATCTTCGGGGCTTGGCGGTGCGAAGGTGCCTGGTCGGAGAATCTCAAAGCCAGAATTAACTTTGCGGAGCACTTGTGATTCACGCTGATTTTGACCGGTCTTGACGTCGTATTGTGTTGGCTGCTCCTCTTCATATTCGTGTTGCGGTCCGCGGGGCTGGTAGGTTTGCGGATGGTACTGGTATGCGTTCGGTTGGTATGTTTCCAAAAGCGGTACCGCTTGTCTAGCTTGGTTGGAAGCATGGCCGTCCTGGGTGAACTTGGAAGAGGCCGGCACTACTGGCACCTCTTCTGGCGGGATTGCAACTGGAGGAAGAGGAGGAGAAGGGGTTTTCTGCCGAGGCACGAAATAGTCAACACCATTGGTAGTTGAAATATCTTGGGGCAACCTCGTATTATCAGCCACGCTCGCCCATTCTCCGCTATTACCTGGCCGGCGGACTCTAGGGGTCAGCTGTCCAGTCTCTGCAACGTGAGATAGACGGTGACTCTGTAGGAGATCAAGGTCCCACCGTGGGTCGACTGGGACCGGTAGGGAAGCATGTCTCGATGTAGACGGGTTGATGTACGCTGCTTCGTATGGTCGGCCTTCCTGGATTGCTTGCATGCAGTCCGATTCATCACTAGTCCTCCTACTAGACTTGCCGGAATTGTTGGACTTGCCCGAGTTAGACGAGCTAGCCTGGCCATTATTAGATTCATAACATGCTACAAACTTAAGTTAGCGTTCAGGCACGGTTCGAGGACTTGTGTAGATCTCACCTGAGGAAGACCCCGGGTCCAGCCCTTCTAAAGCCTGCAGAGTCGTTGAATTTCGCAGAAGATTAGGATTACTATATCGTGAACTTGTTGCAATAGGTAGTCGTCCGCGAGCGTGACTAAGGTTCATCGGGCCAGGGGACGATGCCCGCGAGTCGTCCGGCAGGCGTTCAGCCGACACGGCACGGTCGAAAGAGGAACTCGGCGCACGGGAGCTGCTACGGCTGGAGGCGCCATGGTATGGCTGTGGCAATTCGAGTTGCGAGCTGTTGTGGCTCCGGGGGAGCTTGAACTCATTAATAGACGAGGCACTACTGCCAACAGGAGTGTTTGATCGTGATATCCACACTCCGTCGACCTCGATACCACTTTCGATGGCCCGGATACCAAATGGAATATCATCCTTCGGGTCTTGAGGCTGCGCCTCGAGCATCTCCGGTGTTTGAGTCTTTTTCCCCTTCTCGACCTTGGTGTACTTGCGAATCCGATAGTGGTCATATTTGAGCTTGCATAGTCCGAGTATGATGGTGGCAACCTAAGGCAATCAGCATGATCAAGCGAGAGGCTAAGGAATTCAGTCTTACGATTCCACAAGCCAGAACCTGAATCAGAGTTAGCAGAGATTCATAGGAAGTTTGTCATGTTCGACTTACGAAGGTCATCTGCTGCCATAGCTCCCAGCCCGAAAAGAATTTCTTGCCCATGATTGTGATTGGGGAGAAGGATTAGAGATTTAGGATCGTGAGATACGAATGTCAGGAAACGACGGCGCCAATCGATCGCCGTCAAGATCTAGGAAAGAGCGAGTCGGAACAAAGTCCATCCACGGACAATGCCAGGACAAACAATAGCAAGAGGAGGCGGTGACAGAATTACACAGTAGGGATTTGTAATGTTGAGGGCAGAGGGGGATATCGCAGGGCCGGTCTGGAGGAGCGATAGGCTGTGATGTGTGTTGTGCCGGCAATTAATAAATCGATTCACATGCACACAACGTGGTGGTTGCTGGGTGTCTTGGAAAGGAAGCTAGAATCCTAGAATCCCGGCTCGGACTTCGATCTCGTGACAATGATCCTTCAACGGTGCAAACTGGTGAAGGCCGGTCCTGCAAGTGAAAGCGAGGGTTAAGGTCGAGTTGGTGACGTATTAGGACAGTGATTGGGTCTGGTGAGAGGTTCTGTGGTTGACTCCCACGAACAAGCGGCGGGGTGGAAACGAACGTGGAACGGCCTGGCAACGAGCGAGGAGACGGGTGGCACCAGTGAATCAGAAGGGTAGCGACAGAAGACGACTAGCCAAGAAGCAGCGTACAAACCTCGTGCATCACTGTCGGCATCCGTTTCGTGCGTTTCCTGGGACGGCTTGGGGGGGAGGGAATGATACAAAAGAGCAGGTCACGGCGAGAGGGGACATGGGCAGAGGAAATATATTGCTTGCCGTCAGGGGACGATCTGCTCTCCCAGGATCCACCAGAATCCGGCGCGAAGGAAACAACGGAACCTCTCAGGGCCTGAAATGGTCAGATCCCAGTCGCCCAGGAAGTCGGCCGGGCTGGCGTGCCATTTCCACCATGGCAATCATGGCAGCCCGTGTGATAGAGTCCAGCCACGATTTCACTCACAGGGGCATCCTCAAGCCAGCAGCAGGGACGCCGCATTAGTGCACGGCGAGCCTTGAGATGCTGGAAATAGAATGACGCTGCGACAAGACATGCTGTAAGTTACCAGACTTCGACCGTCTGTGGATCAGCGCTGCAGCCGTTGAGCAATACGACCTAGTGCCACAAGGCCAATGGCACGCCGGACAATGGGATTAGAACAGGCGTACAAAAGCAGGATACATACCAGCATCTCGCGCCGTGAAACAGGAAGCGCGATATTGGGAGCGGACGTGTCGGAGCAACACCATGCGAGGTTCATTTTGCCCTTGACGTGGCTCCGACGGCACTGGCTTGTGCGCTCCGCCACCCTTGCCGGCCCCAAGCCAGAAGGGCTTCCGGAGGCTTCAGATGGCGTCAGGGCCCCCTGCCATTCCTCGCCTTGCGGTCAGAGATCGTTTGTGTTTGAGCATCCGAAGTCCGGTTTGGGATTGGCCCCAGGGCGGAACGGGGATGCCTCTGCAGCTGGAAACGCAGTTTTGAGGAGCTCTCCTTAATTTTAGGCATCAGAAAAGAAACACCGGCGCCTCTCTTTTCTAGCCGGACCATACCCGCCGATCTTCTTTTCTCAACAGCAGTCAGCGGATTGTCAACAGATCGTCCCAACCCCTGCTCGTGCTCCTACGCCGTTACTACAGGTTGCAACAGCAATGGAACACCTGTCGAAACTTCTACTGTGCTGTTCCACTCCTGCTGACCTGAGCCATTTGCACGGCGTTCCAATAATGGCCAAGGCTGAGAGGATGCCAGTATGACGCAAAGGCATCACTGCTCCACTATCTTTTCGCCTCGCCTACGACTGCTCTCAAATTCGTCATCGCGTTAGTTCGTTCACTCAGCACGCAGAAATCAAATCTCCCGCCCACCCACGCGCTGAGCTCTCCGTTGACACATGGTTTCCTCCCGTTGACGCCGTCTGCAGCTTGCTCAGAGCTAAGGTCCCACGCCCACTCCGAGCCTTCCATTGCTGGCTTTCGCGCGCTGCTACAGTTTCGAGTCTCGTACCATCTGACTTCAGTAGGGTGCCCAGACACCAGCAAAATCTTCCCACCACTCTCTTGCGGCGGGGTGCCCCGATCATGCTCCATCGCCGTTCTGGGCGTCCAGCGGAATAACACAGCATCAAAGCCATATTGATGACACCAAGCACAGCGTCTGTGAAACCACAACAGCCGATGCAGACCACTCCTGCACACAGCCGCCAGAGAGCAACGCATTCGCCATGGTATTGGAATTCTTCCACATCTCCTGGGAATAACTACAATAATTGGGCTGTGAAAGTCGAAGATCCACCAAAACCTAAGTGCTAATATTAGCGTGTTGATTGATCAAGTCACCGTAGTGGAGAATCCTAGTAGGCCAACCGCTTCGCCAGGAGATGTGTCTTTGCAGCCCAGAGATCGAACTTCCAATGCAGTTGCCACACTAAGTGTGGGATTCGTCTAATTAGCTTCAGAATACAGCTAGTTAACCTTTAAACACAGTGGTGGTAAGTGCATTTCTTTCGGTATTTGAAAAACGCACTGTCATAGGAAGCGAGATGCAGGCATCATTATCCAGGTCTCCAAGTCCAAGGATTCCTTTTAAAGCATGGATAGGGTTTCCTTTCCTCCCAAACCGCTGAAATCCTCGCAGCCGGGACACTGCAGAGCCTCAAGTCTGCAAGAGCCTAGAGCACAAACCGTCACAGTCCTATCTGTGCTTGAACTAGACTTCGCTTGTCTTACTGACCAAAACAATATTTTGCGCAGGATGAGGTTGCTTGCAGAGAGTTTGCCGCTCGCTTCCTCCAAGTCAATCTTCATGCAGCTAACTCGACGCTGCAGAAGCAAGATTTCATTCCTCTTCACAGCCATGTATTCCTGGCCCCATTCGTCTACTATGGTGTTCACACTTCCAGCTATGACAGTCAAGGCGATCTCGCAATCAATGCAAGGAATCTGAACAAATATCTACATCTGCGAAACCAAGTACTTGGCGATAGGGGCTTTCTCCAGGGGGAAGTGGGATTGTACGAGGACTGGCTGCACGACTTCGGGGCCTATGCACGTCGTGTATTGGAAAATCCAGCTCACGACAACGCACATTCAACTCGTCCCGAAGTTTATTGCCTTGACGGGCGGGCGGACAGGGCTCCAGTTCAAGCTTCGGAGGAAACTTACAGTTCTTTTCTCGTGATCTGTGGCGACTGGATAGCGAGAACGGCGTTCAAGGTAGTTGCATTGAACTGCAAGCCATTAATCTACTCGATATAACGACGCCCCGTCTGCGACTCGAGGATTGCACAGCATATGCACGAATCACAGCATGATCAGAGATGCCACGTGCAGCAGCTTTTCTGGCCTTGGAAGCTCTGCCCTGAAACAGAAGAACCTGGCACTCATTCTGGCCATCATCGTCCAGTTTGGGAGCTGGGGTTAGCGATAGCGCTATTCAGGACCCGAGATGGAAACTTTTGTTTTGCAAAACTGAGGGGCTCAAGCACAATCCGTGTCGAACTGGCGATGATGGCTGCCCAGTACATCATGCCATGGGATCATGGACAGGGGTCAGTCACGCTGTGATGACCTGGTATGGCACAGGGTTGCTTCCAGATGTTGAAGCCGCCGCCATGTGAACTGATGGGACTTTACGGTAACGATGAGTTTACAAGCATGCATAGCTTAGAGTTACTTCTCGCGAGCTGAAACCTTCACCTCACCGTTGGTTCCTGGGCTGCCGAGTTTTTGTTCCATGCAGGGACTTTAGGTGGAGGCTGTTGATCCGTGATCTGGCGAGGAGGGCCTGCACCATCCAGCGCCCGCCTCTACCAGAGCAATGATTCCTTATGGCGACGCAGACAGACTCTAGACAGCCGCTAGAGAGCCCTAGCATCTCGCATCAACATAATTCTTCGCGAGCGGAATGGCAGCGAAGCCGCAAAGCCTCCAAGGCTCACGATTGCTGGTCCTTGGCGGCCAATGCACCCGCTGATTTGGCAATTCGGAAGGGCCAAGGCACTCATGACGCCTTCCAACCCGGCGAGACCTGACCACGATCCGCACGCCCTGGCTCCGTGCTTCCTTCTTCCACCTCAGCCGACGACCTCACACGTCTCCCTCCCTCTCCCTTCCCTCTGCCGCCGAGCCAGCCAACGCCCACGCTGTGATACATACTCTCCTTTATTGCTCTTAGCGCCCCTCCGCCATCATGCCCATTCGCAACCCTTTTCGCCGCGCTGGTGGCGCCGATGTGCTTGACGAGTCCCAGCGGAGCAGCGCGGAACGAGCTTTTCAGAGCACTCCCGTCGCTGGCTCGAAGCCCATCGACGTCAAGGAGCCCACTGAGTACAAATTGAGCGGTAAGAGATGCCCCATCGCTTCGCGCGCATCCGCATGGCTTTGACTAAAACGGTGCTTACACTGTGAGAAGAAATCAATGATAGCGGCGTATATCTACCGGTACGAGCCGAGATCCTCTCTCCATAGCCCTTCGTAAATCTGTTTGCGGAGAATTAAATAAAGTGTGGGAGTTTCAGTGGAGCAAACGTAATTGACCTTGCGCCAGCCCTCGCCTCCATTGAAGCCAGGTTTTTGGCACTCGCGATCCAATGCCTCGACCACGTCATCGAACCACCGCAGCCTGCTGAGTGAGAATGAGCCGTTCAGCATCTCGCGAGAAAGCTTTGATTCCTACAGGAGGTCCTTCGTAGGTTTACGCTAATCCCACACACCGCCTCCCGTGATGCTCATGGATGAACAGGACATCTCCGCCCGCTCTCCCATCCCCGATTGTCTCGATACTCGTCCCCGCCAATCGCTTGATGCCCGCCGCTCAATGGACGCCAGGCACTCCCTAGATGCGCGTCGCTCTCGTGCCCCACCTCGGTCTTCGTTCCAGGAGCGCCGTGCAGAGAAGACGGATGAGGTAACAGCCGAAGAAGGCTTTGAAGACGTAGGCTTGAACGATGAACCCAAGCCAACGAAGAAGCGTGGGCTGTTCGCGCGCTTCGGCGACAATAGCAACATTGACGTTGCCCACGAAGAGCGCCCGTCCTCGAGCCACCATCACTTTGGCTTCACTGGACGCAGGAGGGCCCAGAGCGGGCAAGGTTCAGAGCTAAAGCCCATGGTGACGCCTGCTCCCTCGAAGACCGAGCTACCTGTTGAGGCTAGGTGAAGACAGGTTGTAATGATAGCATTAAGGGGGGCATTGGAGTACAGGTCAGGTTGGTCTGGAGATGGGGCGGTTCTCGAAACCCTTAGCTTTTGGACCGGCGCTCGAAATATGATGGCGTTTTTCGGAATATGATATCTTGGTTGCTCGCAGCATTACCCTGCATTCAGGATTGGGCTTTTTTGCAAGAGGGTTGGGCTGCATCGACAATCGCTTCATCATCTGGAGTTGCATCAGGGGGTTTGGAGCTCTTATCACGGATATATACAAGGTAGCACTCAGCATACCTACCTAATAATCAATTGTAATTTCTGCACTCTATGCCCTTTGAATTCTTGGCTTCATTTATCACATCTGCGGGCTCATATCACTTCCAGCATCAGCAGAGCTTTGCTAAGCTCCAAAAATAACTTTCCTGGACAGCATTTCTCCTGCCCGCTTACTCAAGGTCCCAATGGAAGCACTTCGTCAATCTCAGAAAGTTATATATCAAATATAGCTTCATTTCTACTTTCATCAATGCTCATGTTTTACATGTATCCGTGTCCTGTGGTGGATTCGCGAAGTTCCCTAACGCGAGCCCTCGGACTTGTGCCCACTAATGGTGCTACATTCTGGTGGTTCCGATTATGTAAATTGGCGTATGCCACTGTTTAATGCAAGATTATCGCAGGCCCCGCACTAGTAAGTTTGGATGCAGTGACCGCAGAGGAGAGGTTTGGCGAGAGCTTAGAAGCAGAATTGTGGTAGGGGTTGGTGGGAGGGGCCTTGGAAAGACGTTGAGAGATCTTTGTCGCATGACATGACCTGTGGGGTCACCGTCCGAGATTAAAAAGTTCCAGCAAGATAAAAGATTCGTTTACTGTTGTGAAGGGCCCATGGACCGACTCTGCAGATTTGTGCTAACCTGGACACCCACTGTGGGACCAACAACCCCAAGGTCTCGCATTACAGATGATTAATACTCCCCGAAACACGCTCCAAGAATATCTGGGAAGATTATTCTCGCGGAAATAAACCCTCATCCCAGGCTGGTGGTCGGTCAAACATTTGGCTCGCTTGCCTGGGTCAATCAGATCCTATCCCCTCGTCCGGGCCTCCCCTGTGTAACATCCATTAAACAGGTACTATACCAAGTCCCTGGATATAGCGACACACCAATTCTGACTACTCGCATATGGTATAGCGACGGACACTGCGATGCCAGGGAGACTGGAGATTGGGAAAGATCGAGGGGGTAGACGCGTAAGACTGCGACAGGCACCAATAATTCACACAAGACGCTTAATTCTAGGATAGGGACGATAAAAGAGCGATCTGGAGTAGTCGAAATGCATATCTAGTCTTACAGGGAAGCAAATGATGAACAGAGACATGGCGAGGGGTTTTATCAACGTGATCAGTCACCAAAACAATGGTGAACTGAGACCCTGATGGTATGTGGCTCAAGGAAAGGAACTGCTGTATCTTACCATCTAGAGTTAAGACAGAAATTTAGCATTTTATTGCCGGTATCCCCAGTTCTAGCAAGATATTTGGCAAATTAACTCTGCTCTAGTTGTTTTCCGTGTCATGTAATAACGAGACAACTACGGAACGCAAGACCTCACCAAAGAGTGGACACTCGAGCCTAAATGCACAAGTGAGGAATCCTTTAGGCAACAGTGTTAAAGGAATAGGATATACTTGAATTGAGATTGGGCCGAGCTACAAGTCTACCGCAACGCCATAGGTATCTCAGTTCTTTATGCACTTCTTATGTGGGCTAAATTACACGAAAATAGCTTGCAAGAGGTGAGAGAATTGTTGCTTTTGCGACGGACATGCCACCCAGGCGATGAATCCAATCCCAAGTGGAAACTTGTCACAATCAGTGTACTACTTGTTTAAGTAGAACCACAACATTCGGCGAAAGCAAAGTTCAGAGAATGTATAAAGCTATTTTTTACTCATCTCTCTAAGCTGATATCTGTTACAATGATATCTCAATGCGCCATATTTCACTTGTCTTTAGGGACAGGTTTCGGGAGTCAAGAGAGCGCAAGAGAGCGCAAAAGATAGAACAAGGCCGGGACCATCTATACAGCTGGTGACATTCAATTCCTCACGTAGTTGCACGATTTTTACTATTTGTCTAGTAGCAAAGTAAATAAGAAATGTACCGACTCGGGTGAATAGAGAACGTCGTATTACGTCCGTTTGGCCTCGAACCTAATGGCGTTTTGGTAGAGAAGAAATTTGAGGATGTCAAGGTTGTTCAGAGGGATAGGTAGCACGCGAAGAGAGATGCCCACAGCCGACAGATAACCAAGGGCTTGAAGAGAAGCTCACAGCAAGCCTTTGGGATTAGAGCTTATTACTTCAATAGTGTGCAACTGCCAATCGGTGGTGCAGTAGCTGTGAAGAAGGTGCGGTGGAGGCATGTCTGACAGAGCCAAGAGCCTCCAATAGGGGACGGACGCGGATAAACGAGCTATCGTGAAAGCGCCTTGAAGCAGGAAGGGAAGTGAGGACACACCTTAGGTGCGTAAGCAACAGTAGATGATAGGCACTAAAGAGTAGAACACTGCGCGGCAATTTATAAGCCTTAGATCGAGTCTCATTCGATAACGACAGTCGTATGTACAAATCCATCCACACCAAACCAGAACATGCTGCCGTCATCCATGAAAGGTCAATTTTGACAAAACACCGGATGACCAAAGCCAGCTTGTTCGCATCCCTTTGCCGGAACCACTGTGATGCGTCCAATGGAAGAGGTCTATCTCGATATTTACAAGTGGGAGATGACCATCTTGAAGAATGAAATCCTGCTTCCACCACCATACCCCACTCCTCCAAATCGACAATCCAATCGAGAAAGTAACTTAGAAGTCACCATCCTCTGGATCCTCGCTGTCGGGGGTCTCAGTCGGCTTCGGGGGAATAGAGAAGGAGAAAGTCGGCTTGGGCTTCTTGGAGTGGCTGACGCTCACGGTTGGCTTGGGCTTAGGGGTGAAGCTCGGGATCCCGGTTGGGATGGAGAAGCTGTGGGTCGGCTTGGGCTTAGGGGTGAAGCTTGGGAGCTCAGTTGGAATGGAAAAGCTGTGGGTCGGCTTGGGCCTGGGAGTGAAGCTGGGGAGGTCGGAGGGGATTGGCAGGCTGAAGCTTGGCTTGACGCCAGTAGGCTTAGGCCTGGGGGTAAAGCTAGGGAGCTCGCCCTGGGGAAGAGCGCTAACGATGCTGGGCAGTGTCAGAGGAAACTCAATGGGAGGGTACCAGCAAAGTATCGGTCTTACGTGGAAGCGCCTAGGGCGAGGAGGATGGCAGTGAACTTCATGTTGACGATTGATGGTTATATCGAGTGGACTTGTTGTAGAAGATGAGAACTGAACTGGGTGCTTGATGACAGGATTATGGGCAACTCTCGAGGGCTTTATATGCTTGTCCAAGAAGCTCCAAGCTCACAAAGTGTACAGAATCAAGAACACCCCAAGAACAGTATATTAACGACGGCAGGCCCAACCGGTGATCCGTCGCCACAAAAGATACCCCGAGAACGCAGGAAACATGTGAGAAGACATCAAGGGAGGCCGTTCTCGAGATTAAGTGACTGAAGCAGTCCGCTGGACCAGGTTGGGAGAAATGAATTCCATAGTGACCAGGCAACGGAAATGGACAAGTCAACTTAGCGAGGGAGAAACCAATATCAGCATATGACGGCGAGGATGAACAAAAACCAGGCCTGCATTTAGCTGCGTAAGTTGGCAACGGTGCAAATTCCAGGCTGGGCCAGGTGGAGTCCAGAGTCCAGGATTGGCACCCTGAAGATGCTTAGAGGCTCTAGGAAGATACGGAAGAACTCCAGGAATATACGTTGACGGAGTAGATTCTAGAACTTTGCTATTCAGGAGGCGTACGTTCAATGGCTGGTTGAATCAAAGCCGTGATCTTTCCTGCGTCGCAGACCTGGCCGGTGCAGGAGCCGGGACATGTGGAGAAATTCCTGTTACTCCGACCCTTTGAATCCGGGAGTATCAACTGAACGACATTTCGGCCCGGCTAGAGAGCCTGGCTTCGGGAGACACAACAGCGCGCACAGTCTCTCATACGGAGAACAGGGATTAAATAATAGAGCTCGTCCTTTGAGACAATAGATAGCACAACAACATTGGTTGCAGGCGAATGACCACCCTTTCTCGTCGGTGGCAGAGGAAATGATAGTTGCTTCGTATGAATGATTTACGGGCTGAATAGAGCAACAAGCGTCAAAGCATCGATAGGAGAGCAGAGGAAAAGCACAGCGGATAATGTCGCGACGTTCGACGAAGGCCTAACCGGGTCCAAAGACAAATTGGACCTGCAATGGAGTTGTTGAAAGTGTTCGCAAGTCAACAGAGAAGTGGTGTCATCTGTTGTCCCTGGAAAGCTATAGAGCTAAGCATCTGTTCAAGCTTCTTTAGCCGAATAGACTAGTGCGGCAAATTAGGTTCATTCGCAGAATTAACCAGATTTAAATGAAGGTGGGGGGAGAAATGGAGATTTTCCGGGGAAGTTGGGGGTTGGGCATTGAAACTTCAATAAATGAAGGCACTATACCCACGCGTCCTCCATGGATATCCCGGGGATGCTTCCTTACTCGGAAACTTTCACCAGGATATGGAACAGCTTTTCGTTGATCTAGCGACATTTGCAGGGAACGGGACAAGCCGGTGAGCAGCGCAGTAGTCTGTTGAGGAGCTGGTCTGCGAATATACGACTGTGTGACTGAGCAAGTGCCCACCAGAACTCCCCGTTCTTCACCCGGAGCCGTGAGCATCGGACTTCGCGCGGGTCTCACGCTGCTCCAGGAGCCCGAGTGCAGGGGAGGACAGCGGAAATTTCGCATATGCAGGGGGCAATATGCTGAGATGTTGCTGGAGCATTTTCGAGTTGACAGCAAGATAGGAGAAAGGATTTCGTTAGTGAATAGAGAACGAAGGGAAATTTTGTGGAGGACTTAGACCAAGGAAAGTAAAGGAAGGGCAAAACACAAAGATGAAGGCGAATTGGAACAGGGTTATGGAGGCCTGGAGTTTGCGATGTGGTTGGAGTAAGAGTAAGGCTCGCACATGGGTGGTTCATGGCATGAACGCCACTCGTCGCTAGCGCCTAAAGCAGAGGCGGTGTTATCGATAGCTGACTCGGCCATCTCGGATCAACGATGTTCCGTCGGTGTAAATTTTTGAGGAGCCCTGATTTCTTGCCCAGTTTGCACTGCGACACAACGTCGACATGGCTGGAATTAAGCGCAAATCTCCCGCTGCTAATGCTCACAGTGGGAACAAAGACACCAGCAAGAAGGCCAAATTCGAGAAGTCGGCACTCAAAAATACACCGAAACCGGAGCTGGCTGTCCACGATGGAAAGTTCGTTAAGAAGGCCAAGGTGAAGGGCGAATCAGGGGATTCAATCGAGGCCAGTACTAGCAAAGACGGGGATGCCTTCTCTGTCCAGGAAGGGGCGGACCTAACTCAGCCGGGCAAGGCATCGACGTTGGCGTCACTGGATGGTTGGTGATCTCGTACTGCCTATCTCTCCACCAGCTACGTTTAACCAGTGATTTAGCTACCTCGTCCCGTGAAGCTCACGCGAAACAGAAGGCGCTGGCCAAGGAACGCAAGGCTGCCAAGCCGAATGCCGACATAATAGACCGGTCCAAGAAGCTGTGGGAGAAGCTTCGATTGAAGTCTCACGTGGAGAAAGAGGAGAGGAAGAAACTCGTTGGTGAGTTGTTTGAGATAGTCACAGGGAGAGTCAAAGACTTTGTCTTCAAGCATGACTCAGTGAGGGTTATTCAGTGTGCTATCAAATACTCAAACATGGAGCAACGGAGAATGATCGCGAGGGAGTTGAAAGGGGAGTTTAAGACACTAGCCGAGGGCAAATATTCCAAGTTCTTGATTGCGAAGCTTCTTGAAAAGGGGTAAGCAGTTTTTCTCGAGAACTCGTTCGAATGCTGACATTTCGAAGGGATCCGGAGATTCGAGACATCATCATTTCAGAATTCTACGGCCACGTGCGACGTCTTATCAACCACCCAGAGGCTGCATGGATGCTCGACGACACATACCGGGCTGTTGCCACTCCGGAGCAAAAATCACGTCTTCTATGCGAATGGTACGGTCCTGAATTCTCCATTCGGGGCTTGAAACCTGAAGGAACCAAAACTACCGAACTCTCGGCCATACTAACGGAGTCGCCTGAGAAACGCAAACCTATAATGGACCACCTTGAGACCCAGATCAATCAAATCATACAGAAGAAGCTTACCGGGTTTACGATGTTGCATGATGCGATGCTTCAGTACTTTCTTGCCTGCAAAGCTGGGAGTACGGAATCAAGTGACTTCTTGGGACACCTCAAGCCGGATGCAACTCTTCGGGAAGGAGAAGAGGCCGACAATGCAGATTTGCTGAAGAACCTCGCATTTACCAAGTCGGGATCTCGACTTGTATCGCTAGCTTTCGCCTACGGGACTGCCAAAGACCGCAAATTATTATTGAGGCCATACAAGGACACTATCGAAATGATGGCAACTGATGTTAATGCACATCATGTTCTCCTTGCTGCGCTGGCCGTTATTGATGACACCAAGTTGACATCCAAGTCGATATTTGGAGAACTTTTACCTTCAAACGACAGCCTCCCGGACAAAGTTTTAAATCTGGCGGGTGATGTCCGCGCGCGAACTATTCTATTATATCCTTTCGCTGCTGGGTCCAAATGGCTGCTGGAGGCTCATACGCTGGAACGATTGTCTGAGCTGTACGCCATCCGTTCAGCAACTTCAAAGAAGGACCCAGACACACGTTTGCATGAACTTGCGAGGGCAGTCGAACCGCATCTGTTGACCGCTATCGCAGCTCGGGCCTCGGATTTCGCCTCCTTCAGTTTTGGTCTGCAGTTTATGGGAGAGGTGTTGGTCGGGGCACCTGAAGTCGAGTTGGACAAGCGTAAGGAAGCTTTGACCGAGGTAGCAGGTCTTGCTCAGCAGATTCTAGATTTTACGCCAGTAGCTCCTGGTCCAGAGACGCATGATGCTACAGGAAAGTGCGATTTGACGACCCATGGCAAGAACATGCTCAAGACCCTTGTTCAAGGGGGAAAATTTGACCCAAAAACTAAAAAGGTTGTACCTGTCGAGCCACCACTCGGCTTTGCGGATATGTTCTGGGACCAGGTCAAAGATAATTTGATACAATGGGCTACCGGCCCGGGCTCCTTTGTCGTCGTAGGCTTAGTTGAGGCAGGGGGTTTTCTGAGAAAGACTGAGGTTCTCAACACACTTAATGCGGGTCGGAATAAGCTTGAGGCTGCAGCTGGACCTCCAATCAACGATATGGAGAAAAAACGCGGAAAGAACAGTGCGAAGCCTCCTGGTAAAGGGAAAGGGAATGCGGGAACCAGGATTCTCCTCGAGAAGCTGTATTCTAGATGACTAGCAATGGTGAATGGTTACATAAAATAAAGAAGGGCAGCATTTGAAGGTAGCATGTTAATGGCATGCTCGTGGATACATTTGTTGTCTCTGTCCACTTTGAGTCACTCTGCTCTGGTCCGCTGCTGTTGGGCGGAATAAGATATGTTGCTATTTTGAACCAGTGTAATTGAACTGAATGCATGAAAGCTTGGCCCATTAATCATCCGTCTAAACTTCTTTGTTCCAGCCTCCCCACACTCGCATTGCGGTTACGCGTCAGTCTTAATGCCAAGAATTGGTGCTCATCAGGGGTCTCATTCCATTCTCCTCCTCACACTGCGGCCCGTCTGGTCCGTTCCCAACCCCGTCACAGCTTCAGTCACCAACTCTCTCAGTTGTCTCTGACCTTCCTCGCCCTGAAAATCTTCACGCGATGCAAGTTCCTCGATCCGTCGCCTGAATTCTGGGTCTGGAGTCTCTCCAGCAACAGCTTCTTCCATCATCCCAACGTTGATCTTCACGCCATTAGGAGGCGGCGGCGGCAATGGATGGGCTTGGTTGGCTGGCAGCTCGCCGCTGTTCACTCGACCACCACCATCCCGTAGTCCGTTTAGATACCGGCAAACCTCATGCGCCTCGTCCTCCTCGACCATCTTCTCCTCAGCTGTCCTTCCCTCGGAGTTCCTCATCTCCCAGTCCGCCCCCAGCTCTTCGACCAGACATCTTGCCACTTCTGCATTCTCCGCAGCGAACAGGGGGCTCTCGCCGTCCTCGTCGAGCAAGTTCACGTTGACATGGTACTTCTGAACAAGCTCGCGGAGGACTTCAAGCTGATTATATGACGCAGCAGCATGCACTAGCGAGTAGCCATGTGAGTCAGATGCAGAAGCGAGATGTGGATATTGGGCCAGAGATGTGAGGATAGCCTTTGGCCGTGTGTCGATGAGGTTGAGTAGCAAATCGATCGACGGTGGTGGAGGAGCCATTACTGTGTTCTCGATCCTTCAGAGAGCTTTGAGGCTCAGCAGAGGCGGTCCAAAAAACTTGGCACAAGTGACAGCAAGAGGCGGGACGCAGGATGGAGCAAACTCTGCGTAGGTATCTGAACTGAGTTGACTGACTATTCCCGCAATCGCAGCAATGGCACGGAGAAGCTAGTGGACCGCCGTCTGAGGCTTTATGGTTGGCTCTAGCAATGAAGACGTAGAGATGCGAGCATTTCTTGCAGTCGTGTGCACCTATTGGAAGTGGAAGACTTTTGGTGTTTCATCTTTGTCATGATTCGGCATGCCGAATAGTCGCCGGTACGGGGCGCTTGCCGGAGCTGCCGCCACCGGACACGTGGGTGCCGATGAAACATGTGCGCGCTTCGTATCCTTCGTCATCACCGTCCGCATTGTGGCAACGTCGGATCTTATCTCGAACGCACTCACACCTCCCTCTCCCAATGGAGGATTATCGACCACAGGGGATGAATATTTTCCCGCATCTGGATCCAATCACGACCATTCTAATTGTCATCGCTTCCCACAGCGTTACAATGAAGGCGCCACTCGCTACGCCAAGCCAACAAGATCTGCGCAGCAGGCGAAGCACTGCCTGCAACAAGCGTCAGAGCGCAGATTTGGTGTCGCGTGCCTCTAGCGTCTTCTAGATTCGCCTCCCTTTCTTTTCTCTGCTTTCCGTAGACTTCCGGCCAGTCGTCCTCTTTCATCACATTTTCCCTTCGTTTGAATGGTCTGCCGCGTAATGTCGCCCGCCGCAGCTTCGCGCTGAGCATATAACTTTCAATACGGATCCGTACTGCTTCTAAGACTCCTCCCAAGACTCGTCTATGCGTGGCACTTAATGCTCTTGTGACGTCTTACCCTAACGGTTTGCGCGTTACATTCTCTTGTCACTCTCCTTTCATCTGTTCATCCTCTCTTTTCAGTTGAGCCTTTATTCTCGGTCACCGGAAATGAAAACAATGAATTTTGTCTTGCCGTCGAAGCGGCTGCTTCTGTCATATGTCTTCGATTGGATTATAATCATGTGAGTTGTTACCTGAAGAAGCATCCAGCGGAGGGTCATGCTCTCTTGAAGCCTAATCCCCACCCCCCAGTCTTTCACGCCTACACTAGGTCAGAGCTCATATGAGGGCAATGGTGACTAACATTCTACCAGAGCCATAGCAGCCGTTGGCGCAGGATGGAACTCAATTACGCCGGTAAAGATCTGTGCAAGGCGCATCCAAAGTTCTCGAGCTGATGGTGAAGCAGTTTCATCGTCCTTTTTCAGTAGTTGACCTCTCAATATCTTTTCCATTTGAAAAGCATGAAACTATTCCGACATGGCTTCTCATGGTCGTCTCTCTGGTAGTACCTGCAGCCATCATATTCATTGTGTGCTTGGTATTCGTTCCAGGCCCCACGGTCAGTACTACGACGCCAAAGGGACTCATTTGGAGAAGAAAGATTTGGGAATGGAATACAGGTTGGATGGGCCTTGCCCTTTCACTTGCGACAGCGTTCATGCTCACGCAAGGCATGAAATTGCTCTTCGGAAAACCGCGACCAGACTTACTTTCCCGCTGTCAACCTGACTTAGACCAGATACGTCGCGTCGAAGTCAGCACTGCCGGTCGAATCTATGATGCGTCTTGGGTTCTTGTCACTGGTGCTATATGCACGAACCAGGAAAGCGATATTTTGCAAGATGGCTTTAAATCGTTTCCAAGTGGGCATTCAAGCTGAAAGTCCAACTTCCTTGTAATATCAAAACTTGAGATGCTAACTGTGATACTCAGTCTCCTGGGCAGGACTTCTCTACCTGACACTTTTCCTTGCATCCAAGTTTGCAGTCGCAATTCCATTCCTACCTCCACGCCCCTTCAGCACGAACGGGGCATTCACCTCCGCTGCTTCACCATCCAATCTGAGGCCAAAATCGATACTGCCTACTCATGTCAAGCCTCCTATTGATTCGACGCTTTCCGGCCACACGCCCCCCGAGAATATCGTGCTGATCAGAAATCACGCAGCTGCACCACCAGTCTACACTTTGGTTGTCATTCTCGTACCTATTGGCTCGGCCATCTACATCTCTAGTACTCGCTTCACTGACTACCGCCACCATGGCTTCGACATTATATTCGGTAGCCTGATTGGAATTGTTTGTGCTTGGTTTAGCTTTAGGTGGTATCACCCCCCGATTCGACGTGGTGCGGGGTGGAGCTGGGGTCCAAGAAGTTACCAGCGTGCATGGGGAATTGGTGTCGGGGTAGGGGGATATGTTGGCACCGAGGGTTGGACCCATCGGACAGAGCCACAGGAAGAGGTCCATGATGGACCTGCGTTTAATGGAAATAAAGGAGTGGCCGATAGTGGGGAACAGGCGGAGCTACCGAGGACAACAGGAGACCGTGAGGTGTAATGTCTATTTACGCTCATGGCCGGATCATTTGGCACAGTTTGTGTGAAAACTTTGCCACTATTAGAGTCAAATGTAATAATTCTAGTATTAGAATGATCTCTTTTTCGCGTGTTTTTATTTGACAAGGAGGTAGTGACAGACACTTCTGGATGAATCCTAGATAGAAACTACGTCTTTGCTAGATTCGGCGCAGCTAGAGCACAGGTTGAGATAATCTTGTGCCCGGCTGAGCACCCCGTCGCGATTAGTGGTGTGGGAGGCGTCAAATCACGTGATTTGAACTTGAGGAGCCGCACGCTAGTCCCTTTATTGGTTGTGCCACATGCCTGACTAAGCTATACCGCACTTAGTAGTGAGCACCTCGTTCCGCTCTACAACTCCAACTGTCGTGGGTAACATGGCGGAATACTGGAAATCTACTGTAAGCGTAGCCTAATCTCTCGATTCCAACCACTCACTTACACATTCGCAGCCAAAGTACTGGTGCAAATTCTGCTCCGCCTACGTCAAGGATACCAAATTTGAGCGCTCAAATCATGAAGCCACAGGCCGCCACCAAAGCGCAATCCAGCGGTCTCTACGCGGACTACACCGGGACCAGCAAAACCAAGAACGGCAGAAACAACGAGCGAAAGACGAAGTCGCGAGGTTGAATGGGCTTGTGTCTAAATCAGATTCAGCGCCGGTTGGGCCTACAGCGTGCGAAGCTCGGGCTGGCTCGAAGCCTATGTATTCAAGAGAGCCGGAGAGGAAGGCCACACTTGAAGATAGGAAGAGACAGTGGAACCAGCTGACAGCCATGGGTATTACGGTGCCGGAGGAGGTGAGGGGCGATATGGGGATTGGAACTTGGCATGTGGTGAGCCAGAGGATAATCAATGAAGAAGACGACAAAAAACTGCTAAGTGTTGGTGTGCATAAGCGTAAGATTGACGAAGAAGATGAAGAGGTGATGGCTGCGGAAGAGACGATAATGAAGAAGGGGTGGGGCAGTACATACAAGTCCTATCCGGGAAAGATGGGCGGTGGCGACGCCGACATAGATAGACTTTTTAAGAAGGTTAAAAAGCCCGCTATTAAGAAGGAGGCGGACGTTGCACTAGAGCCTGAGATTAAGACGGAGGAATCGGGGGTGAAAGGAGAGGCTGAGGAGAGCGTCCTTCAAAATATTCCAACCGAAGAAGAACCGACTGCAAATCCGAAAGAACCGACCTGCTCCGAAAGGCGGAACCTTGAACAGACCAGGGATGTCGCAGCAAGGACTGAAGAAGAAACTTCGACAGAGGGCTTCAAGAGGATAGTCAATCCCGGAGGTGCCCTCACCACTAACCTTGAGTCTAGCACACTAGCCAAGGCCGGGGATGGCGGTCCTACTCCAGCAGTTGTATTCAAAAAACGGAAGAAAATCGGGCGTTAAAAGTGAGCTTGGTATCGACTGCCACGCAAGAACGATTTTGGCATACGATGTGGAAGGTCACTTGGTAATAGAGTGCTCGTTCAGACTCTGCGGGAGCTGGAGATCCAAGATTTCCGTCCCAGGGTCTTGCTCCTTCTGGTTACTGAACTGGAGGCAGATGTGAGGTAGTCTTCAGCCAGACGAGCTAGCGGCCTTTCACTGCGATTTTTGGCTACTGGCCTCTTACGTTGCGGTGGTTGGTAAGGCCCATGGTACGCTACAGACCCTTAAAACTGAGCTCAGCATTGGATCTAAATAATACTTGAGTCTAAATATTCCCAGTGCCTTGAGTTGACACCGTGAAGGCATCTGCGAGATCGACGCCGCTAAACCCTAATTGAAACCTGGTCCACCCCAGCGCCAAGAACGACAACCTCAAACTCGCGTCAACCGACGCGGCTAACGGCCGACGTGCATCCACCCACACCACAGTCTTCCACCTCATCGGCCTCTCTGTGCTCTCCATGTTCCCCTCTGAGCATGCTTGCCGTATTTAGACAACATCCACGACCATGCATCTCATCAAGCCACTGTGGTTGACGCACCCAGGTATCTTCACCTCTGACCGCATTAACAGCCTCACTAGGCCGATTAGAGGGAACTGCACATGGCTGACCTATCCTTCGTGTACACAGGCGAACTCAAGGACTTCGAAGTATACAGCTGCCACGTTTCCCCTGATGGATCGCGCCTCGTAACAGCTGCCGGAGGTTCGTTATCCTCGTCCTTGGAACTGCTGCCCTGCGGAGTTTGCACGCGATGCGCCGCGTCGAGGAACAACCACAACTGACAGCGCGATGCAGATGGTCACGTGCGAATATGGTCCACTGAGGCCATTCTCAATTCTGCGAACCCTGAGTATACGAAGCCTAAGCAGCTTGCGGCCATCAGCCACCACTCAGGCACCATCCACGCTGTTCGCTTTTCGTCTAACGGGAAATACCTTGCATCAGGCGCAGACGACAAGATTGTCTGCGTCTACGCCCTAGACCCGCACGCGCCTACACACGTTTCTACATTCGGTGGGTGTGCATGTTCACACTGCACGGGGAAGCCGCTGACGAAGTCGCAGGGTCGAATGAGCCGCCGCCGGTCGAGAATTGGCGAGTCCTCCGCCGCCTTATCGGGCACGACAATGATGTCCAAGACCTCGGGTGGTCTCACGACTCTTCAATACTGGTCTCCGTGGGGCTGGACTCGAAGGTTGTGGTCTGGTCGGGACACACTTTCGAAAAACTAAAGACATTGTCGAACCATCAGAGCCATGTCAAAGGCATTACCTTTGATCCTGCGAACAAATACTTTGCAACTGCAAGCGATGACAGGACTATCAAAATCTACCGCTTCACTTCTCCGCCTCCAAACGCAACTCCCCAGGATCAGGTCAACAACTTCATGCTGGAACACGTGATTACAGAGCCCTTCGCACTGTCACCCCTAACCACGTACTTTCGTCGATGCTCGTGGTCGCCCGATGGCGCACACATCGCGGCGGCGAACGCTACGAATGGACCTGTCAGCTCTGTCGCAATTATAGCTCGTGGAACGTGGGATGGAGACATTAACTTGATCGGTCACGAAGGTCCCGTTGAAGTGTGTGCCTTTTCTCCTAGGATGTTTCATAGAGATCCACCAAGACCGGACAACATTGATGCAAATGGGAATTCTTCACAGCACTCGGTGACCGTCGTTGCGTGTGCTGGCCAGGACAAGACCCTTAGCATCTGGAATACGAGTTACGCCCGACCGTTCATAATTACGCAGGAGCTGGCTATGAAATCCATATCCGACCTTGCTTGGGCGCCTAACGGAGAGACGTTGTATATCACAAGCTTGGATGGAAGCATCATGGCTATGGTATTTGAACCTGGAGAGCTTGGCTATCCGGCATCGTTACATGAGAATGAGAAGTCCTTGTCAAAGTTTGGCGCAGGCAGAAGAGTTGGCATTGTTGAGGGGACAGATGCATTACTACTTGAAGAAAGCAGCAAGGCTGGAGAACACAAAGCTGTTCAGGGCAGAATGGGCGCCCTGATGGGGGATGGCGGTGCTCATCACTCTGCGCCAGTCACTAATGGTACGAATAGTACATTACCTGCTCTTACGAACGGCTCTGCGATCACTCAAACACCAGCCGCTCCGACAGAACCCCCACCGGACCAAAGAGTGGAAAAACTAAAGCAGCGTGTCACCGTTACTAAAGACGGTAAGAAGCGCATAGCGCCTATGCTTGTGTCATCGTCTTCCGGGATGGGGGAATCGTCCCTGCCTCAAACGCAACTTATATCTACGACCGCTACAGCGAGCGCACGGAGTGATAATCCCCACAATATTCTAGACCTCTCGAAACCATACGATGGATTCCCGAAAGGTGGTTTAGCTTCTATGGTAATTGGAAATAAGAGGAAATTTGCTGAGATAGAGGGGGACGAAGCTCGACAAGTTGAGAGACGACTGCTAAACTCTGCCCGGAGCGGGGGGGCTGCTATCGTATTTAACAGTGAAAATGGTGTTATCCCACCAGCTGCGGCCGCCTCAAGACCCACAGACACGGAGTCGCCGAGAGTCCTCCGGCCAGCAATTGTCAATCCTTCGTTGAGTATTAGTCAGGTGCGTTTGGCAGTGCCAAAGTTGAGGAGCGTCATTGTTCGGACAATGGACGGCAATGAGCCTCCTTCGGCCAATGGCGTGGATCCCAGTACGGGCGGGAAAACCCAAAACGAGGACACCGTCATGTTAGAAGCCAAGAATGCTACGGGCCCTTCCCGGACCGGACGTCCACAAGACCATGACCCAGCAAGAATTAATTGCACCAAAAAGGGACAGTCACTCTGGCAAGATTTCCTACCAAAAGCAGTACTACTCGTTACAGGGAACGTTAATTTCTTTGCTGCAGCATGCGAAGATGGATCCATATACGCATGGACACCTGCGGGCCGACGAACACTCAATGCCTTGATCATGGAAGCGCAGCCTGTTATTATGGACTGTCGAGGCTGGTGGCTCATGTGCATAACAGCAGTGGGAATGTGCTATGTATGGAACTTGCAGTCAATGTCCTCGCCTCACCCACCGATATCCCTTGCGCCCATACTGGACATCGCCGCACACACCCAAGGACCACATCTTACCCGATCTCCCGGCATCATCTTCGCCCGGCTGAATTCAGAAGGTCGCATCATTGTGGCTATGTCTAATGGCGATGGCTACACTTACTCGCCAGACATGTATATTTGGCAGCGCATATCTGAACCTTGGTGGGCTGTGGGAAGCCAATACTGGAATACAACGGATTCATCGGTCAGTAATGTCAAGTCATCAGCCGATAAAGCGCTAGCAAAGGAGAAAGATGACCAAGTGTCTATTGAGAATGTATCCGCTGGTATCATTCCTATGCTCGAGCGCAACACAACGAATCAATTCCTGCTCCAAGGTCGCGCCTTCTATCTCCAACGTCTTATCAAAGCCCTTATTTCAGCTGAGGGTTACGAAACCTTCGAGGCTTGCGTTTCAGTTGCCCACCTCGAGAACAGGGTTGCAGCTGCGAGAACTCTTGGCGCACGGGAAGAGTTCAAAATTTATCTTTCTATGTACGTTAAGAGGATTGGTGCTGAGGGCATGAAGGGCAAGATTGAGGAGCTGTTGAGGAGTTTGACGGGGGATCTGCTTGCTGAAGGTGCGGATGCGGAGAAGGCCGAGGATGAACTGATCTGCGGGTGGAGAAAAGAAGAACTGCTCAGGGAGGTTGTGCTGATACTTGGTAAGTCTACCGTCGCTCTCATGAAGTCGGGAATCTAATGTTCGGTTCAGGCAAACACCGCGATCTCCAGCGCATAACGGTGCCATACGCACGGCTGCTCGGCGTCGTGCATGAGCGGCAGGATGACCACGCTATGATTACGGACGCGTAGAATACCGGTTGGATCTACGCGGAGGCGTTTTGGTTTGGGTCCGGGCAGAAAAGCATTCACGGAAGTGACATGGGTATTCATAGTGTGCGATGCTCCCATAGAGCAATGCTTTTGTTCGAATAGATAAGGTCGGAATTGTAATAGTAACCATGACATATACGTTGTCAGAACAAAAAGGTGGACGTGGTGTGGACAAGAAGACCAAAAGCTTTCCCAAAAACATAGCAGTCGCAGATTGCCCATTCTCTGATTTTCCTACCCCGATTTGTCTTGATATAATATTACCTGCTGCTAATTTACTTCTGCTAGCTTCTGGACCGCAGTTGATAGTAAATCAGATATTGAGTACAGGCTGGTTTTGCAATAACGAAGAGTCCAGAGATCGCGTCTTCTTAGTGTGGAGAACTAAAAAGTGTTTTCGGCTACGTGACCAATTGGCCGCCACGAGCCACATGACACCTCGGCCCATACGCAGCCTCTTCTGCACCGCCACGCCTAGCCCAGTTTTCGTTCACCGCTCCCGAGGTCGTCGGGGTACTCACACACTTGACCGTTCACCTGCTGAGCCACACTTGTGCTGCAGCTGCTCAGCTTGCAACTCACCGCACCCTTCCCTGCCCTCCGTTAGATGGGCCCGCCCAAATGCAGCCATCAATTGAGATAGAGAGCCATGACGTATTGGCCCATCTGCTCGCCCTCTGTCTTCGCCGCCACCAAGCAGACGCGCCCCGGCAGTCCTCAGACGTCGGACGACGGCGTCCAGCCCGACCAGGAGCCTCATGGAGGAGAGAGCGATGAAACCTCCGAGGATGATGTGTCGGGAGAGATGATTGGCATCAAAGTGACGCGCAGCGGGCACATGTTTGCTACCATCACGCGTTCGACCCTAACGATATGGCAGACCAAGCCAACGGCCGTCCTTGCCTCGGTCCTGCGCTCCGACCAGTCCTTGAAGACATACGGCCCCAATGTTAATATCCTGCTCCGCCCAGACTCCCAGATCTTCGTCGTACAAACGTCGCTCGGCTTTCTCATCACGTATTCCCTCGCGACCGACCCCACGTCTCGCGTCTACAAGACGCAGTTTGCAAACACTATCGGAGGAGGGCATTCGAGACGGCAGAGTGGGGTCGCAGGCTTCAAGATCCAGCGCCAGCACGACACAAATGCGGGGCCCGGCGAAGGCAGCGGAATCAAGGAGCTCAGTCTCCGTTTCCGCATGGTCATCCGCGTCGACGCTGGCATCGCGCGAGCATTGGCCCTGGACGACGAGCTCATCGTTGCGACGGAAAAGCCCGCAGCAATCCAGTGCATTCGCTGGGCCCCCGACAGCAACGGCAGCCAAACGAGCACCGAGCTGATTAGTCGGATGACTTGGCTGGGGAAAAAGACGACAATCATTGACATGATCCATGATCGCCCCATGAACCTGTCGACCTGGATTACGGGAGACGGCAAAGCTTTCGCGGTTCAACGCCTGCCCCCCAACACCCTTCAGGAAGGGAAACCGCACCATAATCTTTTCAAAGGCCACGGCTACCACATCCCGCGGACTGAGGTCGAGTACGGTGTCAAAGCTGCCATCAACGCGAGGTTTTCATTGCTCGCCGTTGGATGTGCTAATGGCGATATATGCGTGTACACAGCGCGGGACTACACTGGCAACATACCTTTATCACACAAACTACGCCCCAATGTCTCAACTCCAGGGAGACTGTCAGTATTAACCTACTCCCCGGACGGATATTGTCTTTTCGCAGGCTACGAGCACGGGTGGGCCATGTGGAGTGTCTATGGTAAGCCTGGTGCAACCAGCTACGCTACAGACCGCTCCCTGTCAAAAACGAATGAGGAAGGATGGCTCCTTGGCGTACGGGATGGCTTTTGGATTGGTGGTGGAGCTGAGCTCCTCCTTCTCAGCAACCACGATAATCGTCTATTCTTGCTTGAGATGGCTCGCAGTGCCATCACTGGATGCTTCTCTTCCTCCAATGTCTCACGGTCGCTGATGCAGACCAGCTCTGGATTCATGATTTACCGCGGTTATGATTTGCCTGACCTTACCACCATCTCAGCAGATGTGTCTCTGTGGCACCATGTCCAAGTCCCCGCCCATTACCTGGTAGATCAATGGCCGATTCGGAGTGCAGCCATTTCATCTGACGGAAGATATGTCGCCGTTGCGGGTAGACGAGGTCTCGCTCATTACAGTGTCAACAGCGGCAGATGGAAAACATTCGACGACCCATTTATGGAAAGTGAATTCACCCTGCGTGGAGGCATGTGTTGGTTCCAGCATGTTTTGATAGCGGCCATTGAATCACACGACTCTCACGAGGTGAGCATTCTCAATCCCATGGAAGAGAAGCCTTGTAATTATGTATTGACTTCACATTTTCTAGATTCGGATATATTCCCGTGAACTGACTTTAGACAACGACCATGTCATGCATACCCAGCAATTACCCGCTCCTATTGTCCTGATTGCCCTGTCTGGAGAAGACTCACTCCTTGTCTACACGTACGACAACATCCTATATCACTACATTATTAGTGTGTCCGACGCCACCGTAAAATTGGTTCAGGTTGGGCAGATTGCTTTGCACGGCATCATCCGCGCACCCCCTCGTGTCCGAGCGTTGAGTTGGATACTGCCTGAGGATCAGATTCGTACGTGCCTATAGAAACTCGGTCCTTAGGAAGGGCTGACTATTATGACAGACAATGGCGATCCCTCGCAAGATGTTGCGGTTGCTACCATATTGTTTCTAGTCGATGGCAAGCTCGTGTTGCTCCAGCCAACGACAACCGAAGGCGGAGAGCTTAAGTACGAGATGCGCATCATCGCACAGAATGTGGAGACGTATGCGCTCATGCGCGATCATCCTGCATTCGCCCTAGAAACGCACGAAGATTCCTTGCCGCCGAGTCCCTCTGTAGGGCTGGCGATCAACGATTTGAATGGGCACGATCTCCGCGACTCGCTTTGGTTTTTCGATGGTCGTGACGTACGGGTATGGATTGACATGCAAGACGTCTTATCCTCGGCATCAATCGAACTCGGTCGGGAACTGCCCACGCCCGTCAAGATTCCTGTCGACTTCTATCCGCTTTCCGTACTCATCAACAAGGGTATCGTTTTTGGCGTCGAATCAGAACTGGTACAGCGGAGAGACACCAGCTTCGCCTACCTACGATTCGGAACAAGGGTATGTTGGGGGCCGAATCACAGCCAATCGATTAATTAATTCTGTGTGGCTAATTCTCATGCAGACTCACCTCTTCCTTCCTGCATTGCTGCGCTACCATTTGGCGCAATACAATTCACCAGCAGCACTGCACTTGAGCCACCATTACCAGCATCTGCAGTATTTGCCTCATGCTTTAGAAATCTTACTACATGAAGTTCTAGACGAAGAGGTGGACACAGCGCCGCCGCCGGAGCAAGCGCTTTTACCGAGCGTGCTGTCATTTTTAAGCTCATTTCCGCAGTATCTTGATATTGTCGTACAGTGTACGCGCAAGACCGAAGTGCGGCTATGGCGAACGCTATTCTCAAATCTGCCCCCCCCTCAGGAACTGTTCGAAGAATCGTTGCAGAAAGGGAGCCTAAAGACTGCGGGAGGATATCTTCTTGTTCTTCACACATTCGAGGAACTCAGTTCAACGGGCGATGAAGTGGTGAGACTGCTACAGCGCGCAAAAGAAGAGCAGGATTGGGATCTCTGTAAAGAACTATCGCGATTCCTGATGGCGCTGGATGAGTCTGGAGCGACGCTCCGGCAGACGTTGGAGTTGGTGGAGCTGAGAAGCCCGTCAGCAGCTAAACCAGAATTGCAGCCTCACTTCTCGTTTAATTCGGGTAGGCTAGGTGTACCTCTGCGCGGAAGAAGTAGTAATACCAATGGGAGAGGAGTTGGCATGGGCATCGAATTTTCGACAGGTTCGAGGAGTGTGAGCAGGAGCAGTGGAGGCAGTAACCGTAGTCCAACGAGTACGGGTGTGGAGGAGGGGGATTATTTTAGGGAGGGAAGCAGCGCGAGTGTCACCTAATAGTACCCTATAATCATCCTGCGCTCAGGATTTGATTTACCATCAACTGCAATGGAGAAGCTATCGAGAGAGATGCGCGATAGGCCAATCCGAAGGCAAGACAGATCAGGAAGGATTAACAGAGGAGAGAAATATGCAATCCCCTCCTGCCCATCTGGTACCATCACAGGCAGCGCACGCAGCAAAGCCCCTCTTTGCTTCACTGTTTGCTTTCTGCGGTCGCTACCTGGGTACTGACGTCGGACAGCCTTTGCGGGGGATGCGCACTGTCGGCATTAGCATGGAGAGGTGTCACACCTAGTGAGAATCATACGCCATAGGTGATACATTCCAAAGGTTGACGTGTTGTTTGAGTATTCGACTCTGGTGATGGAGAATTGCTTTTTTGTTCTGGAAGATAGCGTGGGGAGCATTCCGATAGGGCTGGCAGGCCGGAGAGCGCTAACTGCTAGTGCGACGCGGGAACCAAAAGAGCGGAAGAGATGGAGAGAGAGAAGCTTGGCTTCAGCTCATGCACATCCAAGGCGGTGTTGCGGTGATTGGCGAGGCGAGCATGTTTTGCTTTGTCCCCGCTTGGCTGGGGTGGTGATTGGAGCAACCGGGGAACTGGCGAAGAAGAAGAGTCTGGGCAATAAATTCCTCATGTTCATCAAAGCGGTCTGGCAAGGTCGGCATTGCTTTTGGGCGGGTTGAGCTGTAAGCCTGCACGTGACGGAGACGACGTTGTTTCTGCCCTTCGGTTGCCAGCAGCGATGGAGCATTTGTGAGGCGAGAAAGCATACCATGGCGTCTCCGCGCCGGCCAGCAGTTATTGCCCTGACTCCGTCTTTGCGAGAGATGAGAGCCGTGGAAACGCCCTCGTACGAAGTTTGGGAGTGATGCCCATTTGCCTTTCAGGCCTAGTGCAGATTGAGTATGTGCCTGCGCCTCGCTGCCGACGGTTGCTGTGACCGCTTGTCTGAGCCCCATCCCAACGGCACCACACTGCCCTCTCACAGGGCCAGGACCGGGACAGGGGACGTGGCTGCAGCATGCACTGCGATACGATGGATCCCGTCGTCAATCGAGCGCCGCCGCTGGCATCTGCCGTGGGCTTTGAATCCATCCATGCATCACAAGGAGGCCGCCAGGCACTTTAATACTCCTCGCGACCCATGCCCGTTGCTGGCGGCCACGACCACCACGCATCAGAACTCAACCTCACCATTGTCGCAGTTACTCTAGCTACTCTAGTTACTACTCTAATAGCAAGGGCTGACGAGGTATGGTGCACACGTCCACATCATCCAGCGCCGCTCTCCGCCGTCCACACTATCCACACATCCTTTGAAAAGTCGCCGACTGCTGCTGTCACGAAAATGATGTCCGCTCCCCCGCCATACAGCACCCCCCCCGCCCTCTTTTCCTCTGACCACCACCGTCTGCGTGCAGCGACCTCCGCTTTGTCGCCCGCATCCACTGACTCTGGCTCTGATTCGACCGCGCAGTGGGCCTCCATGGTGTCCTGCCAGTATCCCACTCCCACTACTAACAATCCCACAACCGCCCGACCGCCGTTACGGACATCAATGAGCCCCTCCGCCAATGAGAGCCATGACTTCACCTTCATCACGGGCAGCAAGCCCGACGACTTCAAGGACAAAGTCGTCATGACTACCGTCCGCAAGCGCGCCATGGGAAGCTACCTCGAAAAGGAAAAGAAGTCGAGGCCCTCCGTCCAGAGGACGAGGTTGAATAGCGAGGATTCCACAAGGTCACGGGCCAGCATTGGGAGTGACCAGCAAGACGACACCATCGCCAACAACGACGCCTTGCGCAATTTGCGGTGGGTGAAGAGGCCTAGCAGGCGGCCTTCGTCCCCCATTCGGTCACCAGCTTCTAGCAATGCCAACCTGCAATTGATGCCCACCTCCAAGGCTCAGATCACACGCCTTCCCCCATCCATCGACGTGGTCCTTCCCTCGGCGCCCATGGTCGAGGGAATGCGGCCCGGTCGATTGATGTACGACAAGAACCCCGTGGCTGCCTTCCAGTCACCAGTCTTTCAAGTCTTCCCTTCCATCGGCAAGCCCTTGGATCCGTTCAAAACGATGCACCAACCGCAGCACCCAGGCGTTTCGGTGGAGGAACTCAAATTTCATTGTATGTGCTCCGTCATACTCGTCCACCTTCGCTAACCAACCCCCCCCCCCCCCCCAGGCTCTCGATTCTTCGGGACTAGAGCAATGGGCCGGCATTGGATTCCAACGCTGGTCAAATCGCCACACGCATTTCTGAGCACCCTGTGCATAGCATCTGCCCACCACGATGCCATAAGCAGCAGATCGGCCGAAAGTTTCCAGACTCTAGCGCTGCGCCAGGAAGTCATCCATCTCATAGGCCGCAACATTCTCGATCGGGAGCAATGCGTTAGTGATTTCAACATCATCGCCCTCACTCAGCTCATCTGCAGTGAAATAATTGCAGGGGAAAAGGGCGCCCTCGGATACCATGAGGGGGGCATTGAAAAGATGGTGAATCTGAGGGGAGGCCTCCGTCAACTTGGTGTCAACGGGCGATTGGCTTCGACGTTATCCTGGTTATCTCTCGAATCCGCCATCCTTCGTGAAGAGAAGCCCCGCGCCATGTACGCCGACTTCTGTACATCTTACCCAGTGAAAACCTACCAGCCTACGGCGACGATCCCCGAGTCCCCAATTTTCTGCCCGCGCGATGACTATGTCACGATTAAGAGGTCGCAGAACCGGTCCCAGAGATGTTCTTCGCGGACAATGGATATCCTGACCCAAATCCGCATGATGACTGAGTTTTTTTTGAATGAAACGGCAAAGAGCCGACAGAATGAGCAAACCCTCAAGAACTTGTACAAAAAAATCACAACACAATACCAACCAGTATCTGAGCTCGCCAAAGATAATGTTCTCACTCCGAGCGACTGGACGTACGAAGCCGTTCGCATCGCATCTATACTCCAAGCAACTGCAATCATAAAGCGCATCCCACTTTCCGAAGCGCTCAAATACGCAGCCCCACCACCACTCTACACCCCGGCTCCGAGCTCCTGCGCCCCATCTCCATCACACGTCTCACCAATAACTACCTTCCGACACGATTCTCCAGTGACCAACTTCTCAACGTCGCCTTCCTACGTAACTAGTCCATCATTCTCAAACACTACTCCCTCTAACTTCTTCCCCCTAAACAACCAAAAACCCCCCCTTTCCTCCGCACTAACTCCATCTTCATCGTCCGAGAATCTCAGTAACCTGTTCTTTCCACCCGCTCCCACACCAAACCCTGCGGGGCCATCCGCGCTCCTTATCTCTCTTAAAACCGCAATTGACTCATCGGACCTCTCAGACTGCTGGTCCGACATGGCGGGTGTGCTTTTGTGGATCGGTCTAGTAGCTGGAGCTACAAGTCACAAGTCAGACAAAGTTGTCAAGAAATGGTTTTCGGCACTTGCGGTTAGGTGTAGTATTGTGCTCTGCTTTGAGCATCCTGAGGCGGTACATTGTACCCTATTGAAGATGGGCGAAGTAATTGAAGGGGTCGGATTCCGAAGTGGAAACGAGGCTATTACCAGAAGAGAGGGTGTAAAGGACACTGGTGCTGGTGCGAAGGCTGTGGGGACTAAAGCACCGATCAGTGGGAAGAAGAGGAGGTTGTAATTCAACGCTTTGCTATGAATACTAAAGGTTCCATGATAGGCGTATGGTCAAATGATGTTGGATCAAGCTCTTTTCAGCGTGGCAAACTTCGGAAGAAAATGTCTGGGGCCGTGGAATCGCCGCCACACGTCGATCTGGGGGAGGTACGATCCGTGCACACATAGGGCTGAGTAAGGCTGGATTTTCATGAATCATGGCATGTTATCGCCTCGGGGCTCTAGAGAGAGCTGAGGATGAGATACGAGATCTACGGTTAAGGTGCGACTGTGCCAAGCTGGTTCGGTGGTTAGGTTCAACGTTTTGCTCTCGGCTTGTTCCAAGCCTGGTCTCCTTTCGCTTCCGTACTTGCCTTTCTACTTCATTAATGTTTGTTGACCTTTGCTAATCTCGGTCTGTCTGTCTTTGCTACTATACTTGGGGAGCTTACTGTAAGATGATTGGGAGTGGAGTTCTAAGGAGTTCTGGATACTATTAAGATTCGGCCTCAAGGATACCTGAGTTGGGCGTCTAGGAAAGAAGCCGCTCTTGCCCAAAATTTGACACTTAGGATTTAATTCAACCACTCATATTTTAATAGACACCTCAAGCGATGCGAAATATTTGCAATGCAAGTCGTAACTTCATAGATCACTGCTTGCCCCGTTAAGTGAGCCATCCAAAGGTGGACGGGATCGCTACGCATTTCACCTATCCAAGAAACCTGAAATCCCTTTGATCTTCAATGCCCTAACTCCAAAGCCTAGCCTATCGTAATCTATCCATACTTAACATTCGTGACGGTGCCATCTTCGCCGACGTGAATGTTCAAACGATCGGGCTTGAAATCCATGGTGCTCATACTATCAGGCTTCAGAACGCGGTGTTCTTTTGGAAGATCTTGTTTCGCGAACGTCTACCACTCTTAGTCCCCCACACACACGCACACGCACAAGAGGACTGAGAGAAGGGGGAGGGGAATATACCATATTGTCATGAGCATCGCCCAACTTCTTGCCCATCAGCTTGTTTGACCAGTCTTCGCTCGAAGATCCATCTTTGGATTGGATTCCCGGGACAACGAGAGGCATCTTGGGGATGTTCGGTTGGGTATATGTCCGTATAGCAGGGGGATGTTGCTTGAATTTCTGGAAATACGGTCTGAGCCGTAGGGGGTTAGTCGTTGTGTGGATTGTTTGCTAGTTGTGATGGGAGGAAGATGGTTCAGGCGGTGCAATCAAGTATTTATACCGGCTTCACAAGAATTTCTTGGTTGTTGGTGCAACTGTTCCCGCCAATTAGTTGTGCGGTTGGTCATATGATGGTGCGTGGCGTGGCCAACTGTGACGTCAGCACTTTCGCTGTTGAGAGGGGATGATCGGATGGTGGGGTATCTTCACTTCGCCTTCCTGCCAGAGCGACTTAAGCGGATAGCAAGACAGAGAGAGTGAAAGAGAGAAATGTCAGTTCGCCCAGTAGACCAAGTTACAAATGAATGTGGACTATAGTTGCGCGGTCTGTTTCTGCTCAAGTTTCATTGATACCACCGTCGTACAATCTAGAATACACTCTCATTTACCACAATTCAATCGACTTTCTGTACTCTCCATGACCCTCGTCTTAGAGCAGCCTACGGCAGCCCTCTTCCCGAATTCACCGCATCAGCAAGCTGGCTTGTATTCGGCCGATTCTCCGCATACCGCTCGTAACTATCCCAATACAGACCCTCGTCGCTCGTTGTACTCTTGACGCTCGGCTCCGCTTCAATCGCACTTGTCCATCTAGCCCATCTAGTTCCTTCCTCGGGCTCTGGCCAACCTCTGTATGGGCCCAACACCCGCCGTAACCTAAGCACCCACGGGGCAATCTGCACGTCCACGAAGCCCAGTGTGCGACCAAAGAAGAAGGGACCTTCAGGATCGGCGGCATCAACGAGCTTGCTGATCTCGTTGCGGAGCTCCGTTGCGTGGTTTACCTGATCGCCGGAGTCCTGGGCCTGGAGAAGGCGGTAGAAGCACGGAACAATGAGCCGGTTGATATGATCGGTCCAGAGTCTACAGGTAGCGCGTGCTTGGGGATCAGGAGGAAGCAAAGCGGGTCCTGTTCCAAGATCCTCAAAGTACTCCATTATTACAGTAGACTCGTGTGTGGACCAGGTGGGGCCATGGCGGATTGCTGGGACTAGGCCTCTTGGATTGATCTCCAGTAAAGATTGTGGTTTCTTGTATGGGTCAACTTCGATGTATTGATAAGGGAGGCTTTTGAATTCGAGCGATATCCAGACCCTCTGCACGAAAGGACTAGAGCAGGGATGGGTTAGTTGACAGCAAGACAGTCAATTGACGTCATGTCACAAAGGAGCATGTCTGAATAGGGATTGTCAACAATAGAGAAATGAGTACATACCAGAAGCAACTGCCAAATAGCTTCAAGTCATCTTCTTTAGAGTGGTTTTTAACCGTGACGAGAGCATTTCCGGTGGCTCTCTTGTGGTAGGTTTTCCTTTGGGGGGCACCGCCCTGATTTGCGTCAGTCATCTTGAAGCACAAGATGGAAAAAAAGAAAAGACGCAAGGGAATGGGGGTATCGGTGCCGGCCGTGCGACGAGGGGACCCCGCAAAGTCCCGTGAATCTCCGCATCTAGATTATGACGTGATCCGCGCATAGTGGAGCAAAGGTGCAGCCACAGGCATGTTTGTAGTCGTCGCAAGAAAATAGTGAGCGAACATACCTGCACCTTCTTTTTGTCCTTTTCACCCTTCATCACCCACCTAATGACACTGTTCTTCTTCACTCTGTCACTCTCGTCAAGAGTATGCTTGTGTGGACCAGCCACCCCGTCGCCTTTTCCATTTCCCCCGTTGCCATTGACTCGCTGGATGGTGTAGAACTTCTTGCCTGGTGGCGCGGGTGCAGACTGATTCAGTGCCAGGGGCGGAGCAATGGTGGATATACCCCACGGGCTCACCTGTGCCGGGGCTGATGCCTGTGACTGGGGGAAGAAGGCAGTTGCATGCAGGGTGTCCACGGGGGGCTGCTGGCCCGTCTGCTCCGTGAGCTCGGCGCCATCAAAGTACTCGGTGATCTTGATCTTCACGTCGCACAAGTCTCTTTCTCGCGCCACACGCTTGCGCTTCTTCTTGTCGGGGTCTGTAGACTTCTTAGTGCCGGGCGGGCGGCCTTTGAGGCGGCAGTCCCAGTAGTGGGAGACAAAACGCTTGCGCTTGTGCCGCTGGGTCGAGCGGTGGGAGTAAACGTTGTCAATGTGGGGGAAGTAGGTTTGAAACTCGTTCTCGGTCAGCGTGATGGTATCGTCGACGTGGAACAGCTTGGCCCGCCACTCGTCCAGGTTCGGGGGCGCTGCGATCAGCTTCAACCCCTCGAACTGCCTTGTGACGGGCGGGTCGTCGGGCTCGAGGGCCTGCGCAAACTCGGTCTGCGGCTCTAAGCCCGCGGCCTGTATCTGCGGCGGGACTCGAGGGATCGCAGCAGGCAACGGTGGTGGTGGAGGAGGAGGAGGAGCGGGGGGTGGAGGAGGGGGCGGCGCTCGCAGGCGCTGGTGCTGGTGCTGTTGGGCCGGTGCTGCTGCGATCAAGCTGAAGCGATTTGACCCATGGTCGTGCTGGTAGCCACTGGACACAACGGGCTGGTACGGTCCGGGTGTCTGCGCGGACTCGAATGGGTTGCCGACGTGGTATCGTGGCTGCTGAAAGAGGCCATCGCTGGCATCGTGAGAGATGGCCTCCAGGCCCTGCAGGCTAGGGGCGAGCGTCTGGAGGTGGTGGTGCAGCGCGCCGGGTGCCGACTGGTGCAGCGCCTGCAGTTCTGCTGGCTGGAGAGTGCGCAGGGCGGGTTGCAGGTGCAGCGCGACCTCGGATTGATTCATGGCTGTCCTTGTGTCGCTGCTTTAACCCTGACGACGACTGACTTCCAGCGCGCCAAGCCTAGATTTGTGAGGGACGGCTCTGCTCCGAATTCTCTGAGAAAATGGGTCCAAGCATCAATCTTGGGTGATGATTACGTTCTTTGTCAGACGTCACAATCAATCCAAAGGGCGGAGAATCATTATTTATTCGTCGTCTAGCACCACCAACGCCGTGCCCATGCCAAGCAGAAGACGCACCAGACCTTACTACCCACCCCCCCCCCCCAGAGTACTACCCTACTCTCCCGGCAACAAGTTACTCTTCACAGCGAACATCTTTGTGCTCACGCTGGCTGTGAAGCCGTCCACCTGCCGTGCATACTGCTCCACCTGCCGTGAGTTGAGCAGCACCTCCAGTCTGCTGGGCTCCTGAGGCAGCTTGAAGAGCCTCTGCCACTCGTCCTCTGGGAGCAGAGGCTGCTTCGCGGCAGCCCGTGCCGCGTTCTCCGCCTTCCTCTTCTGCTGCCACGCCGTGATCTTTGCCTGCTCTCGGCCAAGCGATCGTTGGTAGTATTGATGGTTGTTGAGCTCCGTGTGGTGGTTCTCAATGCTCTCGAGGAGCAGGTCACACGTCTTCTCCAGGAAGGGGTCGATGGAAAGGTCGAGCGAGTCGAAGTTGGGATATAGGGGCGGTTGCGGCGTATTCGGGTCCTGTTGCAGTGCGGCGAGATTGGGCGGGAAGGCAAGCTCCTCCTTGGGCGCATCGGAGGGCAGCTGGTGGAGCAGTGCGGTGAGCAGGTGCGAGTTGTGGATGGCCAAGGGCAGCTCGACGAGAATGTCCTGGTAGCGGAGGCCGCTCTTCTGGAGGCTCTCGGTGGTGAACTTGCCCTCCTTGTACGCCGCCATGAACGCGGGTGACAGCCGGAAGGCGCGCAGGCTCAGGCTCCCCTGCGAACTCCTGCTCACGTCGTGCACCAGCGCCACCGTCCGCTCGTTGAGCTCCTTCTGGTAGAAGAACTGATTTTCGATCGTGTTCGCGTTGACGAAGTTGCCCATGCTCGTGCTCGTGTACCAGCCGACGTTATTCGCGTCCACGTTCACCTCCCGCAGGAACTTGATCATCTCGTTCTGGTATGCCGCGTTCGATTTTGCGCGCGGGGCCGCAGCCGCTAGGTTCGACGCCGAGTCCTGGTGGCCATCCGCAGCAGGCACGTCGACGGTGGGGAAGGGGAAGCTGTTTGTGATTTGGAGGGTGCTGTTCACGTCCATGCCAACAAGAGAGCCCGTCGCCGTTGTGGGGAACGCCTGCGCCGAGTGCTTGATGATTTTCATGACAACCAGGGCTTCGACCTGCACCGCACGAAGCGGGGAATCCTTCAGCAAATCAGCCATAGCGTCGAAGAATGGTGGCACGCTTTGGGACGTCGTGGCGGGTCCAAAGGTTAGACTTGGAGGTTCGTGAATTTCGGTTGGGTTGCCAAGATATTCGCAGGTTAAGCGAGAAGTCACGTGTTAGGGTTATTGCTCCGGTATCTAGCGTCTCTACCTTAGGCATGCCTCCAATATGTTTGTATATGTGATAACAGCAATCTAGGGTATTCTGTCCAACCAGCCATGCAATTCCAGCAGATGCTTAACCCCTTCCTCCACAATCCCAAAACGCCACTTGAAAAGCCATCATGCACCCGCTTATAACATCTCCTCGTCTCTGTCGCTCTCCCCTCCTTGTTGCTGCTGCTGTTCTTCCCTTAGTCCTGGCTCAGTGTCATCCTCTACTAGATCCCTCGATACACACGCGCCCGTCTCTAGTGTATTCTTCTTCCGTGCATACGGAATCCACCGGCGGACTTGGGACTGTCTGGGTGGCTTGCGATTATTCGAGCTGGGGTTCCTGATGATTTGCCCGTCATCCATTCGATGAAATATGGTGTCTTTCCCATCAATATAATCCGATATGTCCGCGTCCTTCTCATCTTCCCACATCATCAAATTCGTACCATTGATCTCGACAGACCTACATCCAGTTCGTGGAACATGGAATATTGCCGAGTCGGAGTTGGTGAAGTCTTGCTCCCACGTCTCTTTCTGCTGCATTTTCGTGACATATTGCATTGGTAGCGTATATAAAATGTTATCTTCCTTGTCGTAGATCTCCTTTAAAGGATAGTTCAAAATTGCCAGCCCAAGTCCACAGTCGACTCGAGACGATATGGGATGCAGTCTTCCCCCAAAGACTTTGAGCTCGAAAGCAATCCCTGATTCGGTCCACATGTTATCATTGAAGAATACTTCGGGCTGCCCAAGGGGTCGATCGTGGTGAGGCCCAGAGACTTCAAGAAAGTGTGCCATTTCGTGGGCAATGCAAACTGCTAAGAAGAGGTTGAATCGCAGAACCATAGCTGGCTCGGGATATTGCAAAAGGCTCAGTTTCTTCGCGGTTGTGTAAAAGTCGGCATGAAGGCAGATTCGACTAGTGTGGCATTTGCCGTTCATCTTCCGCAGAAGCCCATTCTTGTAGTCGGCCACAAGACCCATCGATGCATAGGCAGGATCTGGCGGTAGCGGATCTCGGTGGAACATGAAATGAACGGTATCTACTTGCCCATCCACGAAACTCTTAAAAGCAGCTGCGTTCTCCGGGGACCATAAGACGTCCTCGCGAATGCGGAAGCATGGCTGGCCATACTCATCAGAAGTTTTCTGATCACGCTCCCGCTTCCCAAACACCAGCGTGTGCCAGAAGAGGGATGTGGCTCGAGACAATACGAGAAGGGTGCTGAGGCGCAGAGCAGGTCTTAGAGCCTCGTAGATGGCATCTGAGCACCCATGGAAATTTTCCGGTCGAAAAACGGGATGAATGTCGTTGTCAAGGTTGGAAACTTGAGAAGGAGAGTTTTTCGGAAACGTAACGGCTTGTTTTTTTATCAAGTCAATAGGATCAAACCCCAGCTTCGGAAATTTTCGTTTTGTGGAGTCTTTCCTATGCCCCAAGAGTCGGCGATATTTTTCCAACAGCTTCCGGTCTGCCACCTGGGCAAGATGGTGATTGATTGAGATACTTAGTTGCAGCCCGAAATCTTTTGGGACCTCTATTGTTGACGGTGTAAAGGTGGTTGAGTTCTCATAGCTCAAGATATCTGGTAAATCACGAACCAGTTTGTCGATGCACTCATCCATAATTACTCCCTCTTGGAGCTTGTGGAGAAGCACGGTGTTTTCGGTACCTTCTTGGAGCTGATATCCACCATCTCCGCTATCAGGTAATAGAGGGCGCAGGTTCTTCGATGCGATGGGTGGGGGTCTACACCCCGGAGGAGGAGTCATAGCGCCAGTAGGAGTCCATTCCATGCTATCTGGATCATCGTGCTCCGAAAAGAGAGCGGTTCCAGTCTCATCTCCGGTCTCAGGATCTCCTCCGTCATCAGCGGCGGCCTGGGTGATGCGTGTTTCCAGCAGCTGGCTAACATGGATCATAGCCTCGTACGCTTTACGATACCTAAAAGGATCCATTCTGGGTTGCGGTTAGTATGTCGGAAATCCACCCCTATCAAACAAGCAGCAGCCCTAGAGAGCTTTCAGATAGCTTTCAACCGTGTTGATATCGTAGCGAAGCTCGATTCCCACTGGAAGTCCTTGGATTTAAACCTGTTGTTGCCAACACATTTATCGGAACAGGTGTTTCGAACCACCTAGTTGCGACGTGTTGCCGTTGTGAAATGCGAACAGGACCCACAAAACCGGCCATTTGTATTGTGAAGTTTCGAAAGGTTTCCGATGGGTGACGGTCCAGCTAGATTCACCAAGCCCCAGGTTTCTGCTTGTGGGGTTGTCTTACATAGCACAGGAAGAATACGAGGAGGTTCCCATGCCGTTCAAGACGCTCCAAAGAAGGGCAAGAGAAGCAGGGAATCGTACATCAGTACACAAAAGATGAAGGAAAGATAAAAGACTGAAGGTGAAAAAAGTGAAGGTTGGATGAAGAGCTGCGGTGAGTGAAAAAGCACGCGATGCCAAAGCTGCAACCTTGGAGGTAAGCTAATACATGCCGAGACGCCCGTGCACCTCGGCCTTGTCAGCCCTCGTCCGAGGCGTTCTATGCACCCATCACTAAATACCGTGATAATTTTCTTACTACATCTCGTTGCGTAATAGGGAGCATAATGGAGTAGTTTAAGTCAGAAGGCTAGGTTCTATTGGCCGTTTCCTTAATTCTAGTTAGAGGTTTGGCTGATCGAATCCCCGAAGCTAATGCTCCAATATGGCATACATCTTGGAAGTGATTAGGGTGGGTAGTGATGCCCCATAGTTTCCATTTATATTGAAGTCTTTGTTTAGTTGCAAACAGTGTTTAGCGCTAGAAAGCCTCTTCAAGAATCTTGCATAAATGAACATCGCTAAACAAGGCCATCGCCGGAAAGTACTGGTGAAAGCGCTCTCATTCATCATCACCAAAGAACACTTTAATAGGCAGCCACGCATCACCACAAACCTTGAACCTGTCTGGAAGCGAGCTAAGCTTCTTCATCTCCTCATCGGTCAAGTCCCATCCATCCAGTTCGAAGTTTTTCTCAATGCGCGAGGGAGTGACGCTCTTCGGAATAACACTATTACCACGCTGAAGACCCCACATGAGGAGTATTTGCTGTGGTGTCCTGCCCTTCGCTTCGGCCATCTTCAGGACAGTCTCATCCTTGTATAAAGGCGAGTCGCTTGAGCCTAAGCAAGAGTATGCTGTGCAGTGGATACCCTTCTCTTTGCAATAGTCAAGGAGTTTGGGCCTAATTGTCGATCAGTCTAAGACGCATCCTACAACGATGAGACTGGTACTTACGAAGGGCAGTTTGGGTGGAGTTCAATTTGGTTCACCGCAGGTGTAATCTTAAAGGAGGGATCACTAAGGAGCTTCTCCAGGTTACGGATGCCAAAGTTTGACACGCCAATATTCTTCACACGGCCAGAGGCAGGGAGCTTCTGCATTTCAGCCCAAGTCTTAAGGAAGTTCCAGTCGGGCAGATGCTTCTTCAAGTTTTCCGGGTCCGTTGAAGACGGCCAGTGCTAATGGATTAGCCTTTGTTCTCCTCCAAGAGAGGTGCTTGTCTCACCATGAGGTACAGATCAACGTAATCAACCCCCAAGGATTTAAGAGAAGAGTTGATCCCGTCTTCAACGCGATGGTGCCAGGGGTTGTCGAGCTTGGTTGTAATCCAAATTTCCTCTCTTGGGACACCCGAGTCCTTGATTCCTTGACCAACTTCATTTTCATTTCCGTAGGCAAGAGCGGTGTCGATGTGGCGATATCCTTTCTGGAGAGCAACCTTGACGGCCTCGCGAACCTCACTAGGCTTCGACTGCCACGTTCCGAGCCCGACAGCGGGGATCCGACCGCCGGTGTTGAGGGTGAAAGTAGCATTGGTATTCTGAGCCATTCTGCAAAGCGTAGATCTGAACATTCAAACAGAAACAGGTGCGCTTCTTAGCTAGTTCGCGTGGGAATCGGAGGGGCTTAAAACATTTTGTGTAACTTTGCCTGTTTGCGTCATGGCGGACCTCATCTTTAGTGAAGCACAAGGGCCTGCGGTAACTACCACCGGATAATCAAAACCAAACGTGGGTATCAGATTTATGCATAAATCCACCAATTACCAGCTCGAAACTCCATGGAGCTCGTCGGAGTTGAGCCGCTTCGAGGGCCATTCAAGTGGGTTGGGTGTCCACCTTCCCGCTCGGGCAATATATCCGCCAAGCCCGTGGACTTGTGTTCTACTCGAGCTCCAGTCTACCACCACATACGCGGTCTGCTGCGATTACTCACTATGTCCTCCAGGTTTGTGTCAGGAGGCACAATCGACAAGCCTGCCGAGCGCGATGATGAGTGGCGAAAGGCGCAGGAAGAGCTGGAGGAGAAGGCCCGGCGAAAGGTCGCGGACGGCCAGCAGGACGGCGGCAAGTCGCTCTTCGAGGTCCTGCAGGCGAACAAAGGTGGATGCACACCCGACCGCAATGCCCGCTGTTTCTTGACTAACATGTTAGACTTGGGCCGTAAGCCGCCAAACAGGAAGCCTTTGAAGAAGCTACCCGATTGAAGAATCAGTATCGCGGCCTGGACGACGATGAGGCGGATTATCTCGATTCGGTTCTGCAGGAGACACGCCGGCAGGAAGCCACCATACGCAAGGAGACGCTGGACCAGCTACATGTCTTCCGCAAGAAGCAAGAGGAGGCAGAGAAATCTATCGGGGGAGAGCAGAGCGCTGGCGGTCCTATAGAGGACGAGCCGCAGTGGGGTGTAAGCGGACACAAACGGAAGAGAACGCATGGGAGGGGGCTGTTAAAGGGCGTCAAGCTTCGGAAGTCCTCGTCCTCTGCCGAGCATAAGACGGCTGTGGGAAACGCGTCCTCGACGGGCACTCAGTCAGACAACAAGAAAGGGGACACTGCCACAAGCAGGACTGGGAAGGAGCCAACAGCCATGAGGAAGTTGCTGCCAGTGACTACAACTTCACCCTTGATGCAGCAAGTGAAGCCGGCCCTCCTCGGCTTGGATTATGGCTCCGAGGACGAGGACTAACTGAACGTTATTCAACGAGCCCCGTCTATGCATCGAATGAGCCTGTTCATCTGCGGCTGGGGTCTATGAACGTCGCGCTGAACATGAGGTTGCTAGTACACGCTAACCCAGGTCTCAGATATTTGTATTTCTACGTCCATGATATGTGCTAGTGTCACAGTAATTACAGTTACTCTTCCAAGAGTCACTTTACTCCTCCTTTATTCTCCTGGATTACATCTCCTAAAACAAGCACATCCCAAGTCTTCTGGCATCCCACTCCACATGAAAGCAAACTATTTCAACATTTTCCAGTTACGCTGTAGCAATTCTTATCACCATATCCCTTGCATAATGTCCCTATATTTGCGCCGCATCTTCCATCCGTACTGACCTTCGCGGTAGGGGTTGGGGTAGCAATTAAAGAAGTTTGGTGGAGCTTGTACGAATGCTCGTCACGATCGAAGAGAGGCGCGAAGTGACGACGGCGGAAGAAGTAGATACAGCATCGCTAGTGGAGGACAGAACGACAGGCGACGTCGAAGCAGGCGCGGACGAACTACCAACGCTGGACGAAGCCGCGCTGCTTGAGCTAATAAAGGATAGTGAGGAACCGGGTCTAACCGCAGAAGAAGATGAAGGAACGGTGGAGCTAGATGAGAAGGGACTGTTGGAAATGGAAGAGGAACTAACAGATGTGCCGCATGTGCCAAATTTTGGGTTACAGCCCGAACCACAATGACCTGAAGATGCACCGCACCAACCGTATTGTGAGCAGCACGAGCCTAGGGAGAACCCAATGCAGTGGTAGCCGCTCGTTCCTCCGCACTAAAGTTTGTTAACGAAACGGGTCATAAAGGGGTGGTTGTTGAGAAACGTACTGTTCCATCTGGAGAGGTTCGGCCAGTGGGTGTAGATGAAGGGATTGAGGAAAAAGTGCTGGTAGCAGGGACACTCGATGAAGCCGCGGTGATTATACTAGAGCTACCATCGCCCGCACAATTGCCAAAAGCAGACTGGCAGCCTACGTTACAATGGTCCGGCGTTGCACCACTTCAAAGTGGTCAGCATATACCAACAAGAGCTAGAACCCATAGAGGGTGGCAGTAGAGTAATGAGCAATAAAGGTGAGGAACGTACCACCAACCATACTGACTACAGCACTGGCCATCTGCAAATCCAACGCATGTAAAGCCAGTAACCCCTCCGCTATACGAGACGTTAGATCACACATATATAGCGTGTAACTTGGGGCTCACCATGATCCATTCCGGGACACGGCCGTCGGGGAAACAATTGCTTTGCTGGAAGTAGCAGTTGCAGAAGCAGTAGGGGTGGAGGAAATCGCCGAAGACGTAAACACACTACCGGCCGAGTCTCTGTACCAATTGGCTTCCGGGTCGCCCAAGCACTCACCCATCGTAACGGCTCTATAGCCTTTGGCAGTGAGTGTCGCAAGCATGTATCCGGTCAAATTCTGCGCTGTTTGCTGATGGATATCATGGGCAATAGCTAGCCAGTCCTTTGTAGCAGGGTTGCTGGGGCCGATCTTAGCATTGAAATTGTTCTTTGCGTTCTGAATCTTGTCCGGAGTGACGTTATTGTAGTCGTCCGTGTCTAAATCGAAGTAGGAAATGTGGCTAAGTGATGTTAGCGGCTTGTTCTGGAGTAGGGACTACTCAAAGAGATTCTAATCAGTCACGTGACTATAGATATAGAATCTCTGGTGTTAACCTGACCGAGACCTATTTAAGGTGCTAGGAGTTTAACAGTCCAAGCCCTGCTTATTCAGAGTTTTCTGTTGCGACATCTGCAATTCTACAACCAATAGTAAAGAAATGGGATGACTAACTATCCAAGCGCATTCAGGTCGTCTTGGCATCCAGACTGAGGTGTGCAAGAGGAGTACGGAGGCCGCATATACGTGGGGAACTTGCCGATAATGTTTCGTATGGCCATTTCATTCTTAATCATCTGGTCGTGGCGTTGAGCTGTGGTAATAGCACTAAGATCTTGGTGCGACCAGGTGTGGCTGGCAACCTGATGTCCGTCGGCAATCATTCGTCGAATGACAGCAGGCCAAGGGGTGGCGGCATTGTCAATTGCACCCTTGTTGATGTTGATGCCGGTAATAAAAAAGGTAGCCCTGGCGTTGTAAGCTTTGAATTGGTCCAACACTCCGTCTGTATAGGTGTATGGGCCGTCGTCGTAGGTTATAGCCACAGTTCCAGGAACTGTGCATGCATAGATACCCGCCCCGCCGTACACGACTGACCCAAGCTTGGTACGGGCAACGCTGGAAGTGTTGGATCCTCCAGGAGTTTTATTGGCATCACAACCCGGTCCGAAGTTGATCTGGCAATCGGGAGCCTAAATAATAGCCACTTAGCGTATGAGAATAGATCCCTCAGTCGAACATGGGCTCACCTGGCAGTAATCTGCTCCGATACCGCACCAACCCTGTACGAATGTTAAAAATATATTCCAGTTCATCCACTATCTTCCCCCACCTAGAGGGCACATACAGCAGATGAACAACAATACCCTGAATCGCAGCTTGCACCACCGGCAGCGGCACCACATCGTCCGCCTACTCCTCCTTGGCGTGCTTTTAGTCCAGGGGCCTGTTGGGGCAGAGCACTGCGCGCGACATGTCCATTGAAAACGTTCCGGCTCTTCAGCTTCCCAATTGGATTCAATCCGAAGATCTTCGGTGCGCCAGGGATATGATTTCCATGAGCAGCCACAAGAGGCACCACCAAGGAAACAGCGAAAACTTCTGAGAATCGCATTAAGTCGGCTGAGGTTGGCGGTCTGAGCCTATATAATAGGGAGTCGAAAAGAAATAGGTGTCAAGGAGAGTTATGCAAAATAGTAAGTAGAGAGTGTAGGGATTTGAATTGTCAATTATCGATTAAAGCATGAAGCAATTGCTGTAAAGAAAAATGAGTGACAGTGCCCAAGGGAAATAGATAGACAAAGGCAAACAAAAGGAATCAGATCAAAGTGGCGAGTGCCAATACTTTATACGACCCAGTCCCCCATGCAGGAGCCAGAAGGGGTGGCGCGTCTGAGGAAGCTCAAAACGTACTCCCTGTTAGGCTCTAGCCAGCACCCTGAAGTGACAACATACTCAAGTCCGAGGTCTTGGTAGGGCTTAGAACACGGGCGTATTCCTCCTGGAAGCGAGGCCGATTGGAGCAAGTTGGGCTCGCCCCTTACTCGAAGCGCTAGAAGAGGTTTGGGTTTGCTGCAGCATGATAAATGCGAAGCCGAGGGGCTACCAAAGGTCCGCAAAAGAAAGAGGTACTGCTTTACCTCGCGTTAACACTAATTCGTCCATTCAAACATGGTAGAGTGTGCCACTTAAAGGGACTGGTTCTGTCTCGAGTGCATGTTTAGTCGGCGCCGAGGACACGGACAGCTATAAATAAGGGCCGAGAACGAACGCCCAGAACACCATTGTCACGGAGAATGGAATCGAGGAATCTCATGTCCAACGATGTGACTGCCATGGTGGGTCGGAGTCTGGGACGAGGGCTGAGTGCCTGTTTCAAGTCGCCGAGTGAGCTTGGCCAGACGCGGCCTGGAAATTTCTGATCGAAGGCGTCGCTAAAGCGGAGGATCGTCGCTGTGGTTCGACCTTCTCGCTTCGCGTGCCTTGTTTCCGCGGGTAGCAAAGGCTCGAACTGCGAAGGATCCCTTGCCGAAAAGACGAAGAAGACCAAGTCAGGAGGAGCGGAATCCTGCGTCTTGTCAGTGTCTTGGCACGCCAAGAGCCAAGACTTTCCAATCAGGTCTCCACCCATGTTTCCCCAATTATGTTCAGTTCGACTAAGATTAAGCATTCCCTCAATAGTGCTCAAGAGTCGCTAATGGATATTTTCGTGTTCTCCACGTGATGTTTCGCCTATGGCCCATTGCCGGGATTGTTGCTCTCCAGGTGAACCTCGTCCCATCTACTTTTGGCCAACCCCTGTCCTTGGTACCAAGCTGGTACCCCTGCCATCTACACTTTAGTCAAGATAAGTTGCTCTAAAAGATAGCAAACTGGGAATAGACAGGCTGCAGGAACAGGAAACCTAATAACAGTCTCCATAAGTATTTTAACGGCAGAGAAGAAGAGGTGTGGTGGGTTAAAGGTGGTTGATGAAAAACTCCTAATTTCATTTTACACGAACCTCCTCTCTGAATCTATAAAGTTCAAATCAGTAAGAGCAGGTGTCATCAAACAGCTGGTGGGACGAGGTACCAATGGCATGATCTGATGTGCTGTCGAAACGTGCTGGAGGCCGTGCAGCCTAGTATCATGCAGAGGAACACCACGGAAGGTAGATCTGATCCATCAAGCCTCTTACTAGATATTACGAGAAACTTAGAATGAAGTATCTTCCGATTCCAATATTGTTAAGCAGAACCTTGTTCACGCACACTCGGGAAGCAGCCTTCGAGTTCTCTAGTTACCAGAAATCTACTGGTTGATTAACCACCTGGCTTGATCCACATCTCCTAACACGTCGCGGAGAGAACGGCTAGGCACTGGAATAGTGGAAATTAGGCGTCTTCTTCACCTGACCCCACCTCATAGAATCATAGGAGAGTGTGTCATGAACAACGCGGCAAGGAAGCCGAACCAAAACGTTCCCGAACACTTCCACATTTGGGAGCCATCATTTCTTCACGACCCTGAGCAGTGGTGCGACCCTGACTCGCCTGCTCAAGCCCACCCGATAGGGCACCTTCCCTTTGCTGAGAGGTGAATGGGCGGTGCTGGCTTGCTTCGATTGCTGTTCTGGAGTTCGCGAAGGTACAGGCAGAGCAGGAGTAGATGTCTTTGGCGAAGGGGTACAAGCAGGCAGCCTTGGGATTGACATTGACATGGTTTCTGTCCGTCCTTCGCCTTCATCTAATTTAGGAAGGTCCCTTGTAGCGGGCCTATTAGATGGAATCTTTGTGTCCCTTTCGATTAGCCCATCCTGAGGCCCCTCCACGTTCTCCTCTTGTCCAATGGCTTCCTCTGATACAACCTTTTCTTTCCGAGGGCGACCGCGACCTCGTTTTTTCGCTTTCACCGGTTCAGACAGAAGCTTCTTATGCTCTTCAAGGGCGGATCCAGGCTGATCTGGAGCAATCTTTCTGCATTCGGCTTTCTGACCTTGATGATCGTGTAGCAGGTCAGTGCTTCGTGACATGTTGGGCTTCGTCGATTTCGCGTTAGATGTTGTGATCTTCAGACTGCTAGTAGCGAGTATATCTGAATTTTCGTGGAACATTTCATCGACCGTAATAACCTCTTTAGGAACCTTATCGTGATCTAGTTCTAGAGGTGCCGTCATACTGAAGGAGACTCTTCTACCTCTTCTCTGTAAAGGAAGTACTTCGTCCACGGTAAGTTCAGCCCCGATAACCCGTTCCATCGCCTTCGAATTGCTCTTTTGCGCCCTGGCTACGGCTTTTGAGGACCTTGGAAGGGCTAACTCATCCTCATCATAAGCATCTTCATTCGTGACTAGCCTGTCTAAGGTTCGATGGACGTCGCTCCCGTTCTCCTTGAGATCCATTTCAATTGTTGACGGTGTGAACCCTATCTCGCAAATCTCCTGGACTTGTCGAGGGGTTAAATCATCCGCAGGGATGTGTACTTCACCGAAAGTCTTACTTCGCTTGGCCCCCTTCATAGCCCCCTTTTCTGGTAGAATAGAGTAGTTAATTGGCTCTTCTATCCCGGGTGTTAATGATATCGACCGAGTAGGTCGAGCCTTGTATTTCTCTTCTGGAAGACCAACGGTGAGAAGGTCATCCTTGGACTTAGGCATCCAGCCAGGGTTCTGCTCTGCTTTGGAAGGGTTGGTGAGAGCTGCCCTCTCTACCGCAATATAAGGTGCCGGGGACCCACAATTGGCGTTGTGGTCGAAGATTACATGAGATGACCTGGTTTCTTGAATAATTGCATTTCTCAAAGGACTTGCCTTCATTTGAACAGATGAATTCCGCCTGCTACAAAGAGAAGCGTTTGTTGACTGGAGCCCTTGCGGGACCTTTTTCATATCGGCATCTCTAGAATGAGGCTGATGATCGTTATGAGGCTGGAAACTGCTCTGAGGAAGGTTTTGTGTGTGGTCAGGGTCGGAATCCCCTTCTGTATCTCCCTCTCCTGGCGTCAGCTATCAGATAGAAACTGATACAAAGGGGAAAACATACTAAGGGCGTCTTCAAATAGTCCGACCACGGAATAGAAGACTTCCCAGGTTCGTATGGAATCATATCCACTTCTGGGTTAAGTCCGAGGAAAGCTGGAGATATGACTTCGTCTAGCAGCCGTTGTTGAGTGAATGTAGCATTTGGAATGGTGCTTGAGGTCTCAGGAAACAATGTCATCGGATCATGTGCCTCGTGGTTCGCACGAATTGTGCCTTCGATCCCACACTGAGTACCGTTCGGGTCGGCGTTATTCCTCGGGTATTCTAAAACTTCAACAGCCTTCCCCAAACAAAATTGACTTTCTTCTGCTGCACTTGATATGAGAGGAAGTGACCCATCGGTAGGCATCTCAACGTTGTTTAATGGGTGCCAATTTTGACTTCTTTCGTGAAACGAGCTGTTGAGTGCAGACTTCGACCTGCCATACAGCTTTAACGGCTTTTTCCTCTCTGAGTCACTACCAAGCGACTTGCTTGGAGAAGCATTCATCGTAGTCTTCCTTCTCTTACTTCGATGCTCCGGTGCTATCCTGGGTGAAACAGGACCATTCTTGAAAGGCTCTCCGGATCCTATCGATAGCATAGGCTCTGACTGGAAGCGAGCAAGGTTGGATGCTTCTATGGTCCTATTCAAATATCCTGAAGTGAGGCTAGTCAGTTGGGATCTCGCTAGAAATCAATCTACTACTGCAAGTACCTGTAGAGACTGTGCCCGGTTCGCAAGGCGTTAGAGAAGTGCTGGTGGGCTCAAAAGACGCGTCTTTTGTCGGAGGTGACCCAACTGGGCTCTCAACATCCTCATCAAGCTCATCCTCAGAATCCTGAATAACCCGCATCACCGTACACACTTTCTTGGGAGTTACTGGCAGTATGGTAGTGCGACCAAGTGCAGTTAGCATACAAGACCGGGTGCGGGGCAGTGATGTTTGCTTGCGTCTACGCGCGATCATGTGAAACCCTTACCTAAATGAAGTTAGCGTCATCAATGACCTGGAAATTTCACAATGTAGATATTCAACACATCAAACCTAAACCCCCTCGTTAGGTATAACTCGGGAGATTCGGCACTATGGATAGGGTTACCCCTGCTTCGAGCGAGTCTTCACGCAGCACCATGCCCACCTCGACCCCAAATTCCCGCTTCACCTCCCAGACATCCACCGCCGAGGACCTACTCCGGGAGCAGACTGTGGGCCTGGTCAATCTGTCAGACTTCCGCAAACGACGTGCCGAAGCAATAGAACGCAAAGAACGAGAGACATCTACCCCCACTCCCCGGAACGGGTAAGGCTCATTCATAGCCTGCGTGCTCGCGATTACAAGAGAGCGAGGCTAATTTACAAAGTACAGCGCATCTACGCCCCAGCCCTCGTTCAAGAAGAAGATGAAGAAGACAGCGGCGAAGGGCAAGCTCTCCTTCGTCGTCGACGACCATGATGGGGACTCAAGTGCTTCTGCAAGCACGACGCCCCGTGGGAGCACCCCGGCCGACTCAGCTGCGACGTCCGAGTCGGAGAGCAAAGTCCCAAAGAAACGGCTAGGTGCCAACGCCCGCATTGCCCTGAAGCCCAAAGCTATGACGAAATCTGCTCTGATGCGAGAAGCACAGGAAGCGGAGACGGTGCGGAAAAATTTCTTGGCCATGCGTGATGCTGTCAAGGCTACCGAAGTTGTGATCCCCTTCGTCTTTTACGATGGGACGAACATCCCGGGCGGACGATGTAGGGTGAAGAAAGGGGACCACATCTGGCTGTTTCTAGACAAGGCGAGAAAGGTTGGCGCAGAGCTAGGCGTGGGCGGCGACAAGAGCAGGAGGGATTGGGCCCGGGTCAGCGTCGACGATCTGATGCTGGTGAGAGGGGAACTCATCCTTCCTCATGTACGTGCGCTTCGATGGATACTGTGGCAGGACCAGTTTGACTTCTTTCGCAGCATTACGAATTCTATCATTTTCTTTCCAACAAGGTCGTCGGCTTCAATGGACCCGTCTTTGAGTACTCCGACCAGCCCACACAGGCCACTCCCACCGCAAGTGACTCGAATCCTACCAGGTCGGCTGAATACGATCCCCTAGAGCGACATGATAGGAGCAAAGAAAAAGATACCGCGATACCTGATGCCGAGCTCGAAGGCTTCCATGACGATGCAACGATTACCAAGGTGGTCGACCGAAGATGGTACGAGCGCAACAAGCACATATTTCCAGCTAGCGTTTGGGAAGAGTACAACCCAGACAAGGATATATCCAAGAGCCAGCGGAAGGACACTGAAGGAAATTCCTTCTTCTTTTCCTAAACGAGCACTTTGCTATGCATCTGGTAAGTCAACTAGATCCCAGAGTTCATTAATCAGATGCCAGTAAAGGACGCGCCCTTGGTTTCCGTCCAGCATGAGCAGCAGCCAAGCTCTCGGGCCGTCAATTTTATAAGCCAAGGCAATTGAGGATGTCATTTCTGACACACGTCCATGGAGATACATAGACTGCGCCGACCGTTCATGGCATGTCAGATATCTTGTGGCTCCAATACTGTGGTGGATGAAGCGAGTTGATGGGAAGCGGTCCAACCCACATAGCTTTATCATTATCCTTGTTCATACTGCTGTTCGCACAGACGCAGCTCTCAGTGTGCTTGACCACGCCCACCTATCACAATTGTGACTGTGTCCTTGTGTGGGGAAGGAAGATGGACATGTGGTCAGTTTCCTTGCTGAGTCGGATGGTCACAGGGTGAAGGCATTGGGGAGGTGCAGTAGCTTTACGACCGTCCAGGTGCGCTCAATGCGGGCAGACACGTGCTCGCAAGTTCGCTGCAGACAGTGGGCCTTTCGGTTCCAGGGCCTGTACCTGGCGCCCACATGACCGCGCGATTCTTGCCCGCAGTACCCGTCGACACCCTGTCACTGCGCTGAATCGTGAAATGCGGCTTTATCAACACGACTGTCCGCAGTCACTAGAGTCGGGGCAACGCACCCTTCCAAAAAGCAATTCGCAGGATGCGGACAATTAATATGACCAGACCCATCTAGCGACGCATCACTTACTGCAGCCTCCTACCCTCTGACGTTCGCTCGACTTAGGCATACTGGCGAAGTACCTTGCAATTCTCTGCAAGGGCTACAAGACCTGTACGTAGGTCGAGGCCGGCCTGCGAAAGTTAGTTGTGGCGTGGCATCGACCAAAGTGAAGAGACCTTTATTTGTTAATTTCAATCCAACTGTAGGAGGCTTATGAGCTAATCGCTACCCGTTCGCGTCATCGTGGCCACCGATCGATCCCGTGCACCTCGCCGTCCTGTCAACTACCCCAACTTCACGACTCTCTAAGCATCAGCCAGCCGCGACAGTCAGGTTGCATCCCCCACACTCTCGTGTCGCTTCACCACTGACCTAAGCTCCCGCAATCATGCAGGTCATCGCAAGGTGCAGTGAGCATTCGACCGAGGCTCCTCCAATGAGATTGATTTATAAAGCCACGACCCCATAGAGCTACACCTGCAGCCGTGGACCTCAGCGTAACTTCCCAGACTCGCAATATTGGTCCGAATGGAGTACCCACCCTCTCTCTTCCGCCAAGTTACCTCTCTATCCTACCTTTTAAACGTCCGCCTCCGCCCGTCACGCTAGCTGCTGCCCTCCCTTTTAAAATGAAATTTGGACACAACCTTCCCCGAAACCAGGTCCCCGAATGGGCGTCCTCGTATATCAATTACAAGGGCCTTAAAAAGCTCATCAAGACGGCCTCGGCAGCTCTCAAGAACGGCGCTGATCCCGACCTCGCAGGCAAGTTGTTGACTGCAGTACACATTTTTTATCGAGGCTAAGCAAGCTATTGACAGAATTCTTCTTCTCACTCGACCGAAATCTAGAAGACGTCGACAACTTCTATAACAAGAAATATGCTGAATCCGCACGACACCTAAAGCTCCTCCACAGCCGGTATGGACGCGCCGCCCAGCTTCCCGAAGGCATCGACAAGGACGAAGCCCAGGATCTCATGGGCGCGCTTCTCGAGCTACGCAGCCAGCTGAGGAAGCTGCAGTGGTACGGCGAAGTCAACAGGCGGGGCTTTGTCAAGATCACGAAGAAGCTAGACAAAAAGATTCCCCGCCTCTGCACGCAGCAACGCTACTTGGCATCCAAGGTCAATCCGAGGCCATTTGCGCATAATCCCACCCTCACGAACGACATGAGGGCAGTTAATGAATGGCTGTCCAACCTTGGAGAGGCGAAAACTTTTGATGACAGTGGGTCAGCCCATTCCGTGGCGTCGCTGGGCAGAGTTCCGGCCCAGACCTTGAACCTCCCATCCTGTTTCCTTGATGCTATAGACCAGGCGATCCGCAACGACGATGCTAGGCGTCTTTCCGATCTAATTGCCGAGGATGTCTCCGATCAAGATCTTTCCACCCCACCATTCCAACAGCTTCTTCTCAACTTCCTGCAGCGGTCAATCTCGTGCAAAGCCAAATCGTGCATCGATCGTCTACTTCCAGACATAGATTTGCTGGAAGAAAAAGACGACTTGAACGAGCGCAACTGCATCCACCGCCTAGTCATCACCATTGGCCGCTCCAAAAGTGGCGAAAAACTCGGCGTGGACGGCTCTGCTCTCCAACCCACCTCGGACACACCGCATTTCATCATCCCGGCGGAGTCTCCAAATCGCGTGCCTCCCCCATGTTCCATTACAGAACAAGAGTCTGCCAAACTCCTGAGCAAGAACGACGAATCGGTGCGCCTTCTTGTCTACCTTCTTGATGGGCTCCAGCCACGTCATCGAGTCGCCCTCCAAGCACGTGATACGTATGGACGGCTACCACTCCATTACGCCGCTCAATACGGCTTCGTCGTGATATGCCAAGTCGTTATCAAGCATATGCAGGACTGGGGTCAGTTCGATGTAACCCAAGGCATTGATTCGCCTGCATGGCAAGATGCCGAAGGCTACGCGCCACTCCATCTCAGCGTCATTGGGGGTCACCCGCTCACAACAAAGGCCTTACTTCAAGCAGAGAATTGGCTCGGGGAAACAAACGAAAAACTCAATTCCAGGAAAAACATCTCCAGATCTGGTGCGGTTCTTGCCCTTGCAACACAATCAAATTTTGTCACCATCGTCAAGCTCCTAGTAGAGGCAGGAGTAGATGTTAACTATCGAGATGAACAAGGTGAAACTGCGCTGCACGTTGCAGCACGTTTCGGCCATCACCAATGTGCCAAAGTTTTGATTGAAGGCTCGCTCACCCAAAAGACGAACATCGAAGTCCCAGAGAAAAATTTTGCGTGGACTCCGCTCTTTATTGCCTGCGTAGACGGCCATTACTCTGTTGTCGAACTTCTTGTCGCTGCTGGGGTTGACTTGGAACGTTTCGATCTTTCGGGTTGGACGGCTAGGGAGCATGCAGCGCTACGAGGGCACATGGATATCGTGGAGAAGCTGGCAGCGATTGCTCCAATCCCATCACCCCCAACCACAGAACCACCTGCGGTGAGGTCAGCTTCTCCCACACGTGCATCCTCAATCGAGGAGCGCCGATCCAAGAACTTGGTGAGAGAGAATTCTACTTACCAACGCCCAACGGAACCTATCAAGACTTTTGGGCATCGTTATCTTACCAACGAGACTATGGTGCTTGTTAGCCTTGGCTCTATGGATACAAGAAAAGACGTTCCCGCTGTCAAACTTGACGATATTCCCTTGGCCGATGCCCATGCCACTCAGCTTGACACCGCATTATCTGTAGTCGTCTCAGCATCTGGCGCAACCGGGGAGCCAACTGTCATTGATCTGCCGGTTCAAGAAAATATATGCACTGAACCAATCACATTCATGACCACGGACGCAACTAAAGTCAAGCTCTTGTTCGACATTGTGCCTACATATGCGGGGTCAAAGGATAGGATCGTTGGACGTGGAGTGGCCCTTTTATCCAGCATCAAGCCAACCATCGGCTCAAAGCGCATCACACTACAAGGCGACGTCAAGGTTCCAATCATTGCGGCCACCACCTTGGATGTTATTGGCTCGGTGAATTTCAACTTCCTGATTATCACACCGTTCACCCACCCGAACATGTCTATTACAGAGCAGCACACTTACTGGAAGAAAATGTCATCAACTCAGATCATTGGGCATCGAGGTGATTCTGATTTGGTTCTTTGTACCCCCATACCATCCTGACATTTGTGAAGGTTTGGGAAAAAACATGGCTTCAAGAAAGTCTCTACAGTTAGGCGAAAATACAATCCAGGTACCAGATATAAGCAAGGCTGATTCATGACTGTTCTAATTTAAAACAGTCTTTTATTGCTGCTGCCAATCTCGGGGCTTCATATGTTGAGGTGGGTTACGTCTTCTGTAGTTAACTACTCTATGCTAACATAATTCTAGTTTGGTGCGGCTTGCTTTCCTTATAAGCGGCAACGATCGCTTACTGCTTTCCAGACGTACAACTCACCAAGGATCATGTTCCTGTCATCTATCATGACTTTTTAGTCAGTGAAACGGGTATCGATGCCCCTGTTCATACACTCACCTTAGAACAAGTCAGTCTCCGAGAGCCTTATAGCCAAATTGAATATCCTTACACTTATCTAGTTCCTCCACGTCAGCGAAGGCCAAACCCCGCGCCAATCCAGACCTACGTCTCCAGCTGAGAATAAAAGCATAGCCCAGCCAAATGGTGTGCAAACATCTCAGAGGCGACCCCGATCCTATTCTCTGGACACATCCAAACAGAAGAACATGCACACAAACCACACTTTAGAGCTCTCGGAACGAATGAAACATACGCGGGATTTCAAAATGAAAGGTTATAAAGGCAACAGCCGTGGGAATTTCATACAAGCACCATTTACCACTCTTGAGGAGATGTTTAAGAAGCTTCCGGAGTCAACGGGATTTAATATCGAGATGAGTACGTTAGTCTCTCATTTAGACTTACGCCAGGAGCACTAATTCCTCACTAGAATACCCAATGCTACACGAGTCGGAGGAGCATGACATGGACCAGTACGCTGTTGAGCTGAACTCTTTCGTCGATACTGTGCTTAAAACCGTCTACAATCTTGCCGGGAAACGCAACATCATCTTTTCCTCCTTCAATCCTGACATTTGCCTCATGCTCTCCTTCAAACAGCCTTCGATTCCGATCCTATTCCTTACTGATGCCGGTACTTGCCCGGTTGGAGACGTACGTGCAGCCAGCCTACAAGAAGCAATTCGGTTTGCAAGTCGATGGAACTTGCTTGGTGTCGTAAGCGCAGCGGAGCCTCTCGTTATGTGTCCTAGATTAGTGAGGGTGGTCAAGGAAAGTGGATTAGTCTGTGTCAGCTATGGGACACTGAATAATGACGCAAAGAATGTCAAGGTAGGCTCCGCCCAACGTAGTCTACTTCCCTTACTGTAACATCCCTACTAACTATCTCTTCTTGGCAGCTTCAAGTTAAGGAGGGCATAGATGCGGTCATCGTTGACTCGGTGCTCGCTATTCGAGAGGGACTCAGAAGCTCCGACCAACAGGGTATAAATGAGGTTGTTGGTGATGGTTTGCTCGCTACTGTGCAGCCCATTACCGCACAAGCCAACGAAACAATTGCCATGTGACGGGATCACACTATCGGAAAGGTTACGGAGACAGTGAATGGCGGTGTTACTATATGAGACAATGAGTCCGGTAATTCAACCACGGCCATCTGCATCAAGCGAAGGAGCTTTTCTCCATCGCCTTGAGACTAACCACAATTTCGGTAAAAACTCTTTAACGGCTTGACCTAGGTGAATAGCGTTGAGGTTGGGTGGCGGGATAGCCCTCAGCGGGTTCCAGTTGATTCAATTCGCTGTTGAATCTAGCGTGACCTGCAATACAGCCAATGGCCAGAGATAATCACAGGTAGTATCCAAGATAATAGTAGCCTTCAGGGGGAGTGCAACGACAAGGGACTTGAGATAGCCGTAATGTTCAAACTAGTAATTGTGGTGTCGCGGTGACTGGAATTTTGGATTCACAGTTCCTGGACCTAAGATTTTCGTAAAACCTTAGTCCCTTGTAGTCCTTGTCTTGGTTGTTCGCCTGCTCGTGAAGAGTCAATGATTTCCTACATCAGCAAGTCTCCATCTCTTCACGGATATCGCCGCTTGTAGGTGGAATATAACACCACACGGCCTAATTTTGAATAATGCCTTCATATCAAATTCAGGCATGAAAGTGTGCATTCCATGAATTCTAGGTGGGTGGAAGCGTGTCTCCTTGCTAAGAATTTACTAGTTCTTATGTTTGCCTTAATTTTCGTTTTTGTTGAATGGACTCTCTGCTAGCTAGCACTTGGTGTCAGCAAATGCGTACGAGACAGAGAGGTTTGCACGGTGTAAACATCGCACAGGGGTGTTAGGTAACTAGTGTTAATTGCTTCTTGTTGTTTCTATTGTACAAAGGAAAGAGGTTAATATAGTCCTAAACTCTGCGCACAGATCTCTGTGCACAGGGATCTAGGCGCATCTAAGCCACGTGACTATTAACTAGGCGCCTAAATATTACTATTTAGACATTAGCAACTTTTTGTTTTTCTTTTATATAGGACTTGCCTTATTTACACATATAGTAGACAGGTTACTGTAGGGCCCTTTTTGCCTATCTTATACAGGCTTAAGTCTGTTAACTAACACTTTAACTTTAATAGTTAGTTAGTTGTACAAAATTAGTTCTTTAAGAGTAAAGTTTAGCGCCTTTTTTATATAAGCATTTATAGAGTTGTTCTTTTTATTAATCTACTTAATTTTTATAATCTCCCTTTTCTTATATAATTTTTAAATTAATATAATATTAATTATAAGTTTTTTTTTATTTATTATCCTAAGCTTTATAAGACATTTATATAGAAATCTTAAATCTATGCATAGTATAATAGGTACAGGAGGTATTCTAAGCATACATGTAATCTAGTTAATAGTTGTACTTAGTGTAATTACGCAGTTAAATCCTCCTACTATTCTGTACAGCTTACTAGCTAGGACAGAGTAGGTAACATGTTTACACTTAGAGAAGTTCTAGTGTATAATATTACTTATAATTTTAAAGTTGTATAAGTTTCTAGTTTACTGCTTAGTTTTAGAAATAATAAAAAAGCTAAGCTATAAACTTAAGTCCTTATTATTTATAAATAATCTATTAGTAAAGATAAACAACTTTATATAAAAGAGATTAAGTAGTATATATAATAATTTTTTATTCTAGTTATTAATTTACTATTAGATTTATACATTTAATACCTTAATATTATTGTACAACAGCAATACAACTTAAGCAGCAGTAGACAGGTTAAATGCTGCCTTAGGTTAACATACTAATGCGATATAGGCACCTCGCGCGCGCTGTTTAACGTACTTCTGCGCAGCATCCTCTACCTTAGACTCTATTATGTGTAGATTCCTAGCTTAACTCTTTTATATAAGAATAATATTATTTTATATAAAGTAGATCTTTTTTTTATTAAATTTAATAGCCTAATTATGTAATAGTATAGTCTTAGGCTTTACTTAAAAGTTAGCTTTAAGTAATTTTTTTTTCTCTCTTTATATAAAATTAGCTGTAATAATACTAAAAGTATTATCTGTCTATAGTCCTATAATACTAAACACTATTAGGCTTTTATGTGTAATTAATAAGTATAGATTGTATAATAAGGTTTTTATAAAAAGTTTATTTTTATAATAGTTATAGTATGTCTTAAACTAATATAAGCCTAACTCTGCTGCGCTGTATAGTAGTTGTACAACTCTAAATATTGTGTGTGGAGGGAAGCTTTTATAAAGTTCTCTTAGTAGTTATGTAAAAAGAGTGTAAATAAGCTTATTTATTAATTATATATATACCTAAGTAATATTATGTAGTTTATAGTGCATGTTATATAAAGCTATTAGTAATAAGCTAATAGCTAGAATTAACTTTTAACTTATTTTCTAAATTATAGAAGACTATGTAAGGATCTTCTTTTTTTTTTATCTAAATATTTTATAAACATAAGTTGTAACTTTTTATATAGTTTTATTAATTTCTCTTTAACTTTATATATAAGTTAAAGGTTAAAGATCTGTCCCTTATAAATTAATAGATTATATAAAAGTACCTTAAACATACTACTTATAATTAGACTTTTTATTTCTGTACAGTCTAATTCTTTAAATAGTTTCCTAGGTGTTGTAATTACACTGTCTGCACAGAGCTTAATTACTAGAGCGTAGTTATTCTTTTTTTTCTAGGTTAGAAACATTATGTTTTATATAGAATTCTTGCGTAGTCTTTTATAGCCTCTCTTAGCTAGTTATAGTTCTAGTTTATATAATAAATCTAATACTACTTAAGAGGCTGTTTTATGCAGTCTATTAATTAGGGTTAGTTACTTATGTAGGCAACCTCTTTTTTATGCTTATAGAGGATCCCTTTGTACTAGGGCTAGTTTGTCTAGATCTAGCAGTTTTTATGCAGGTTTATTCTTATCCTTTATACAATAATATAGCATAACTTATGTGCAGTAGAGTCTTACTAAACTATTCTTTATCTTAATAATAATGTCTAGGGCTTTAATTCCCTTTACTATATATAGTCTTATCTATCTTTTCTTCTCTTACTATGTCTTTACTTTAGAACTAAGTAAAAGATTTAGTACTTTATATAAAGTTAAGCTGTTCTAAGTATTAATTATATAATTAATATTAACTTTTACTTTTTTACTTTAAAGCATTTTTATTACCTTTTGTACAGTGTTAGCTTACATAATAATATTAAAGGATAGTGCAGAATCTATGTTAATTCTTAGGTATGTTCTAAACATAAGCAATGTAGGTATAAGACTGTTTAGTTTTACTATATTATTTAGGGCTTTAACAGCTATCTATAATACTAACTTATTATTTATACAATTATCTAATTCTGCATAAAGGATATTATACGCACGTTGCAGTAGTGCGTGCGCACGCTTAATCTTCCCTAGAGCCTAATAGGCCTTTACTAGCATCTGTTAACATGTTGCTTCTATAATCTTTGCGTAATTCTAGAAGTCTTTAGATGCAAAGTTTATACTAGAGTTATGTATAATATAATTAAGTAAGCCTTAGTACGTGTTAATCTAACACTTACAGAGCGCGTTTTAGGTATCTTATGTAGACATTAATTTTAAGAAGGTTGCTGCTTAGAATAATGTATTTATATTAATTATATGTAGTATGTTTTAGTTGCTAATTTATATAACATTAATTACTATTTTATAGTTAAAGTGTAAGTTATTTTTAATTATAAACTTAAATCTTTATAGTGCTAAGTTGTGTAGCTAATATATATAGCAAAACTTCTTAATCTTCTTAAGTATAAAAAGATTAATGTTATGTCTAGTATTTTTAAGCATTATGTAAAGTTATTTTATATAAGAATAGCTAAATCTTTTATATAGTTATTAAAGTTTATGTTTAGTAAAAAAAAACATTAATTTTTTCTTTTATATGTTAAAGAATAGATAACCTTATTTTTATATAACTAAGATAGTATTTCTATTACTTTGTATAATTACATTCTGCACGTTGTTAAAGTACGCACCTATTTAGTCTGCGTCTGCTAGTGTAACGGCGCAGGCAAGACAAAGGGTCCGAATGCGGTATGAATCCACTCAGAGGCATATGGGAGTGCGTGGGGACTCAGAGACCTGGGAATACCAATGACAATGTAACGGCGCAGGCAAGACAATGGGTCCGAATGCGGTATGAATCCACTCAGAGGCATATGGGAGTGCGTGGGGACTCAGAGACCTGGGAATACCAATGACACCTATAGGCCTTGTACGTAGGATATCAGAAAACTACCGAGCTAGCTACGGGGGCGAGGTGCAACTAAATACATGAGGGAATAGGGGTAACAGCAGGGGGCCGGGCAGAGTCGAGTCAGGGTCGGAGCCGATACGGAGACCCTTCGGATAGGTTCCGGGCGACCCGAGATGGAACGATTCATGAGAA